CCCCCCCCCCGCCGCGCGCCAACACAGGCAGTCTTGCCAGACGTGCTGATGCGTCTAGCCGAGATTGTTCACTACGTTCAAAAGAGGCAGTACAGGTACGCCAACGATTCGTACCTTCAGCTATCCATCGGAAACGCTCCTTGGCCCATCGGCGTCACCATGGTGGGCATCCACGAACGTTCGGGCAGAGAAAAGATTTTCAGCTCAAACGTCGCTCATGGTGCGTTTGCTCCCCCAAAGTGTGGGGATTTTTTGCTGGGGGGGAGGAAGGGGTTGGGGTGGCAAGTCGAAAGGCGGATAGACGCTGATGCAGGACCAGCCAACGTCGCACTTTCTCTTTCCAGTACTCAACGACGAAGTCAGTCGAAAGTATATCCAATCGCTCAAAAGACTCATGACATTTGCACAGACAAAGGTGAGTGAGCCCTCGAGCATAGCCTCCCCTTTCCTTTTGTCATTCTGCGTTCAGCTCGTCGCTCGCTGACGTGCCTCGTCCATACGCAGTATCCGCCCAAAGACGCTTCCTTCTTGATGGGTTGAAGCAATGCTTTCGCAGAGCACGTAAACTAATGCATGCTCTCGCCCGAAATATGGCCAAAGTGACTGTTGAGGAGGGAGCGACACAAACGGTGACTCTTCCTCGACGCAATCGCCGTAGAATTCGCATCCTTGACGCTGCTGCGTCGGGGCCAACGTCTTGCGGGAGAAGTCATCCTCGATCACGGTGCCAAATCGCTCTGCGCCCTTTGCGAAAAGGCACAAGGTGGTCTTGTAATGTCCAGGCTGTCTCTTGCCGAGAGACTGCGGTGCTTGAGAAGTCGTCAAAGCCGCGGCCTAGGACCGCGCCGCACGCGCTCTTGCTTTCGTCGGGCGCCAATGATCGACGGGACCCGATTTAGTGGTTGAATCCTTGATGCTTGTCGATCCAGATTCGCTAATGTTGCCCCAGCAGCTATGTCGCCCTGCCGCGCTTGGGGAGAAGAGGAGATGGACTTGTGCGTCGAAACGAAAGAGAAAAGGTGCACAAGGCACAGAGGTATAGAGAAGAGGAAGAGGAAGGAATAAGATGCGGAAAAGAGAAAGCGAGGGAAAGGAAGAGAGAGGGGCGAGAAGAAGGGAAGGAGAGGAAAGTTGATGGTGGTGGAGGTCGAGCGTGGATGGGGCGAGCGTAGGAAAGACGGAAGAGGTGCAAGGATGAAAGAGGTGCAAGAGTGGAACGAGGCGAAGGCAGTCGAAGAGAACCACATCGATAAGGAAGTGAGAGAGAGAAGGCGAAGAGTCGGAGGAGGAGGAGGATGAGGCAAACGGTAATGGCGAGAGAAGATATGAAAGGGCGACGAAGATGATGAGGTATACGTTAGTGTGGCGAAGACGGTGACCACGATGACAATGATGGTGATGATGATGATCAGATCGAAGGTATAAGAGTCGAGGAGGAAAGAGGCGAAGTTGGTCAGCCACTGCTGACCCATAGCATCGCGTTGCACGAGAATGCAAAATGAGAAGACCAACTCATCACCCCATCCCGACGTGTACATCCTCGCACATCTGTATCACATCGCTCCATCACGCGGGCGGCAGCAGACAGGAAGGTCGGGGCAAAAGAAATCGGACACAGTGGACCGTCTCGATGCCCAGACTTTAGGCAAGACTACCTCAAGCGTCGCGCATAGGACAACGTGAAGACATCCGAACATGGTGTGCCCATTCCTTCTTTGAGGATTGTTGAAAATCCCATCTGGCTTTGCAAGTGTCCCCTCGACCTTCCCACTCTGGGCCAGCTGGGCGGCGTTCAGGGGAGAAAGAGACGTCGCCCCCACATTGGCTACGAAGGAACCGTGGAGGCAGGGCCGAGCTTCGTCAAAGAGTACCAACCGACTTTGATCTCCCCTTCTTACCCAGAAAGGGGGGAGAGAAGAGAAAGACTAACTGGCGATTCGTACCCCATATTGCCTCGCACCCGGAAGAGATGGCTGTTGAAGCCCGCTCGAGCTAGCTGGGCATTCGAAGGTAGATCCTTGCGCGCAATTTGGACCGAGAGCTTCGTGCACGCCATGGCCCCTCGAGCACGCCATGGCTCCACCAGAGGGCGGTCTGTTCCATCCATTGGCTTTATCACGCCGCTTTTGCCCATAACAAATCGAGAACTTACCGATTCTTCCCGTACAAGAGACGAATCCACTCACACTCATCAAACATCGTTGGCTGTTTTCGCTACGGCGGTGCGAGTGGTCGAACCGTCGAGTCGCTCCATCAGTATCCTCGTTGGCTCTGTTCGTCGCATAGCGGAACATATCGGACGCCCATGAGCGCTTCTCTTGTCATGTTTCCATCTTCGTCGCGAGTGATCTGGATGATCTGCCTGTGATTGCAGTGCACGTGAGGGGAGAAGTGTGAGTGCGCTAAACTCTCGATTTGGATGCTCGAGTGCGCCATCGTGGATGCAGACACATCCCGACGACCGCACAGCGCTGCTCACTGGTCGCCGCTCAGATTCTGTACCGGACACACGATGCGGCCTGGCGAAGCGAGCTGGTCCAGCAAGGGTTGAGGCACATCACCGTCTGCTGCTGCGCCTACGTGGATGGCCGAGTACGGGCCTAGAGCGGGATAGCCTGGTGATCGGCGGATGACCGGAAGCAGGAGGTGCGGGTGAGTCACCGTTCGCTAGAGCGACGGCTCACGATCGACATGACGAAGAAGCCGCTGCTCGCTCACCTAATCTGCCGTCGCCGCAGTGGACTTGTACGGTTGACCTGTCCAGATCATCAGCCAGTCCATCCCTACGGATGTTCGCCTTTGAAATGTCGACGAGCTCGGAGATATGCTCCACGCCTATTGCTTGGGAAGCGCCAGCTCGGAAGAGGACGCTGAGAAGGTAGCCAGATCCTGAGCCAATATCCAGCACCTTGCCGCATCCCGTGCCGAGCGAGGTGGGCGTCTTGTCCTTGGCTGTCGCTTCCAGACCGGCAGGAGCACGATCGGCAGCGGCTGGATTGAGAAAAGGGACGAGCAGATCTGCAAGCAAAGCATGCATATGAGGTGCGCTTATCGTTGCTCCGTGTCCGATTCTTTGGGGAGAGTCGTCGTAGGCCTCTCGGTGAGACGCGTTCGACTTGCTTAGGCTGCCCGAAGAGGTTCGAGGCATGTAGTGAAGACGATCCGTCTTGAGCATCGCTTCTTTGACGATGGGAGAGCGAATCAGATTGTTCGAGACCAGGTTGTTGATCAGACCGCTGTTGGTCGTCGACCCGCTAAGCCAGGCCATGGTGAGAGGGGCCAGCGCGGAGGGAATGTGATGCGATGCGGTGCGGTGCGGTGCGGTGCGGTGCGGTGCGATGTGAGAATGCGGGGGGTGAAGCGCAGTAATAAGGATAATGGAAGTAGCGTGTGAAGGAAAGCTGATAAGTATGCGTCACGCTTTGAACTGGCAGTTGGAGGATGTGAAGAGGATCGAGCGGATGGAATGCGAGAAGAAGTGAGGATGGAAGCGATGGTGGACGGATCCTGAGCGACGTGAGGTGACTTCGGGGCATACACTCGGAGGCCTTGTGCAACCAAGCAGCACGCATGCACCGCTTAATTGCGTGCCTTTGTGTCGCGCGCGCGGTGTTGTACCAATCAGCAATCAATCGCGGTGCCGCGGCTCATCCATGCGCACTCGATGCGCGCCTCCACAACCGTCGGCTTGCATTCGATCACGTGCAGCGATTCGCTTCCTTTCCTTTGTAAACGCAACGATGCAAGACTCGTGATGGATGAATCACGAATGATGGTCGATCTTGCGCTACGCTCGACTTGAATTGGACTCGTGGCTCTTGTCTCTTGTCTCATACATCGCATCCGGCCAAGTGAGGGGGGCCACGGACAGGTACGACCAGCCAATCGCGAAGCATTCAGCAAGCGCCTCATAAGAGGTGATGCGAAGAAAAGGATGGCCCTCGTCATTGTCTGCGGTTTGCCTTGCTCAGGCCGAACCACTCGAAGCGAGCAGTTAAAGTCTTACTTCGAAGCGAGGATAAGCGGTGAAGCCAGCTCGCGTACCAAAGCTAACAGCGATGTGGGATCGAGCACTTTCTCCGCTTCACATGGCATCAAGCGCACCGCAATCCTTTCCGACGCGACGCTATGCACCGAGCAGAAGTGTCGATCAGTCTATACACTCCAAGCTACGGAAAAACCAGCTCGTGCCGCATACCTCTCGCTGGTAGTGAGACATTTGACGCGAGATACAATCGTCATTGCGGATGGAGGAGCTGGCACGAACATCAAGGGCTTCAGGTACCAGCTTTGGTGCGCTGCCAGAGAAGCTGGTGTGAGGTTCGCTTGCGTATTCGTCAGCGCCAAGAGGGATGAGTGCGAGGAGAGAAATCTGCAGCGAAGTGTAGGGCTTGAGCAGCAGACTGCAGTTGGCGTTCCGTGTGCAGCTTGGCCTACCGAAACGTGCGTTCAAAGTGGCTTCCCGCTTTTCGTCTCGGCCTTAGCACGCCTTGCTAACATGTGGACCATCGCCGCTTTTCCGACGCAACTCTCAGCCTCAAAGAGCTGTGTAGTCGGTTTGAAGAACCGACGAGCATGTCTCGGTGGGACTCTCCACTCTTCGTGGTGCCTTCTTGCGGCGTCCTCAACGATCAAGGGAACAATGCGAGCCCTGCAGACGAGCAGCTATCCTCCATTTCGCTTGGATGGGAAGAGCCGCCGTGCGGAGATATCTGGTCAGCTTGCGTCGAGGGGAAACAAGTCAAAGCTCCAAATGTCGTCGCGCCCGTGAGTGGGGTCACGTTTCTCTAGAAGGCATCCGCTGATGATTCCACACGCATACCTGGACCCCTTTCGGCTACGCAGGTTAGAGCTACTACAAACTCCTACCTCTCCCTGCTCGAATCATCTACGCAGAAGATTCTAGCTGCGTACGCAGTGCAGCTCTCGAGCAATCTGGTACCACTGCACGGTGGCGACCTTCTCCTGCGTCTCTCTCCGAATCCCTCCGCAACTCAAGTCGAGACCACCCTGACTCTCTCCTTGCCAGCAGGCAGAAGACCGCCGACGTTGCCAGCTTTGCAAAGGCTGAGAAGGACCTTTGTGAGGCTGCACGCGAGCGGAAGTAGTGCTAACACGGTGCTCGGCAAAGCTGTGCAGAGCGAAGGGACCACGAGAAAACTTGAGTTAGCCCACACCCGCAACGAGGGTCCTTCGGCTTTGCCCAGAAGACGAATCATAGGCAAAGCCAAGCTAGAGCCAAAGACGGAGGAGAAGGATGGCGAGAGCGACCTTATCAGCGATACAACAGCAGCGGCAGCGCAAGCGACAAAAGAAGTTTCGCAGCTTCCTCTCGAGGGATTGAGCTTGGACGATGCGGCCTCGTCTGCACAAACGGATCCTCGAACATCACGCCCCGCTTCCGGTCAAACACCTTCCACGACGACGGAAGAACAAATCATCAAGCGCTTCGTTGCCTGGTTGCAAGAGGCCTTGTACAGCGATTCTGCAGCTGGATGAAGGGTGATGGGGCAGGGGCAGCACTTTGGAGAAGGAGACTGCAGATTGCCTCCTCCTCAAACGTCTGTCCACGCCGCTTGTGTGTTTGGGGGGCGGGGGAAGCGCACTAGGGTCACGAATGGCAAGTGCAAAATTCGACAATGAGCTGCCTCGCTCCACATCGTCTGCTGCTCGTCAAGGCCATCTGATGCGGGCATTTTGAGTCTGACCTTGCAGCGCGAATTTTGGTGAATGGTGCGGAGTCCGTTGGAGCTCGCTTCTGGAATACGTACCGCTCGAGTCGATTCGCATTCCCCACGATGCCATGCATCCGCAGCGAGTCGCGGGGTGTGAGGGGTGGGCAGGAGATGGTCGGGCCGGCTGGTTGTTTATCAAAGGTGCGAATATGCGACCCACTTCGCATTCACCCGCAGCGCCCGATCGAAACTGTTGACCGTTGTGATCGTGTACAGATGAAATATTCTTGCAGCAGCTCCGCCCCTTGTCTCGGGACGAAGCGTAGTCGTATTTATGTTGGCGTCCTAGCGTCAGGCTCTTGCTCAGTCGGTGCAGCCTCGCTCGCTCACGACTCGGGCGAGGCATATCCGCCGCAGCGCGGGTATGCGAAAGTCAGTGCTTGGACGAGTGAAAGACTACGGTTGGGCATCACGACCTTTGGATCAGCTGTTTCGCGCACGAGGGGCCGAGTCTAAGCGCGTCGAATCAGGTTCGGTCAAGTGTGGAATATCGTGCTATCATCCTCTGTACAGACTTGTGCCTTCGTCACTGTTGAGTTTGAAGTGAGTCATGCACGCACCACTCTCGAGCCTTGAATCGATGTATTTACGGTGTACCGATCGAGCACATTCTCATTATCAAATTGTGCCGATCTTCCGCTTCTCTCCATGTTGCGCGCGCATATGTGCGACAATTGCGTCTGGGGTGAGACAAGGTGGTCTCTATAGGTACCGCGACAGGAGCTCTCGGCTGAAACGAGGTACGATGTTGTGTGAGCATTGTGAGTGCAAGAATGAAACATGGAAATCACGGGGTTTCACCGCATGTGTGCGACACAATCAAGAATGCGCTGACCTACATGTATTTGTATGTAGATTCCGGTGCCCGGCGGGTGCTTCAAGGGTTACTTGATCGCGTACACTTGGAACCCGAATCAATGAATGGGACTTGACTCAATAGCTTCAGACTCTCGGTCTCGACTGTGATGACTCCTGACTTAAGACTCGGAAAGTCTTGAGCCAAATTGGATTCAGATTGGTGAGGAATCATCAGTAAGCTTGACTGCGATCCATTCTTGAGTCACTTTCGTTCTCATTCAATTCGATCCAGATCGTGATTTCAGATTCTGGTGTCGTGCATGACACCGCTCCTCGGCTCGATGTTTGAAACGTGAGTATTCAAATGAGCGATCGAATTAAGGGTGTTGATCTGAAATTGATTGCTTCAGGGTAAGTGCTTTCTGGCGTTTGACTTGCCCGAAACAGCGCTGTTTCAAATCCATGGCCGCACTCCCCTTTTCACCTGATGCATGCAGGCATCGAACGAGCTCTTTACACTCGGCTTGGCCCCCACCTTGTCCAGCAGCTCATGCCGTTGGATTCGTGTTCACGCGCGCCGCTACATAGAGCTCAACAACAGGCGTCGAGTCGTGAGTCTGATCATGAGTCTCGAGTCCACGATCTGCGGGCCAAGACAAGCTGCCTGCCGAAGAGAGCAAAGGGGGGAGCTCAGCAGGGAGGCAAAAAGTCTCGCATGAAGACAGCGGCATGCAGCAGCATGCAGCAGCATGCAGCAGCTAGGGTGCAGTGCCCGCGGCAGTCACGCTCGTCACTTTGCTGCACACCAAAAGGGGCAGGCGGGGAACAGACCCTGCCTTACAAGTCTTGACTAGCTGTTGTGTGATTTGTGCTCTTCACTTTGAATTATTCGTTGCTGGTATGCGCTCGATCTGCTTCCTCCAGACTCGACGCGGCTATGACAATAGTAGCTGCAGTGAGCGCGGCGCTAGAAGCTGCGCTGACGACTGGTGCTGCGCGATGCTAGCGCATATATGCACAGTCAAGAGTGCTGCATCCCCTGCAACTTGCGGCACTTTCCCATTCAAAATACTTGCTGGCATGCTGCTGCTGCTGCTGCTGCTGCTGCTGCTGCATGCGTCTACTTCAATCGTGCTCCGCACCGCCCCCGGCCAGGACAAGATTTCAAAGGGGGAACGGGCGGCGCAGTTTGAGTAGCGCGGCGGCCCCGAGGTGACGGTCGATCGATCTCAACTGCATCAGATGCTGCTGCTGAGGTCGGAAGCCCGAAAAGGTAGGCAGCGCGGCGCGGCGCGTCTGCGAAGGCGAACACCGCATCTGCTCCTGCTGGGTACCAGACCCAGTTTTGAGTCGTGAGTTGCGGATGTGCATCGAGCTACGCATACATGGCGGTTCGCGCTTCCTTCATCATATTCCTCACAACGAGGGTTCACACTTGGCCCACACTGCTTCGTCGCGCTCCTCGATCATCATTTCCAGCGTCAGCGTCCCTCGACTCACGATTCGCGCCTGCCCATCTCGCCCCGACGAGCAAGCGAACTCTCACAGTCGCGGGCGCCCCCTTGTCCTCGCACTCCCACCTGACGTATTTCACTTGTTTCAGGTTGCCTGCAGGACCCTGTCGATTTTCGGATTGCGCGCACGTTCCCAGACGGACTTCATTCGAAACGGCAGCCACAAGCTACCAGAGAGCTCTGAACCAAGTCTTGCATCGCTATCCGTGTCAGTCAACACCGACGTCGAGCGGCCAAGTAGCCAGCTTGCAGGAAAGCTGAAAGGGGTCTTTTTGGCGAAACGCAACTGAATTGCTCACGATGGCCAGAAACGGTGGCGGTGGCGGCTTTGACTTTAGGTGAGTGTACTGAATTAGCTCTTATTATGGAGCATACATGCCTGCTCCTCGAAAGAGCAGTAGCGTGCAAGCTAATAAGTAGCATCGTACAAGGAGAACATGGTCGCTCTAGCACGCGCAGCCCAGTCGCCCTTTGCTGCTTCGCATTCATCTGACCATGACGATCGCCATCTTTTTCGCTCAGTCTGCTAGCCAGCAATCTCATCTTGGGCGGCTCGATTGGCATTGCAGCCATCGGCTGGTTCGTAGCATTCATTGGTCAGATCGTGGCACAAGCAAGAACGAACGAGAATGTGTCTCGCTCCTCAGACCAACTGGGAGTCTTGTGGTTCGGCATATTCGTGGAGCTGTTCCTCATGATCGGCGTCATCCTCACCATCGCTACGGATACGATTGCCATTTCCAGGCTGCAGATCAGCGCATGGACCGCAGTCGGATTAGTGTTTTCCGTCATTGGCATCGACAAGGGCATCTACAGCGATATCGGCTCACTCGAGGCCATGGCAGCAGGCTACTTCATCCTGACAGTAGTCAACGTGATCTGGCTACTCTTTTTCACGTCTGAAGAAGATTCTGCAGTGTACGCCGCACTCTCTTCGGTGGGATCTGGCGGCCTGTCCGGACCCGGTGCTAGGGGCGGAGCTGTCGGCGGAGGCAGACAAATGCGTATGGCTGGAGGATCCGGCGCAGTAGGAATGGGAAGCGGAAGCGGAGGATTCGCCTCAGGTGGGGGCGCGTACCAACAAGCATACGTCAACAGCCCATCCACTGCGGATGTCACCTCGACTGGTAGAGGTCTGGGTACAAGTACGGGCGTCAGCGGAGCGGGAGCTCCCAGCTCGCAGAGCGTCCGAAGCGGATCGGTCGCAAACAGAGGCGCTGGCGCCAACGCTGCTAGTGGACCTGGAAGCGAGTATGCCGGTAGCCAGGCTCACGCACCGGGCAGTCCGACTGGCTCCAAGAGTGCAGACGCAGACCCCAACTCTGGCTATGGCTACCGGGCAAGAGCATTGTATGCCTGTGAGTCACACGCTGCGGAAGGGCGGCTCATGATCATCATGAGCGATAGGCGAGGAATGGGGCGCCAGCTCAGATCTGTCCTGCTTGCGCTATGCTGACTCCGCGTCGCCTTTGTGATGCAGACCAAGCGAACGCGGATGACCCCACCGAAATCTCATTCGCAAAGGGCGAGCTGCTGGACATTGTCGACAACTCGGGCAAGTGGTGGCAAGCGCGAAAGTCTACAGGCGAGACTGGTATCGTGCCGAGCAACGTGAGCAGATCGAGATTGTGCGGCGAAGAGCGACGTTTCTGACTCTCATCTTTTATCCATCAACCTGAAGTACATGCAATTGCTCTGATCAACGATGTCTCTTCTCTTTTGGAGCCGCCCTGCTTCGGATTCTGTCTGTCGTGCTACAAGTCTCGGGACGCTTCGCGACGGCATTCAAACGCTCATCGCTGGAGGCGGTCGCTGCGTTTTGAGCAGGGATGCAGGGCCACTGAGAGCGAACTGCTCGATAGGTCGAAAGGAAGCCACGCTGTTGCCAAGTCTTGCGCTCGTCGCTCCGGAGAGGCCCGCAAGTCTTGCAACGACTGCTGCTCCACTGCTCGATCAACGATACCCGATCTCTCGTTTTCGAGAAATCAGATGTGGCCGCGTTGCAGGAAGGGAGCGCGGTCTCGCTAGAGATGCACTCATTTAGTCGAATTGCCTTCTTGCAAGCGCTTCGCCCTGCTCTTCGTTCCACCCTTCCTGTTGCGTCTCTCCAAAGCTCGAGCTCGAGCTCTTCATCCCTTCTTCAAAGCCCCAGCCCCCTCTCATCTTCCTCTTCAACCGCACTTCCACACACACGCTCCCTCTTACTGCACATTTCTTGATCCCCCTCCCCCGCTACAATCTGCTCGATGCTAAATCCGGAAGCTCAACGATTCGTCAAAGTCGCAACGTCTGATCGACCCTTGCCGTTCGGTCATGAGCGTGAGGCATGGATCAGACTTGCCTCTGTGTTGGCAAGCAAGCAGAGCTGGAACAGGCCAGCTTACCGCACTTCGTTGATCAGTTCCGTCGAAGTCGTGAAGAGACCTGACTCGACAAATGTTGAAAGCAGGGCCTTTGGACGCACATATATGCTTTGTCTGAGGTGAGAAGCGATCCGCTGAAGCGGAGCGCCCATTCATGCTGCATCTGCCACAACGACCAGTCGTCATGCATGCAGTCGTCGCTCAAGAGTCGTCACCAGTCAGAGTGCCAGCCAGCCACCTGCGAGAATCAGAACCTAGCTGTTGTTGTGCTATTTGTTCGGCTTACCGATTCGAGCGAGCGAGCGAGCGCGCTGCGCATTCGTGATTCAAGTCATGTGTGAGTGAATTGCGATTGCTTTGGAATAACGACACGTCACGTGAGTCCGAATGACGAATGCCGCGTGAAATCGTGAATGCGGGGAGGGGCGATTCGTGATTCTCGCGTTATTGGGTGGGGCAAGTCAAGTGATTCACGGATTATTGAACGCTGCAGAACGCTTGCACAGTTGCACACGACTTGGCTTGCGTTTGTGCTGCTCAGCTGCGCCTTTCCACGCTCCTCGTCGCTTCCATCGCTCACACCACATGCGTGCTCTCTTTCACAGAGACACAAGAGCCACGGGTACCGGATCAGCTTGCAGAGGCCGTAGCATCCAGCTTGGAGGAGCTGCGCGCAGTGTCAAGACGGACGCTTTCACCACCACCAACGGCGAAAAGAAAAAGGCTTGCAAACATCATGGCGGATGATGCTGGTCCACGGCCAATTGCTGCTCGGCATGCGACTTCCAGCGCAGGGACAGGGACAGGGACAGGGACAGGCGCGGAGCAAGGCTCATCATCCTCTTTGGAGCCATTCTGGAGCTCTGCATTATCTCGTGCCAGCCCATCCATCACCTCGCTACGCCATCGATTACCAACGCTTCCCTCTCCGCCTCTTCGAATCCAGAGGGTCTCTCAACTAGACGCCGAACTGTTGGATAGCGAGCTGACAACGATGTTATTGGACCCTTTGATGTCTTCCTTGTCCCTCATCGCGCCTCGACTACCCGATTCTTTGGGTCCGGAAATCAGAGCGACGCTAGAATTGGCCCTCTGGAGATTCTCCATCTTGGGCCAGTCGGCAACGTACGGAGCCATGCTGCAAAATCTCAGGTACAGAAACGAGTGGGCGCATCGAGCTAGAGGATTGCAAAGCACCGCTAGAGATGCCCCACTGGCCATGTGGCAGCTGCTGCTTCATCCGATCCTCACCATCGGTGTGCCGTATGCCCATGCCAGACTGGAAAGGGACATGACTGGAAGGAACTTTTCCGAAAGGTCAAGCGACGATTGGAGGAGGAAAATTTGGAACGGCATGGATGCGTGGGGTAGGATTCATGCTGCTTTGGGTCTCGCAAACTTCGTCATCTTCCTCGGTGACGGCAAGTGAGTTGGCCGCTGTGGAGAGGCGGGACTGTATGCGCTTCTCTCGACGTGGCTCAGGTGGTGCACATTTTCATCTACGTCTCCCTCGTGCAAAGGTACCGGACGCTCACAGACAGGCTGCTGGGCATGCGACTCGTCTACGCCCAACGAACAATGTCGAGAGCAATCTCTTTCGAATTCTTGAATCGACAGCTCGTGTGGCACGCTTTCACCGTGAGTTCAGACGCGCTGACGACGCCTCTGCAAACAGCTCATCTCACACAACATCCTGCTCGATGTGATCGCACAGGAATTCCTTCTCTTCATCTTGCCCCTGCTCAAACCACGTCGGCTGCTCAAAAGGCTCATGCGGCTGCCCACGCATCCCTGGATCCTCCGTTTCTGGCTTCTCGTCCTACCTCGACGCGTCACGTCCTTCTTTGGCTTGACGCAAGATGCGCAGACGGGCAAGCCCATCCTGCGTCTTCCTGCCAGCCTGACGCGCAGTGGCAGCAAGTCGGGCAAAGACCAAAGCAAGTTCGCAAGCGTGCCCAGACACGTCTGCGCTATATGCTACGAAAGGGAGGAGGGACGGCAGGGCGGGATCGGTGGAGTGGGGAGGGATGCGATCAGAGCTGGGATACCCAGTTCGGATCCTTTGGATCCAAGCGCCAATACGCTGGCCCCTTCCAGGGCCTCATCATCCAATGCCAGTGCGAGCTCCTCGCAGGTCAGACCTGCCCTACCTCGATCCAGATCGTCCAATAGCACATCCACCGCAGCGCTTCGAGCAGACGAGCCGACAGTGAGCTCAACAGGTATCGCTTACTCTACATGCACAGCACACACGCCTTACGTCGTACCCTGCTGCGGAGCTTCTTACTGCTACATCTGCATAGCTTCCGTGCTGCTCTCCGAACAAGCAGGCGAAGAGTTGGAGGATAGCGCAGAAGATGCTATAGGAGCGACGACCGAAGCGCGCTCCTCCTTCTCCTCCTCCCCCCTTACGCCCACCTCTCCTCGTTCGCCCGGCTCATCCTCAGCTTCGGGAAGCAGATCACCTTCTTTTAGTCAGAGCGGCGGCGGCGGCGCATTTGGTGATTCGCAGGCGCACGCTTGGAGCTGCCTCAGGTGCGGTGAAGGCATCAGAAGCGCAAGAAGAAGAGACGGACGCGAACCCGTGTGGAGAGAAGCGAAACCTTCCCATCCGACTCGCAGGAGCTTCTCCAGCTCTGCTGATGACGACGATGAGGAAGAGCTCGATCTGCTCAGATAGATCTTGTCATGATCTTATACCTCGTATACCACCACTACCGCTGCTGCCCTTTCTGGCAATGCTCATTTCTCGATCGCGCTCGAAACGGATCGAAATCGACATGCTGCTCGAGCTCACGACGTCCGTTTTCTGAAATGCATTTGTTCAAAAAGAGGCTTGGCAGAAGGCATTCGAACTTCGTCACTTTAAGGGTACAACGGGTCGATCGGCGCAGTAGCGGCTTAGGTTCCAAACTTTGAATCTTGCTTGCCCAATTTAGCTATTCGCAGCTTGAGCTTGCTCTGACGGGTTCCGAGAACGGGAAAACTTGGCTCGGAGCTGAGCGAGGCGCTCGTCCGAATGGGAAGAAACTCGCTGATGGCTCGAGGGGGAGGGGGGCGGTGCAATGTCGGATAGCAGCACGGATTTTCGTGTCAGGCTGTCATGTCGATCGGTGGCGAGAACAGGGGAGGCAAGGCTTGATCTCGCAGATGCTGTGGTAGGAGGTAGCACGGGCGAAGGGACGGCCGTTGCCTGTTCAGCTTCATTGACAGATTCGCCTCGACTTCTTGGAGCAGCGTCCGGATCCGCAGCCGCGTGATTCGCCAAGGCTCGCTTGATGTATCGTTGAAAATACTGCCCGGTGTTCTCCAGACCCCTCTCGATAGCATTTTCCTTCTGCGGGTATTTCTTCTGGAACAAGTACAGGTCGTGTATGCCCTCCCTGCTCTCGTCCTTTCTTGAAATCTTGGCAAAGATGGTCTTCAGCTCCATGTCTGCTGGGTCATCGTCCGCAGGTGCAGAAAGACGTGGGCCTCCGCTCCGGACTCTAGGCGACATCGGGGGTGAGGCGACGTTGAGAGACTTCCTGGCAACAGCACTCGTACCGAACTCCGCTTCGGCTCGATCTGCTTCTTCGGTGACAGCTGCGTCCTCTGTTTGCGGCTGCGCATCTTTGTAGACAAGGCGATACAAGTAACTGTATACGTGACTCTCTTCGGGATCTTGGAGGTTTTCGAGCAAAGAGAAGACGTTTTCTCCATACACTTCGACAAAGTGACCGAGTATAGCCTTGATTGTCCGCAGAGGCAGCTGGCCTAGCGGCAAATTCTCACTGCCTCTTCTACGCCACTCTGAAGGTGGGATAGTCTGCAAGAATGTCTCCACTTCGGCTAGCAGCTCGGGTGCATCGAGCGCATCGCCTCGAAGCTCTTCCGGTAGGCGTCTTGCAATCTTCCAGAGACACTTCATGATGAGCTCTGCAAATTGTGTGCGACGCTTCAGCACCTCTCCTTGTAGCTCCGCCATGTCCTCCGCCGCTTGCACGAGCATCGATAGCGATCCACCAAACAGCACGTTCAGACGACAAGTGGAGAAGCTTCTCAACACCACAATGTTGATGTATTTGCCCTCTTGCTGAAGAGTCTCGCCGTCTCGTGAGCATTCTATGAGCCTTTGAAGCAGCTCAGTGAGCAAAGAGACGAATGTGGTTCGTGTCACGAAGTTGCCAAGCGGGCGTCCCCCAGGAGCGTCGCCCTCGGCCTGGGAGGATGCGTCGCTGTTCCATCCTCGGTCGAGGTCGAAGAAAGTGGTCGCGGCAATGAGTAGGTGCTTCTTGAGTCTGTCGATGCCTGGATCGGAAGGCGAGGCGAATACTCGATGCAGCTGCTTGGTGATGACAACACCAAATCTATCTGCATATTCTGGCATTGCCGGCTGCACTTCATGCATGAAACGCTCGATCGACTTGAGCGCCTCGACACTGCGCTCTGGGTCGCTGCTGAGAACCTCGTTGACTGTTTGCTCGACAGTGTATGCGTCTACGTCTCCTTGCACGGAGCCCTCTTCATCATCTAGATCGTGTGTCCCGGAGGCAGACGTAGCTGGAGCGCCAGAATTACGATTTGCGGATGTGCTTGGCGCATCTGCAGATGCGGGCGCAGCAAATGCACGACTTCCAGGTCGAGCGATGCCGCTGGGCATTCGCATCCTACTGGCCGCGGCGCCCGGTGGCACGATACCGCTGACTCCGGAAGCCGCGGAATTGGTCGAGGAGGGGCGTGCAAGCCGAGAAGGAGGACCAGCAGGCTTGGCCGAGGCCGGCAGCATGCTTTGCCTATTCGAGGCGGAGGAAGGTTGGCGTGCCGGCGGCGCTGCTGTGCGCTTAAGACGCTCCTCGAGAAGTGACTTTTCCTTTGGAGGAAGCGATCCCACGTGTTTCCAGACCTCTTCTCCTACGATTTGGTAAGCTTCCCCTAGCGCTAGCAGTGCAGCATTGCGGACCGACGCGTCACGGTCTGAAATTTGTTTGGCAATGATGGGAAGCGTCTTCGCGGGAGTGCACACCTGCAGGCCATGCTTCGAGAATAGGAAACCAAGCTCCGAGAGACACTCCATTCGTACCTTGGCGTTCTTGGACGGCAGACCATTCTCCACAAAATGGCTCAAGATTTTGCTGGGAGGGAAGATGAAAGCAAGCCGGCGGAAGATGTCCCTGATGCGGTCTCGGAAGGCCACTTTGGGGTCGCCAAACTTGCCGACCAAGCAGGGTAGGATTGAATTCGCCTCGTAGTCGCTCATGTGGTACTGCTGCTCGCGCAGAGAGTTGACCAGATGGTCCAAGACATCCAGGCACTTGAGGAAGATGCTGGTATTGTTGTCGGTGAGCCGCAGAGCTACGTACTTGAACACGAGATCTGCGTTGGCGATGACACGCGCGGCCGTCTCTTCATCCGATAGACCGTATTCTTCCTGGACAAATTCAGGACTTGAGGTGAAGTCTGATATCAGAGTCAGTGCGGAGAGGAAGTCTCGTTCGGCATTGTGATCCTTCGAGAACATTGAGTCGACGAGGCTTGCGCTTAGGTGCTGCTCGCAATTGGAGCGAAGTACCTCGGAAAGCTCGGGTCTTGGTGTAGCATCGGGGCCAATCCATTGCTGACCTCGCCCCTCTTTGCGTTCTCGAGCAGCCTTGTATTTGATGTCAGCACTGATGAACGGTAACGATTTATCCACTGCTTTCTCCTGCATGGCAGTGGGCTTGCGTGAGGAAGGAGCACCGATCCTAGACTTGATGGCCGTCGATGGGGCGCGGTCTGTAAAGACGTCGTCACTGCTGAGGACGGACTGCGGCCGTGACGCGCTAGGCGCCTTCAGCGAACGTCCAACAGCGGTGGGCGGCTTGACCGACGACGAGCGGCTCAAAGCGCTGGCAGGGCGTGAGGCAGGCGCACTTGCACCGTTCAGCTTGCTCGAAGGAGAAGCAGCAGGTGAAGCGGAAGTGGAAGCTCTTGCGAGCGCAGCGACGCCAGATGATCGGGCAGGAGGCGCTTTGCTAGGCGGCTTTGCGGCAGGCGCTGCTGGAGGCGGAGCGGCTTTGGGTGCCTTCGCTGCAGCTTCGCTCTTGGCAGCATCGATGAGAGGCAGCACACTATTCTTTTGCGCCGGCTTCAAAGAATTGCTTTGTTCAACGACAAATTTATAGCCGCATCGCATGATGATATACGGCAGAACAGCTTGCGCCGCTTTGCGCACAGCTGCAAGCTTTTCGTCCAGCGTTTGCACCGCCGACAGGGCAAGTGGTTGCAGGTCCAAGCCCTTCTCTGGCGGGTGAGCCTCGAACCAGGTAGCAAGCCACGTAAAGAGCTCCTGACGCAACGCAGGATTAGCTGCCTTGGTTTCGAGCACTGAGCCAAATCCGGAGATGAGTGGCGCGACGCCTGAGGCCTCGGCCATAGCTTGCAAAGCGCTAGTGCCAGCTATTCTCATTGGTGCCTTAGCGTCACCCAGGATCGGTGTGACGGAGGCCGCAAACGCTCGCGCGATTGGCTCGAATTGCTTGCCCATCGCTGCAGCAATCTTGGAAATGATATCCAAAGCGGTCGAGCGGATGGCCATGTTGTTGTCGGCGTATCGCAATTTCAGCGGACCGCTGAGCTCCGACATGTTGCCTTTGAGACGCGTGTTCGCCGCCACAACTCCTTGGATGGTGTCAAGGCCCTCCTTGCGCTCTTTCCAGTTCGCGCTGCTCAGTAGAGCGATGGCGTCCGACGGAACGATCTTGTCGATATCCACCCTCGGGACGAGAGCCTCAAGAGCGTCTTCTTGATCATCTTCATCAGCAGCGGCTCCTACCGCTTCACCGGCTCCAGAGTGTGCGGTTGCTGCTTGTGTCTTTACCTGCAGCTCGCCCGAGAAGCGTGTAGGCGCGGGCGGAGGGTTGCCTCCAGCCTTGCCAATTTCACCCTCTACGATGGTGCGGAGCTGTGGGCTCAGATCGCCCAAGAAGTTGTTGAGTGCAGCACCGACAAAGCGAGCAAGAGTGCCTGTGACCTGGGTTGCGTTCGTTCGAACAGCTGCGTTGGCTGACTTCAGACAGGTGACAAGGAAGTCAATCAAGCTTCGAATGTCTACCCCCTGAGTCCCAAAATCCAACAAAGCCTGATCAATCCAGAGGAGCGAATCGGCAATTGCTTTCGGAGCTTTAAGGTTCGAGAGTGGGCCCATGGCTTGAGCGAGGACAAAGCCGAAGCTCGTCTTTTCTGCGAACAAAGCCAAGGTCTCTCCGGCCGGCGCTTTCAGCTTGATGTCGCCCAGCTTATCGCACAAGGGCTGAACGGAAAGGGCTATTGTCGATCGCCCAAAGGACGTCGCCTCATTAGCTAGCGTGCGTAGCGCTTTGAACACTTCTGCGTTGACTTGAAAGTTGCTCTCTTTCCATCCTGGCTTCTTGCCTAATGCTCGGACAATCACCTCGCACTCGACTTCGGCAGCCTCCACACCCAGCCAAGTATTGAAGTCTTCCATGCCTTGCAGTCTCTCTTTCCAATTTGAGCTGGCCAGCATACCACGTATTGCTTCCGGAATCAGGTCGGCGGCGCGAGTGTCGGCGTCGTCAGGATGTATGCGGAATTTGACTGGCTCAGTCGCGGACGCAGCTGCGCCTTTCGAGGCTGCCTTGCCCGAAGCTGCTTTTGGAGCTGCTTTGAGGGGCACGGCCGCAGCAGCGGGCTTCTTTGCCTGAGAAGTCCACACAAAGCGTCAGAGTATACTCAGCCATGCTGCGCAAATCGTCGCGCTTACCATCAGACGAGCCGGAGGCTTGGCGACTGGAGCAGTCGGTCCTCGCGAAGAGCTTGGAGCCGAAGCCTCGCTTCCTGCAGGAGGCATGTTCTCCTTGTTCGCAGGAGCAGGTTTCTGCAGAACCGATTGGTTGGTCAGGGCGACATATTTGGGAAACACGCCGTAACCTTGTCTTACCTTTGGAGGCGCTAAGCGTGGCTTCGGTGGCGCAGATGCAGATGTCGCTGGGGCCGACCTAGCAGGGGCTGCTGCAGCCGGCTTGGAGGTCTTGACCTTGACGGTCGCGACCTTGAATTGATCTTGCACTTTGCCCTTCTTGATATCATCCAGAGCATCAATGAATTGATTCATCGGCCGCTCTCCGATGAGCTTCATTAGAGTTCCGAGGCCTTGCGCGCCAGCGTCTCGTACATCCGGCGAACTGTCATCCATCGCGCCCATAAGAGCTTCTGCTATAGGTTTGAGATCGCCTTTGGCAGGCATTGAGCGCGTCTCAGCCAGGCAACGCGCCAAGAATCTGATGGCCTCAGTCTTGATAGCGGGATTCTTGTGCTTTGAGGCTGCCAAGGTGTCTTCCAGAATATCGCTTAACGAGACCTGAGATACCGATAAGACGGACGCGGTCAAAGCGAGATCAGACCTAGCACAAGCCGTGGTCTACTCACGGTCAGGAACAACGCATCCAGCGTCTCGGTGATGATCTTGACGCTGCTCTCCTTCTTCTCTTTGAGCTTCTCGAGCAAGGCTGGCAGGGCTCTGTCTTTGTACTTGGCAAAGTTCTCTCGCATTCCCTTGGCAAGCAGGGTCAGAGCCTGGCAAGAGCCAAGCGCCACGTTGATGTTGACGTCTTTTTTGACCTTTTCGATCAGCGCGTCAATTGGGCCATCTAAAGAGGGTGTCGCGAGCACTTTGGGGATGCTTTGAAGTGCCTTGAGGAGACCATCGACTGCTTCCTTGCGCTCTTGCCACTTCTTGGACGCCAGTAATTCGTCAAAATTGCTGGGGAAGTCTGAATGCTTGAGGGGATCTTGCGGCTCAGCAAACTCAAGAGGATCGACTGGTTCCGCTTCTGGGGCCTCGTCACCACCATCTGCTCCTTCGCCGTCACCGTTCCCACCATTCGCTGCCTCTGCCGCTGCTGCCGCCGCTGCTTTATTCGAGAGAAGATGCCGCTCCGGCGTCGTGTATGAGCCGCCTGCGGCCTCAAATTGTGCTTTAAGCTCTTTTGCTTGTATTTCTTTCAACTCATTAAGCGTCGGAGTCAGAGCCGCGCCAATCCATCGGTGCAGCTCGACGGCTAGCAGGCCGGCCTCTGAACGTACGCCTTTGTCCGAGTGCGCGAACAGATCCTTCAGCTTCGTCAAGATGGGCTTTGGCCGAACTTGCTTTGGTCCGAATAGCCTGGATCAAGTGAACGAAAGCAAATTCAAAATCTTGACTCGCGCATGCAAAGGATTGTGGAGCGACGCACCGAATTGACTCTTTCAAAGCCGTCACTGCAGCAAGAACCACCTTTGGCTGCTTCGCTTCTGTGCCTTTGATGAGGTCGGCCTATCCGGTGTAGCGCGCGTAGCCCATGAGCTGATGAAGCGCTGCCGCAGACAAGAGAAGGACTCACAACGACGCCCTCGGAGCCAGTGACGTCCTCATTCTCGACGTAGAACAAAGTTGCTTCCAGAGCAGCCTTCTTTGTGCCCGCCCTCATCGAGCCCAGACATTTTTCTACCAATGATGGCAAGACGGATTCACGAGTGCTGGGAACAGAATACAGCATTAATGTGATTGTCTAAATGCGAATTGTGCAAATCAAAGCAGCGCATCGCGCTCCACAGCATTCCGAGGCCGCAGCGCACACTCACGATCCAGCCTCTTTGCCGCCAAATTCAACGAATGCTCTGATAGCCTCTGTACCCTTTTCTTGCGCGACTGCGTTGGAGTCTGTGGCCATTGCTTTGACGATGTCAGGATTCCTTGTGTAAGGCCGAAACACTGCATCCTTTTCCGATGCCGAACGAGAGAATTGCCGATTCAAGTCTTCGTACGCCGACACGCGAGCTTTCCACAACTGTAAAGGATGAGACACGATTAGCATACATGCATTCGAAAAGCTTGCAAGGCCTCATTGAGATCAGCCAAAGGCCTTTCTGGACTTGCAGACGCTTACCTTGCTTTTCAGCCGCTCTTCGATTGGCATTTTCGAGAAATCCTCCTCAGGCGGTGGGGCACCGCTCATTCCACCCATACCACCGCTTCCACCAACATTGAAGTCGTCCATCGTAAGAATTGATTTATTTTGACGCCGGGATCATGCGCGGATGGTGCTTCGCCCTTGTAAGGAGTCGTGTGCGGTCCTGATCCTCTCTGGAAGCATGCACTGTGCGTTGCCTTGAGTGCGGAGTCGAAGTCGTAGCCAGAGTCAAAGTTGCATGCCGATTCCGATAGGTGAGTTGTTGATGTCAGCGTTGCCACACCGCTGGTGGTGTGTGTGCGATGATCTGAACGGAACTGTGACTCGAAAGAGGGAGGGGAGACGAGGGGAGGTAGTTGGAAGTCGACTGTCCACCGCCCGCGAGAGAACTCTCTTGCGTTGGTTCATCGTCTATCGACTTTTGACTCCAGACTATCCCATCGACCGCGCGCTTTATATGCGCGCGTCTTGATCATCAACACCCCTGCGAGTCAGGCGCGCCGAATCCAGACGCGACGTCACGTGACCTCACGCGCGCTCGAGAAGAGTGATTCTGACTTTGATCCAAGATCTTCGACTTATATGATTCAGATTCAAAATGCAACTTGTGACTTGACTCGTTACTCAAGACTATCGACAATCCTCGACAATTCTCGACACTCCTTCGGAAAGTTGATTGATTTTTGCAGCCCTGAACTGGAATTGCGTCTTGACGCAGCTTGCAGCTCTATAGCGGCTTTACGTTCATGGACAGTCACAGCCACGAGTCGATAATGATGTGGGCTCAAACGACGTCGGCAGTCGCTGCTGCTTCAAATCTTGAATCTGAATCGATGATCCTCAACTGAAACTCGCGATTCGATGCGATACTTGATTCTTGCTTCAGCGACTCATCCTTGATAGCCTGTATCCGACATCACTCACGCGGGTGTGAGGGCTGGGCGCGCACGCAAACGAGAACAGTTTGAATCAATTCTTGATTTTGATTACACGCGCCAACGACGCATGTGACACGCGAGACGGCGCAGCTCCGCCCCCCTCATGCAAGATGGCTTCAAATTGAAGGGCGCCTCTCGCTCAACGTCTGAATGGTGCGGTCCACGTCTTGTATGCGTTTTGAGTGCCCGTGCCCATGTCCAACCAAAATTTTGAGTTCATGCAACGCAGTACGCGGGCAACCGCGACGCCGAGCAGAAAGTCTTCTCGCAGCAGCACATGCAAGCAGCCAGAAGGATCGCATACCAAAGGGCGACAGCTTCATCCGTCACCCGGAGTACCAGTCGGGAGCGTCCTCGTCGCAAAGGTGATCGTGTACGCTCGGTAACCACACCTATAGCTCCTACCAGCTCCAGTCATCCTCAGGCATATCTGTATTTGGCGGGTGCATTTGACTACAACATCTTGTTTAGGACACTTGCCCTGCATCCACGCATGAAAGGGTTTGAAAGAAGGGCTCAGCACGACTTTCTCCCTCATCAGTCAACCTTGCGATCTTCTCAAAGCCGTCCTCAATCCGCCCATCATTGATTTGTCTTGCTGCCTTTCCGCCCGGCTAGCCATCATTGGCAAAGCAGTGCCCCGTCGTCCAAGCGCTTTCGCTGCTCGACGCTCGGTCCCGAGTGATTCGCTCACCGTGACTCTGCCTCAACTCCGATCTCGAATCCAAGTTAGAGAAGCAATCATCTCAACATGGCCGCAACAGAACACCATACCTCTTCACCACAGCCCGACGCCGCAGCAGCTGTTAGCGCTAGCGAGGCCAATGCGAACGCAGTCAGCACCAACGGGAATGGCGGCGACGCCGCACCCGGTGCCGAAGCAGCCTCTTCGCCCAGCAAGGCCTCGGGTGGAGCAGCTGCTCCTCCCGATCCAAACGCTCCACTCACTGTGCGCGCTCTGGTCAGCACAAAAGAAGCTGGTGTCATCATCGGCAAAGGCGGTCAAAACGTTGCGGATCTGCGGGAACAAACGGGTGTCAAGGCGGGAGTTTCAAAAGTCGTCCAGGGAGTCCACGATCGTGTCTTGTCTGTGACTGGCACAGTGGACGGCGTTGCAAAGGCGAGTATGACGTCTGCTTCTTGGGAAAGATCGAGCATTTACGCGCTAGGGACTTGCACTTGGACGGCCGCCCAGCCGCGCTTGAGGGCTTGGTAAAGACAAGGGCCTGACCGCAAATTCCCGCCCCTTCCGCTCTTCACAGGCATATGCGTTCATTGCCAAGACGATTCTTGATAATCCTGTCACGGCGGCCGCTGCACCCGGAGAGAGCACGACGCCTACCACGGGTACGCTTACTTCCATCCGGCTGCTGATCTCACATAATCTGATGGGTACGGTGATTGGTCGTCAAGGTCTCAAGATCAAGCACATACAAGATATCTCGGGAGCCAGAATGGTCGCCTCCAAAGAGATGCTACCTCAGTCCACTGAGCGCATTGTGGAAGTGCAGGGAACGACAGAGGCCATTCGTGTCGCGATTCAAGAAATCAGCCAGTGCCTTCTGGAAGACTGGGAGCGGGGCCAAGGTACTGTTTTGTACCATCCGGGACAGGCAGACGGCGCAGGTGTGCTTGCTGCGGGAGGTGCAGGTGGTCTGCAACCTCAGACTGGTGGCCGTAGAACCAGCGGAGCGTACCTCGCCGGGGCCATGTCGTCTATGACTCTTGGCGCCGGAGGCTCGCACATCTCAGCATTCGGAGCTCCGACTGGCGGTAGACGCACTTCGCAGGGAGCAAATGGCGATAGTCGAAAGGCTGCGCCAGTAGCTTTAGACGCTGCTGCCATCGCGGCTGCCGGTGGTGCCGCAGTCACGCCTGGGGGAGGCCTGCTTACGGGAGCGCCAATCTCTTTGGCACCCGCGGTGACCGTGGACCCCGCCAACATGCGAACACAGAACATAAGCATACCTTCTGACATGGTCGGATGCATCATTGGCAAAGGCGGCTCCAAGATCACCGAGATCCGTCGCTTGAGTGGCTCTCGAATCTCGATCGCCAAGGTGCCCCACGACGACACAGGCGAGCGTATGTTCACCATCCAAGGCACTCCAGAGGCAAACGAAAAGGCACTGTTCCTGCTCTACAATGTGAGTGATAGAGCTTGAGTGCACTCCGTCCCGATGGACGAATTGGGCTGATGTTCGTTACCTCGCAGCAACTTGAGAGCGAAAAGGAGCGAAGGACGCAGACTGTACCGGAGGAGGATATCGATGCGGCTAACGCTGCCAACAAAAAGGACGAGACCACCACGGCATGAACATTCATGAAGGTCGACTATGCAACACCGAACGAGTTTGTGCGAAGCTTTGCATAGTCAAGCACGAAGGAGGGACATCGTCATGTCAATTTTGCGACAGATCAAAAGGGCGCCGTAGTGCAGTCGGCGAGCAAGTTCATTTTCCACTGGCTGCAAGCTATGACCTAGCATTCCCTGCCGCAATAGCAAGCTCTATCATTTCGCATCGTGCTTCACCTGACGGCTGCGTTATCGCAGGAATGTATAAGCGCACGACTTGGTGGTCACATGTCGTGCCATTTGGTAGTAAACTTCAGCGCTTGCGCTTACATCAACACGGATTTGGGTGATGGGTTCTTGACTCGAACGCCTCATCGACCGCGGTCCGTCGCCTCGTTGGCTAGCATATACAGAGTGTCAACTGGTGTCAACGTCCGTCTCGCACGGCCGGAGTTGATGTGGCAGTCTTGACTTTGCCGATGCTCACCGTCGTGTCACCTTCTAGAGCCCTCCAATGATCGCGGTTAGATGTGCCGCGATCCTCGCCATGTCAGAGCATCAGGAGCAGTGATCAGCTTGGACGAGCAGCATGCGCATGGGCCACCAACCTGTTCACCCCTGCGGTGTCTGTTTATACCTCTGCTCGAACTCGTGACTACTTAGACTTGCACTCACTCGTGACTCCCTTGAACGCGCATGTCGATCGACGCGCGCGTAATCTCGCGTGCCCATGCCGCGCGGCTGTTCGACACAGGGGCTCCACTCACGACATGGCTCTGCATCGGCACGGCAGCAGCTCTAGGGGCGGTGGTGCGCAACCGCGTCATTCTGACACCGATGACTCTTCTCCAAATTAGATGAGGCGCTCATATCGCGCAGCAGCCTAGCTGGGCCGCTACACAACAGTCGCAGTGTTCGTGATTACTCGATATAGGTACACACCATAGCTGTATCGAGCAGAGTGCCGTGCCGGTGTTTGACTCCTGATCATGATATGAGTACCGTGTTGCGTCTACTCTACACACTGCACCACTCCTGATGAGCGAGCCCTCGATTCAAATTTCACACAAAGCTTCGAGAAAAGTAAATTTGAGGGGACTGCGCGTTAAAGCCGGCAGTCAGGCACTGCTGCATGACATGACCCTGCTGCACGCGGTCACATAGCATGCAGCAGCTAGCCAGTACAGTCATCAGCAGCAGAGAGTACGCGTGTATAGGCGGCTGCGCAAAGCCGCGTGGCGCTGCATCGCTTCGACTTTTTGCACGGCGCAGTCACGGTGCATATGCAGTGACTGACTGCTGCTGGTGAAACCTGCAAATTATGCCCTCGATCGATCGCTGCGCGTGTAGAAGAGGCGAGCCGAGGCGAAGCGAAGCGGATTGCTTTCTGACGCTCACGCCCATGCCCGTCATCCAATCCAAGGCCATATCGCTGAGTGTAGCTGCTTGCTTTTCACATGAGCAGCTAACTCGCGAGGGCCCTCGATCACCTCATTGGGGCTCATTGGCTCCTCTTCAAGTGCGCTCCTGGTTCTTGACGTCGACTTGTTGGCTTGCGTGAGAAGGCACTCTCCGCTACGCCAGGCATTACGCGTCATTCACTCGGGAGATCTGACTTGAGGAGGTCACTGAGGCTTCAAGCCACGAGCTTGCTGCGCTCAGGCTTATCGCGCCACGAGAGCCAGAATTGCAGGTCAAGACTTGAGGAGCTCGAATCAGGGACGCCTTCATTGGCAGCTCTCTGATCTCGGCAGCACGCCTGCTTGCCCAGCAGGCGCGAAGCTTCTCTAGCATTCTCGGAACCTTTGTCGCCGGGCTTGCTAGTCTGCGCTCTGGTCCCAGCATCCACGTCTCATCATGGCTTACACTCGCGCAGGTCACCACGACCTAAACGCATTGGGCAATCCTAATGGCAACACGCCAGGGCAACCCGCGCCTGGTCAGCATGCATACAGCCAGCATCCCGAGTATCAGGTCCAGCATGCGTCGATCGCTGGACAAGGTGGATGGGGTAGCAGCCAGCACCAGCTCAGCGATCCCGCTCAGACTGTCGCTCATAGTGGAGTCACCATGTCCGGACAACCAGCAGCACAAATGCAAGATGGTGGTGTGGTCCTGATGGATTCTTTTGGCAACCAGACTGGCTACTGGCCCCCTCCTCAAGCACCGAGGCTGACCGCAGCTGCTCCACGAGGAGGTGCGCGCAACATGTGGGGCGCTGCCTGGCAGAATCATCCTTCGAACAGTGCATACTTGCCCCAACAGCGTCGGACGCCGTGGGCTGCCGATTCGTGGAATCAAATGCACCCAACGACCCATCCCAGTACGGCAGGGTACTACCAGAATCAAGGCGCTCAGTACCAGCATCAATCTCTACTTCACGAACAGCTGCGAAAGCTGCAACAGGATGCTGACGCCCAGCTGCCCCAGCAGCAGTCGTCCCATCTCCCGCTTTCTGAGGCCTGGTCGCAAGCGCCCCACAACATAGCCAATCCCGCTTACTCTCATGTGCTCTCACAATACCAACACCAGATACCCTCGGGTCACCAGCCCTATCCGACACAATCTCGGATCGCACCACAGAGCGCTCATCATCCATCCGTTGACGTCCACCTTAATAGCCTGACGCAGCCTCAGCATCTGCCTTATCACTACTCGGCGGATGGCAATGCGTATCCTGCGGGACACGCCCAATCTCATACAGCCCTGCAACCTGCGGCTATGGGCCACACTACCTCGACATATTCTGTGTCACAACATGCTCCAGCTTACCAATCGCAATGGCCATCAGCAGATGCGCAGATTCCAGGACCGCATTCATATGCGCACCCTGACGCTGATGGGTTCGGCACAGCCTGCCAGCCTCAGCCATCGTCGCATCAAGGTACAATGCCCATGGAGCAGCTCAGCGCCATGGGCCCATCCACATGGAATCGACCTGCTCCGCCAAATTGGCAGGTGCAGCCTGAGCATACGAGTCAAGCTCACTTTCCCCCCAGGCCCCATGACTGGAACGCCGCGGCTCCCACAGACCCAAGGCGAGGTAGTGACCAGCAAGTCATGAACGTGCCTGCGCCACCTCCTTCAGCCGAACAGGAGCGAATTGCTCCGCCCGCAGAAGGCCCCGCTCCGCCCTCTCCCGCCACGCTGGATAAGTCAGCTTGCCCACTGTCTGCCATGGGCGCCGAGATCATTTGGGGAGCGAGTGCAGCACTCTTCGATCCTGCATTGATCTCTGTCCAATATGAGTCGCCGCAACAGCGAGGGCGCGCAACAAGCTCCGCGCAGAGCAGTCCTCTGCTTGCAACGCCGCAGATGTCGCCAAATTTTTCATCCTTCGCATCTTGGACCAAAGCGGAGGCTACCAGCGGGCCAGCGCTAAAGGCCGTCGCGACGCATGAGTTAAGCAAATCGCCTCAACACCGCAGTTGGAACACTGGACTAGCAGGGGAGCTCAATACAGCGCCAGTCAGCTTGCTCCATCGTTTGGCTGTGGAAGGCGCTGGTGCTGCTAGTGCTGCACTTGCTGCAAATCAGAAGCCTGGCGTTCATCACCGCGAGAGTGGTGACAGCTCGACAGGAAGCAATTCCAGCACCAGCGAGCCAGGCACGCCGCCGTCCATCGACGAGTCCGACCTTGGCATTCGATCTTCGCCCAAAAGTCGAATGGACATGTCTGTTGGGGCAGATGAAAGAGCTGCTCCACCACCCTCCGAAGAATCGCTGAATGCCGGCGCCACAAATACGAAGACAGGCTCGACTGCTACGCCTTCCATGCGGCAACAAGGAGATAGATCGAAGCAAGCAATCCTTGCGGTTCTAGGGTTGGTTTCCCCGTATTGGAGGTGGAGTGTCAACGACGATAAGCTTTCCTCGGTCATTGTCGCCAATGTATCCACCAGGACCGGGACTAGGGAGGGCTCACCCACTGCTGTGCCCATGACAGCCACGCGCACTCGTCGCAGCTCCAGCACATACAGCTCTCGTCACGCCGGGCATGCCGGAGCTATGCCTGGCGCTGACGTGAGTCCAGCATTTCGACGCTTCTGCCAGCAAGTCTTGGCGCAGACGCTCCTCAGTCCAACCGCTTTCCTGCTCGCCATCCTCTACGCGGTGCGCGTCCCGTATCTGTTCAGGACGAGCGACGCTTTGCTGTGCGATGAAGGTCGCGAAATTTTTGCCAACCCACCTTCCGCTGCGCCCTTCAAGCTGTTCACCTTGGGGTTGATGTTGTCCAACAGTGAGTGAAAATGCAAGCACGTGTATCTGCGGCCGCTGACCACGTTTCGGCTCCCACTACAGAAGTCATCGAGGACAACACCTTCCTGAACAAGACCTGGTGCGATGTTACTGGGATCCCGCTCGCTGAGTTGAACCGCATGGAGAGCGTCTATCTGTCAAAATGCGGCTATGAAGTAGCGGTGCCCCACACGTTGTGGGTGGCGTACCTGCGGCGGATACGCGCCAGGGAAGAACAGAAGCTCAACGTGCTGCCCTTTCTTGGAGCTCGTCGTATGTCGCGCGGACGGATGTCGGCTGGCAGTCCTGCAGGCCAGGACCAAGTTCTGCTGTCGCCTTCGGGTGGTTCAAGTACCCTTGAATCTTCGAGACGCTTCCTGGTTGCGATCGAGGATTGTCTTGGTGCCCTCGGTGAACTGCACGAGGCGCCAGTGGAGGAGCCTGGGATGATGGACGTAACACATCCAGCCGACGATATCTCAGACGACAGGACGCATCGGGACGGGCCATCGGCTTCTTCGGACGGCTGGTTCACGACAAAATTAGGCATAGACTCACGACCCGAAGCTGGGCGTATGCAGCGCCCCACAGCTGCTCTGCAAGCTGCTCATCAGCACTGCCGCTCTGCTCCAGCAGCTGCTCTCGATTTCCGATCTTCTTCGCAAATCAGCCCAACCACTACTTCCCACGACTTGGATGACGTCTTTGATGATGATTGCTCGCCGATTCGCCCGCGCAACGCATCTTCGCGGGGTGCGTTGACGAGCACGAAAGTTGCGCATCCGTTGGCACACGCTGCGCGACCAAGTCTGGATGTAAATCTGACTAGATCGCATTCGGATTGGTCTGATGGGCTCGCTAGCTTTGCCAGAGTTGCTCCGCCGCACTTGACCACGGGCCCCAATCAGCACGACCATGGCGCCATTTCTCAAATCACCTCTCGTGCAGAGGCTCCTTTGGCACCTGGCATTTTGCTCGCGATGCTCAATCAGTTGTAGGCGCACAGATTGGGACTAGCCAGTCTTGCACAGGCCTTCGAGCCTTGAGGTCTTGCTGTGGCAACACATGGCCATGACTTTGTGGAGTCCATCCCTGCGGCCGCCGAGCATCTATGCGCGGGCGCTGGAGCGCGCAGCTTCGTCAAGGGACCGCTTCCCCAACGTCCTTCCTTGGCACCCGATTCGATCCGACCCCTCCATTTAGGTTACCTTCTCGCTTCGCTTCGCTTCGATTCGACTCGACCGGCCGACGACCCGCAAAATGAACCAGGGCCCAGCCACCTATTCCGAGTATCCGCGCCTCGTCGTCGCCACGACTTTCCGTGGCCCAACTTAGCCATGAGCATCAAAGCGTCGTCATAACGTCGCTGCAAAAGCGACTTGCTTCTTGTGCAAGTTGCCTCCGCTGGTTGGTCCTTACCTCACCTTGCTGCGAATTCCTGCATATCATCAAGGTGATGGCGCATTCAAATTACAGCGCCGGACGGGCCCTCCTCATCCGGATGACATTCATTCGTAGACGATGCACCTGTGGCCTGTCACGCCATCCGGGCTATGTTAGGGTTTAGTCTTAAGCTACCTACAGCTCGCTTCAAGCAGCATCCTTACCCTCTTTTCCAATGTACCGATCGCTATTAGCAGCACACATCCGCTCTATACTTGCCGCCTTTCCTCATGTCCATATTTAACACCTCAGCCCAGGCCTGTTGCGTCGCAATTATGACAGAATAATCTAGCTGGCATCCAAAAGCTGACAAAGCTTTTGATGCGTGTGCAGACCGAAGGCTTGCCTGTTGGGTCTCCCGCACCGCCGCGCTCTCGAGAGACAAAGATGGCCCGATGTCGAGTGGACCATGCGGACGGGTCTGTTTCTGTGCGCTTCTAACCTCACGGTTGCCTTGGCTGATGACGCAATCAGCTCACAATTCTGACTGCTCAGCCAAGCAGAGCTGGCGCGTTACTCATCAGGCACGCGCGCAGCACGCTTACCATGCAGCAGCAGGGCCAGGCTGGCAGCAGCACGTTCGGCGCTAAGTTGCATGTGCGGTCCGATTCGGTTCGCACAGCCAGCATGGGTGCAGCTTGCGGCCATAGATACATATGGCTGAACCCTGAACGGTACGTGGTGCTGTCGTCACTCACACTCGACTCGCTGGATAATTCCACATTCACATTCACGATTCACGATTCTGATTCTAAATTGTCGACGATCTCATGATTCTGGGAATCACACCAAGCTTCAGCTCTACTGCGACCCTTCGACTGCAACGTCGACTCTTCATTTCATTCGCCACGATTGTGCTCGTCTGCTCAGTCAGATTCTACCGATCGGGTCTTTCTACGGAAGCGCGCCGCATACACCGACCAACCTCTCTCGCTCGCGAGTTCCGTCAAACCATATAGGCACGTTCACTGGTTCGTGAAGTGATTGGGCGAGCAAAGACGAACAGAGGCGAAGCATTCATGTCCGCCTCGGCAGCATCTCACGCTGCGGCCGAGCAGACGCAGCCTTTGCTCGCACCCGGCGGAGAAGAGGAAGGTCTTCAACATCAACGACATTACGCGCGAGGCGGAGAACATTTGTCAGGAGAGACGGAGGCAGAGGAGGAGGAGAGAAGAGTGTTGAGAGAGACGGATAGAGACTCTACACCTTGGCGAGTGTTTAGGAGCAACAATATGTCGGGATCTGCTTGGGTTGTTCAGGTGAGCAAAAGAAAGTGTGCGTGTGAAGGTTTCATTGCCTTGTGAGCTCATGCCGCACCAAACAATCACCTTGTCGCAGATATTTGCGGTGGCCTTTGTGGCGCTCGTCTGGTCTTTGGTGTTCAGCAAAATGCCCTGGAATAATTTACCGCTGTTTGGCTATCATCCGTTGTTGCAGGTGTGTGCCACTGTCGACGTCTCGTGCGGAGTGTCTTGCGCTGACGGGCACGTGGCGTGGCGCTCCACAGTCGCTGGGTCTCGTCTTCATCAGTCAATCCATCCTCGTCCTTCAGCCAACGACGACGAGCAGACCCAAATCCAAAGCTTCGGCCCTTCTGCTGCACCAGCTCATCCATCTTGGAATCGTGCTGCCGCTCTTTACAGCTGGCGCCATCATCATGTGGTACCTTCATTCCAAACCCGGCACACAGCATTTCATCAGCTGGCATGGCACCCTCGGTTTTGCCGCTGTCATTATCGCTTGGGTGCAGGCTGCTGTTGGTGCGGCTACTGTATGGGGAAATGGCACGCTTCTTGGAGGACCAAATAAAGCCAAAGGGCTGTGGAAGTGGCACAGGTGCGTAGATGCGCTCGGAGCAGCGCACACCTTCTTCACAGATATCTGACCATGCTCGTTCCTCGCATTACCGCGCTCCGACTCGCCACCACAGATTGTCTGGATACATCCTCCTCCCGCTGTTCCTCCTCACCTTCCTGCTCGCCATCCTCGAGACGACTTGGATGCAAGGTGCCACGAGCGGCAAGGAGAGAGCCGTCATCGTCTTAGCCCTCGTTGGCACGTTTCTGGGCGGCGCAGCGAGGGTGCAGACTAGCAAGCTTCCCAAGAAGACCGACTTTGTGCCGGCTGGACGTAGGTGAGGGGTTATGCGGGATTTCGATTGCATTCGTTTGCTTGTCGAATGAGTCAATACCTTTGTACACTATAGGAAGCTCTCTGACGACAGTTTCGAGGGGTAATCATTCATTGTGAAGAAGCGCTGTGTGTTTTGTTCTTGCTTTACAACTTCGACCGGCTGTCAGCTGTCGATGCGGGAGTCCTTCCGCAAGATCTGCCAAAGTGCCGGCCCGCCGGCGATTGCGTAGCCGTAGGCGCTACACCTCAATATTCTGATTGTAGGCATCGGGACTGAATTGCGCGATGAGGCCCCAAAGCATTGGCTTTCTGCAAATGGAGGACGGCTGGGTCGATATATGGAAAGTGTGACCTTGAGATTGATATTGAAATCACAGTGATAAGTCGAGAGCCGCTGTGTGAGTTCAAATCGATTCAAGATCACCGCGCTCATTCGTGATTACTCAGGCAGATGCGGCGGCGAAACGGCCTGAAGACTTGGGTCAGTCACGTGACTTGCGCCAAGAATTGACCCAGCTGCACGAAAAGCCAAGCCCTGCAAGCTGCAGGACAGGGGCACTCGACTCTTCGTCAGCAGGCCAGCAGCGCCGCACTGCATGTCACCTTCCTCTCACCTCCTCAACGCCAAGAACGAGGCTCTCGACGCTCGAGGTGAGCGTGAAGCGGAGCGGAAAAGCAGCAAGATGGTTGCATTTCGCTCAGGTGGCGCTTCTGAGATTTTCTTGGCACGTCCTGGATGGGATCTCACTATGAACAAGACAAGGAGGACGAGTGTTGCACCGCGCGTGCACAACGCTCTGCGCAGGCATCTCTAGCACGATGCACACTCTTTTGCTTGGCCCTTGGCATCCACGAGCGACGCAAATCAGCGCATACAGTGCCCGACAAACGTTCCGTTCGTGTCACCCAAAGCGCGGCACGGTTCAAGATTGGCAAACGCTCTCCAGCACTGGGCGCTTGAACAGTCGCACGACCAAGCGTGAGACATGTCGAGCAAAGATGAAGATGCTGAAGTTACAGTGCGACTACTTCCGTCTGCAGAGTCGTCTGTTTGATGCTGGAATCACGGTGCGACTACTTGCCCCCACGGACCCGTCTGACTCGGTGTCTCTTGCCCACGTCCGACGGGAGTCTGCGGCGATCGTGCATCGCCAAGCCACGCTCGCCGTCCCAAAAAATGCGCAAATGTGGTGCTATTTCGGAACGAAGTCGACAGGGTCCTCTGCCTGACGTGACGACGGGCATGGTGAGGGCCATGTCGAAATGCCATAAATGCTCGTCCACCCCGGCGGCATCCTATACACACCCCCAACCTGTTAGACTTTGTCACCGCGACGCACTCACGTTTACACGTTGCGCACGAACACGATGCCAACCATCAACCCTCACTACTCTCCATTGGTGCCCGGTGCCAATCTCAGTTCTGACCGCAACGCAGAATCGTACGGTAGACCGAACGCAGCATTCAATCGACAACCCTCTTCTCCCTCCGCCCAAACTCCTTTGATGCATTCGTCTTCCCCTCGTCGGCCCAGCCCGACGGGATCCGCTCCCTCTTCGTCCCACTCGTCCGGTCACACACCGGCTTCTAGCACTCGTCCACTAGCTCAACCCAGTAACTATGGAAGCTCCTCCTCATCGCTCAACTCGGGTCGTCGGTATGCACCAGGTGGATTCACGGCTGTGGGACAATCTGGAGCGACAGCGATCGCTGCCGCTGCTCGGACACAGCGAGATGCCAATGCTTCAGGCGTTAGTTCGTTAGGATCGAACGATTCCTTCGACAAGCGCCTAAGTAGCGCTTCCGAAAAGTATTCTTACGCTGCTCCAGTAGCATTTGCTTCCCTGCCCGACTCGTGGGGCAGGCCTGGTACCATCGAAGATGATGATTATCTCCACGATCCAAAGATTGGCAAATCGCCAAACAGTCGTGGTTCCATCTTTACCCTTCGTGGGCTAGTCAACATCGGAACGGTCGCGCTTCTCGCTGCTGGTCTGCTCATGCTATTCGGTGGATACCCCCTCATGTACCATATTCTCCAAGAGCAAGAAAGCAACAAGGGTGGTTTCGGTATGGGAGGAACCAACAGCAGCGGGCAGATTCCCGAAAACTTTCGCGGCCTCATCGACCCTGACACGCCACGGTCGGCATATCGCCGAAGAAGCATCGACGGTCAACGAAACATGAATCTTGTCTTTAGCGACGAATTCAATGTCGACGGTCGATCTTTTTATCCGGGTGACGATCCCTTTTGGGAAGCAGTGGACCTTCATTACTGGGGAACAGGCGACTACGAATGGTGAGTCCACCAGTGGTGCGCGCGACCGTCATCTCTTATTGACTGACCACAACATTACCCTTGTAGGTACGATCCTTCCGCTGTCACTACCGAGGGAGGTAACATGGTCATCACCATGATCGAGCATGCCCACAGAAATATGAACTTCCGAAGCGGCATGGTGCAGTCATGGAACAAATTCTGCTTCACTGGAGGTCACATCGAATTCCGCGTCAGACTTCCCGGCGCTCACGACATTCCTGGTGGGTTTGACAATCTCGCACACGTGCTCTGCGCAAACGACGCCCTCGGACTGATGTGATATATCCTCACCCCTCATTGTGCAGGTCTTTGGCCCGCTGCGTGGACGATGGGTGCGTGTCTACAGAGTGCAGTGTGGGAGAGCTGACGAGAAGGCTGTGGGCGCGGGGCTCGCTTGCTGCGCCATCCGATGCGACCTGAATCTTACTCTGACGTGCTCTGACCCCTTCACCCACCACACTCTTACTCACATAGGCAATCTTGGACGCGCTGGTCACGGTGCGAGCACAGAAGGTGAGTTACTCCAGCGGTCTACGATGCTGCGCTCGTGCTGACACATGAGCACTTCTCCGCATTGGCAGGGTACGTCGCTTGATCTCGCCAGTATTCTTCAGCGAAGCTTGGCTCATGCTAATACATTTCTTGCCTTGGAATTTCAGTCTCTGGCCCTACACTTATGACGCGTGAGTGTGCCCGACGACGCGCAGGGTAGCTACGTAGCGGTAGGGCAGTCTTTCAGCAGCGTGCCTCCGTTGTCGGACGTATGCCTGGGCAAAGTGGCTGGTCGCTCGACCATTGTCCTCGACGCCCGATATGGTGTGGCTTACACGTCTCTCACCCTGATGCATCCAGATGCGACGTCGGCACTCTCGCGAATCAGACGTACCCCGAAGGTGGTCCCATCGCAGCTGCGACCACAGGCACATACCCTGAAGAGTACGGTGGTACGCTCAGTTACTTGCCTGGTCAACGACTTTCCAGATGCACATGTCCAGACTTCGAAGACCATCCAGGTCCTAAGCACCCAGATGGCACCTACGTGGGTCGAGCAGCTCCAGAGATCGACGCAATTGAGGCCGCTGCTGGTCAGCGCCCAGGCGTTTCTGGCGACGTCAGCATGAGCTTGCAGCTGGCACCGTTCGATGCCGGCATGAACATCACGCTCGACGGTGGCGCTGTCGAGTATCACTCGCAATTCTCCAATGGACAGAACAACTACAAGGGTGGCGTGTGGCAGCAATGCGCTAGCAGTCTCATCACCACTCCAGACAACAACTACGAGGACACGGGTGGAGAATACGATCAGTATGGCTTCGAGTACCGACCTGGATACGAGAGCGATGGCGGCTTCATCACCTGGACTGCTCACGGTGGCAGACCGATGTGGACGCTGCGCGCCCGCGCTCTCGGCGCCAACCCCGAAACCGAAATCGCCGCCCGGCCCATTCCAGTCGAGCCCATGTACATCATCATGAACCTGGGCATGTCCGAAGGCTTCTCTCCCGTCGACTTTGACAGACTTACCTTCCCTGCAAAGTACCTGATCGATTACGTCAGAGTCTGGCAAGACGAAGGAAGCGAAAATGTGGGATGCTCACCCGAGAATATGCCCACGAAGGATTACATCGACAGGCACATCGATGTGTACACCAACCCCAACTTGACCACTTGGACCGCGACTGCTGCTCGCGGAGGCTACAACCGACCTTTTGCGCCGAATCGCCTTCTCGGACAATGTTAAAGACTCCCTGCAACATATCACACTCATCTCGCGCTGCGGCTTCTGGACTTGCTCTACCTTCCGCTCATCAGCCCCAACTCTTCGAGGACGCGGACAATTGCTGCATTTTGCTTTTCTCGTCAATACATCAATCGACTTCTCGTGTTGAGGGCTACTTCTGCGTGTCGATGGCTTTAGTGTTCAGACTCAGGCGGCTAAATTTGCGATTGAGGCACAAAGAATGCGGTGGGAGTGCGGCCAAGCTAGCGAATACGTTGCGGGTGTGTGTGGTCTCGCGTGGGGATGTCCACAAGACGGATTGCGGTGAGACGCACCGTAATTGGGTAAGTGGTCGCGTCAATGCGATGCCGTCGCTGGCACGTGTCGCAGGGCCACCTTTCTCCCTTGCCCTTCTCTCTCCTCGGACCTTGGTGAAGTCTCTCTGTGGGGAGGACCACCATGTCTAGCAATTTTGTCGCTCGAGGCCCAGATCAAAGCCGAGGCGCACGGCGTATAGGTGTCACGTGCTTCGTACGCATCCGTCTGCACAGCATGAACACATCCTTTCATGTAGATAGTCTTTTGAGTCTCCTCTCCAGTCTTGATTACAACCGCCAACATCGAGTGTGTTCAGGCGTGATCATATGTCTACAAGCTGTCCGGGCCCGGTGCAACGAACTGCGGAGACATTGCGCTGTTGCGGCGCCAAGCCGAAGGAGTTTGAATACCATCGGATGCATAAAAAGGAGAGAACGACGATCCAAGGCTGCGCGTGCTTGTCATGGAAGCGGGCCCTTCAAGGCTTGTTTGACGCTGTCAGGAGCGTGAGTAGAAGCGTACTGTGTATTCTACGGAGGATTGACCTTTGCTCACGATCAAGACTCATTAGTCTTGAGTGTCGAAGGCTCCGTGAAACTTGACAGGTACGCCATCGTGCACCACTGCCGAGCTCCTTGCAGAAGAACGCGAAGCGGTATGCATGCTTGACTGAGCCTTGATGGTTCGGTGCAGGCGCTGGTCGTCCTCTACCCCGACGTCTCAAGAAAGCGCTAGAGCAGGGCGAGGATGTTGAGTCCCCATGCACATCTTCCTGGGCATGCCCCTCCGACCACGACGCACACAAAGAGACCTGCCGCTCCTTCGACTCACGACCAAAGTCGGTAGGGCCGCCGCAACACGGATTCGTCAGGCGTGTGGCTGACGTTCCATGCATGAAGCTGGGGTCCCAATTCGAATCTCGAATATAACTCACGACCAAAGTCGGTAGGGCCGCCGCAACACGGATTCGTCAGGCGTGTGGCTGACGTTCCATGCATGAAGCTGGATGGGCACTCGAGCTCTGTATCAGGCTGAGCAGCTCAGCATTCATCCAGCATCTACGGCGTGTCGTACAGTCGCCTGATTTCCACATCGCAGCGGTCCTGCTCGATACTCACGCTGCCCGCTTGCGCGCTACATCCGCCGCGAGTCAGCGCTAATGTGTGCGCTGTATGCACGGATTAGGAATTCAGTACTGTCGAGGTGAGTTCACGTCGCTGCGAGAGCCAGCAGCGCGGAGGTTTCGGTCCGCGTACACACGGGCTCTCATTCCGAAACCAACGGCCAAGGGCACCCTCACAGACCATATGCTGCTCCTTCTCTGGCCCCAATCATCCACACGCTGTGTGACCTCTTTTCCTTGCGCCAGATAATTTGCAGATTCTGGACAGGGCTATCTTTGCTTTCCGTCTCGGTGGGCCATCGCTGCATGCCCCGTCATGCAAGTGAGCTTTAATCCCGGCCAGTTTTAGAGCGCACGCATGTAGGGCCGCACGCTGCATCGTTGTTGCTCAGACGCAGCAAAGCCAGGCGGAATCCTGGCCCCATCCCAGTCAGCAACCCTCGCAAGTGGCGGATGTACAGCGCAAGAGAAGCAGCGAACAGTCTGTGAGTGCGGTACATGTACGTGCCCAGATTCACGACTCAAGGCCCGCGCTGTGGCTGGGACGAGCACACACTCTGTACGGTTCGGTGCAGTCAGTCATGAGTATGATCGTGGGTTCTGGTGGCGCTTCTGACGAATAGAAAGGAAGAAAGTCTGCCAGCTTACTCCCTCGACCCCTGGCCGCGAGGCCCGGGTACGAGACGATTCGGGAAAGGCTACGCAGCGACGAGCGGTCTTCAGGCACAGCTCCTTTCAAATTGCTATGATGGCCATTACGAATCGGGGTTCAGAATTGCCGCACCTTCTTAGTCCCAAGCTACTACTGTACAGTACTACTGCATGGCTGCAAGAGTCACACAGTCAGAGTGCAGTAGTCTGACCGCGTACTCGTCAGGATGAGTCCGTATGTAAGCCTCGCACAGGGCCGGCCGCCGACTGAATGGAAGTGTCCCTGCAGAATAAGACCCTGCTGCACTGCAGCTGCTGCTTGCGCTGGTAGCAGCCTGCTCGCTGCTTTCCTGCCGCTCCATCGGCAACCAAAAGTTCTGCAGAGCTGCTATCTGCGTCGTCGTAGTTGTTGCTGTAAAATTAGAGCCTCAAGTGCTGCAGCATACACCCAGCAAGCTCATGCGAAATCTGCAAGTGCCCGGGCATGCCCGCCGAGCAACCTGCTCCTTCGTTGCGTGAGTAAGCTCATCAGTGCTGCAACTCTCACCCAGTGCCGATATTCTGCTCGACGCGTGATCGCACCGTGGCTGAACCCTGCCTCGCCGAGCGTAGCGCCATCCCATGAAGCTTGCTGCGCGACCCGCACCCTCCAATCAGCAGTCGCGGTGTCTGTGGTATACTTGCACACGCGTCTGCTTCGTACCTTTATGGCCGTAATCGCCCTTTTCTTGCCCTCTCTCCCCTCTCGTCCTTTTCCCTTCTGTCAGGGCTTCGGCCCGCCTCGCTTGTCCGCGCACTTCGCTGCCTTGGTTCATCGCTTGCGATCACTTACCAGCGTTTCAAGTGATAGTGTCCACCCAACAGTCGCCCCAGCCGCTCAGCACACAGTCGTCGCGTACTACGCATACATAATCGTCCTGTCTTCGGACCCACACCCACCTCTGCTGACATGGCTGACGACACAATCGCAAATCCTGGCCTGACATCGCGGCCTTCTGAGGGAGCTACCCCGACCGGTTCGAGCTCATCTACAAGTGAGCTCGGTGCCTCATCGGACCAAAGCTCGCCTACGGATCAAGCTTCCATCAAAGCCCCATTGTCTCCCCCACGGCAGTCTGAGCAGGAAAATACAGCCTCCGATAGCTCTCCGTCCTCTCCAAGGGACCAAAAATTACCCTTCTGGTCCACAGCTCCAAAGAAGCCAGACTTCGAAGACGAGGAGGAGTGGGAACGATTCTTTGCGGCTTACAGAGCAGGTCGATGGGCGGACTGGGCCAACGTTGCTGCTACCTCAGGAAAAGGTCCTGAGGCTGCGTTGCCAATAGAGCCAGCACAAAAATACGTGTATGATCAAGAGGGACACCTAATGGAGCCTCGCGGTGAGTAGACGGTGCGTAGTCGCAGTGTGATCAGCAGCGCACTCATCCACGCTACTGTCGCCTCGAAGAATTCTACCGTCGCCATGGATATCTGGCCCCTCCCTCCGTCCCATCTGCGCAGCGTCTGGCGCGCGAATATGCTGGGTGAGTGGTTGAATGTCGAGGCAACACTTGTCGATTTCAACAACACCCCCATGGCTAACATCTTCGAAGACTTACATAGCATCTGGCACAGCTGCTCACTGCCCAGGCGCAATATGAAGCGGCACGCAGCTGATCGCTATGCAAGACACGCCAAGGCGGTGTTTAGAGCAGCGGCCGCAACAGTCACAGTGGCTTGCGCTCAGACGACCGAGCCAAAGATCCTTTTCCTTGGTCAAGCAGGATGGCTCGCGGATAGCGTGATTCAGGCAAGTCAGGCGCTTTGCGCTCATGCCATGCTGAGTCCACGTGCGGTCGTCTGCATTCCGGACCTTGACGAGGATTGGCGTACAGCTGGCCTGCAACCGAGGGATTCCCGGGGCCAGCGGGTCAGATTCTACGCTTCAGCTCCTTTGGTTTTGTCAACGCCTGATGCGGATGGACCTGCCAGTCAGCAAGTCTGTGGCGGTTTGAGCAAGGTAGAGCTAGGTCGGCTCACTATTTTGGGAACTGAGCCACGCTCGGACTTCAGTGAGGACGACGCACGTCTATTGCAAGACATCGCAGATATGGTCAGCGAAGCTTTGGAGCACGAGGCAAAACATTCTCAAGTCCAAAGAATGAAGAAAAATCAAATCGCAATCGCACAGCTTGCGCGCGACACAGCCGACGATGTGGACGACATGGACCGTGATGACATGCAGGAAGACCAGGAAATGCTTGGACATCAGCACTTCACATCTTCATCAGCTGCCAACAGGTCTGGCCACGTTCGACCGCGCAGGTTGCAGAAGGTGGCGAATTTGGTCCGATCCACTTTTGAAGCGAGCGCAGTGTACGCTATTGATGTCACGCCTGCTCGCATCACCTCACATCGAAGATCCTCAACTCATGGGGAGAGCCAAATTTCTGGTCGTCCTGTCACAGACTCTCCCCACTCTGCCAGCAGCGCTACCTACCCACAAACGCCCTGGCTGCATTCGTCAGGCTCCAGCGGCCCTCCGATCACACCTCTTACACCTTCGTCGCAGGACGTGCACGCGCACTCCTTCTTCCCCGACGTAAGCTCTTCCTCTGTAGCAGCTGACATCAACGCTGTGGCGGGTACTCCGCCCCTCTCTGCCCTCTCGCCAACGTTTTCCACCGGCTTCTCAACTCGTCGTCCAACACTGCGACACCAGGCAACTCATTCTTCTTCTGCGAGCGGCAGCGGTCTTGGTTCGGGCTTCGTGCCATCTAGCAGCAGCTCGACGAGTCACAGGCAGTCGTGGTCCGCAGCGACCGCCCATCGGATCTCGCATGCCAGTCAAGGCAGTGACGCGTCGTCAGGAGAATACTCTGGCCATACAAGCGTCGATGCAAGTAGCCAGACCAGCGAGCTAGAATTCACTTGCTCTGTGGCCCCAGATAGCACCTTTCAATTCCTGGCACTGGCTGGCCGGCCCGAACGTGTGCACGAGCTAGACATTGAGTCACATGAAGCTCAAAATGCGCTGTGTCAATACATGGCTAGCCGCAGAGAGCGCTCGGATCTTGACATCGACATGCACTTCGGCGTCGTGCCGCTGCACGACGATATCGTTTACCCCAATCAGGACGCCCTCTACTCGGATGCGCTTGAGCCCTTGTGGGCTTCTTCGGGACGACAACCAGCCACCGCCCTGACAATGCTGGTTTTTGATCACGATCGGCAACCCACCTACCTTATCCTCGCTTGCTTCGACGAGCTGCGACTCTTCGACGCTGGCGATCGGGGCTTCGGCCGCGCCTGCATTGCTCTCTTGTACGCTTGCGTTCTGCGTGACAGCGCTCGCATGACTTCCAAGCAAGAGTTGCAATTTGTCAGAAGAGTGCAGCACGAGCTGAGGACGCCTTTGCATGCGATTTTGGGCATCACAGACTTTTTGCGGGGCGTGGCAGCAAACGCGGGAGACGAGGGCACAGTGCAAGACTTGGATCATCAGATGCTCTCTGACCTGCTGCAAGCTATTCGCTTGGCGGGGACCAATTTGTCATCCATCCTCGACGATGTCCTCGATTTGGGAGAGGTGTCAGGCGTGAAGACAAACACGAGCACTCGAAATCGCTCCGCACAAGCCGATGAGGTAAGCGCAAAACCAGCCCTGGATACTCGTACAGAAGAGGTTTGTTTACGCAGTGAAGTGGAGGAAGCTGTGGAGAGCGAGCTCCAGATGGTGGAGATGAACAATCGACAGGACACTCAGATGGACCAGACAAGTCCCGCTAAGGGCCCGCCCATCGTCATCATCGATATTGCAGAGTCACTCGGCAAGCGATGGCGCATCGACCGCGCACGCACGCTGAAGGTCATCCGAAAGATTGTCAACAACGCGGTGCGCTTCAACCGGACCGAAGGAGGTCTAGTCGATGTGACGATCACACCTCGACGTGATGCTCCCAAACGCAGGCTGCAAAACGAAACGATCCGAAAAGTTGACGCACTTGTCGACAGCGCAAGACCGGCTAGCAGCGAGGGAGAGGTCATGGTCGACTTCGCCATCGAAGATACCGGCGTGGGTATGACGAACTCGTTCTGTGCTCACGATCTGGTGCGACCTTTCTCTAAACGCGATGGGTTCTCGCGAGGCATTGGCCTCGGTTTCACGATTTCTTCCGCCTTGACTTCTCAAATTGGCGGTTATATCGACGTCAAGAGCAAACTCGGGGTTGGCACAATCGTGACCGCCACCTTGCCGCTGATTCCCGTTCCAACAACGGAAGTCGCCTCTACAGCCGCCTTGCCTTACTGTGTTTCCAAAGTCTGGTTCGGCGGCTTCTCTGGCCATGCCTTAGAGCGCGCACAGAGCTTCATTCTGCGTCGACTGCAAACCGGCGGAATACAGCTGGTTTCGCACATGGAAGAAGCTGGATTGTGGATTTTGTCAGAAGGTGCCTCTCAAGCGTTCTGTGCGCTCCACGCCGGTACGGCTAGACAGCAGAAGCCGCGCGTCGCGGTGCTTGCCTCCAGTCCTACGGCGCCGACCAATTTCACCGAGCACCTCAAAGCTCTTCAGGTCCCGGTGGCCGTCATGCGAGCTCCTCTCTGTGGCACGCTGCTCGACCGACTGGAAATCTTTTTGAGAGACAAGTCTCCCACTATCATTCGTGCACCCCAACCGCACCTGCCTCTGCAAGAGCACGCAGAGCTTTCCCAGAGGACCAATGCTGTCCCGCCCTCCGTCGAGGGCGCCGTCGAGGGCGCGGCGGTCACTTCAAGCCCCCTCTCGGGTGCGACCGAGGTGGCTGCACAATCCTCAGCGCCCGAAAGCGCTGTGAAGAGCGGCGGTCCTTCTACATCTACTAGCCAAGAGGTCGCTAAACGGGCGGTATCCTCGAAAGCGATCTCGTCCTCTCCAGGCTCTGTGACTTTCTTGGAATCTGCTCCTGTCGATACCTTCGCTCGTCCCTCCTCGAACCCTTCGGTCGATATGAGCAGACCCGCAGCATACCGCGTGCTGCTCGTTGAGGACAATAGCGTCAACATGAAACTCTTGACGACCATCGTCAAACGACTCGGATTACCCTACGAGGAAGCCCATGACGGCGTCGAAGCTGTGGAGCGCTTCGTTGCATTCGAGCCTCAGCTGGTGCTCCTTGACATGTCAATGCCGCGCATGGATGGCTTTGAGGCGGCGCTCCATATGAGAGCCCACGACCTGCAACCCCGCCCTCGCATCGTCGCCATCACTGCCCTGTCATCTCCGGCAGATCGCGCGCGGGGCTTGGAATGCGGCTGCGACGAATGGCGCACCAAGCCGCTCTCCATTCGAGCCCTCAAGATCGACCTGGAACGGTGGTGCGCCGATCATCAAAGCCTGATGGCCTCTCAGAAAGCCGTGGACAGTCACCAGCCTGGCCAGCAAAGCGTCGCCGCATGACTGTGCGCGGCGAGTGTCTGAGCCACTTTCTCTCCAAGACTCCGCCCCGACTCTGGTTTGCCCAAATCTTTCCAGTCTCTTTGTGTCCCTTTTGCTCTGACCCACCTTGATCCCTTCCTCGCCTCCGGCACCAGACCCAGACTTCTCGCCTTGTTCACATAGTCACCCATCATTGCGTACGCATCGTTGACCCGTAACCCAATCTGAAGTAGCAGTAGCGCGACATACACGCCGGCGCTACTACTACAGCCTACCCTTCTCTTTGCACACTTAAACGCATTCGATTCGAGAATTGAATGTGCTGATTGCACAATCAAAAGAATTTGATCCACAGCACGAACAGTATCAAGAACGCGACTGCTCCGATTCTGAGCGAATGACGATGCGTACGGTAGAGCAGATTGCAGTTCTCAGTGTGAGCACATTGGGTGGTTTGCGCTCAGTTGGCAAAACCAAGGCATTGGCCATCATTGGCTATTGGCACACTTACGGAGCATATTGACGGATGAGGGCGTCGATACGGATCTGCTTGGCTGCTTTGCGATACTTGAGGGATTCATCCCGCAATGATGAAGACATAGTTGACATCTCTGTCCGAGTGTGCCAACAAGAGTCAGCGGACCTGGTGGCTGTCGCTTACAGCTCGACTGCGTGAGAGGTACTCACGATCTAGCGTCTCGCCTCTCCATAGCAAATCCTCCATGTTCTTGGTCATAACGGAAGCACTAAGAGTCGTGAATGGGTCTGGGATAAGAACAGATGCTCACGCCCGACGCTCGCCTTGCCAGACTCACACATCCTGCAGATCTTCGTTCAATCTGGTCAGATTGCTCCCGCTCTTCTCCTCTACCGCCGATTGGGCCGTCCTAGTGTCCGCATACAATCGCTTTGTTCTCTGCATAAACGTATCTGATCGGATCACGGCATACCGGATTTCAAATATACGCCAGAGAGTCTCACTCAGTGGGACCATCCCCTGTACAATTGGAAAATAGATACTGCTAGGGCATGTGTTCACTCACCAAAACCCACAAACGCGAAAGGTCTCAAATTCCTCTGGCCAACCTGCGCTCCGTACGACCTTTCGAATTCCTTGGCGAGCTCATCGAGATAGGAAAATGCCAGCTTTCTTGGGTAGCTCCTGTCAGTGATGACGAGAAACACGACCGCATCGGGTCTACCGGCAGGGACGGGCGAGATCTGGTAGTGGAGAGTGTACTTTGGACCGCTCTCGATTGTGCATCTTGGCTCTGCTTGAGGTGAGATGCGCCTGAAGAGCAACTTTGCCTGTTGCTTGTACTCGGAGAGCGCACTGTCGACTGCACTATCGTCCACTGACTGAGCGAGTGGAAGCCCATCCGAGACGCGCGCAATCTGCGTCGAGAGTACCATTTTCGTGCGACCCGCCACAGGCGTCACCACGTCTGCGATGAATGGGGGGTTGCCGATTGAAAGAACACTCTCGGCTGGTAAGGTTGCGTGTATGCCGTTGTGTAGTGGCCGCGGGCGCTTAAAGCGATGGTCTAGAAGAAGAGCTAAGAGGGAAGCTTGCGTGGGTCAGACTCGCAATGTGTCAATGAGGATGGTGAGCGCCATGAGGCATCACTGAATGGTCATTCAAACGATTCAGCAGCGGCTGCTAGCTGGTGTTGTGGTCAAGTCTCGAGCGGGGCCGCCGGCGGACACGTGACTGCGATCCAGGTTACGCTTTAATAATGCATGCTTTCAATGATTGATTCAAACAGATTTTAAGCTTCTAACGATGGATATTCGAATTTGACCGATGCCCTAATGGACTCGAGTTTCAGGTTTCCGCATCTGGGAAACATGTTGTTCTTGATTACCTCGCTCGGTCACAGAATTTGAAATTCTTCGCTAGGGTTCCCCTTCCGCGCATGGCTGTGCAAATCGCGAAGCTGCATGCGCGGGCCTTGCTTGAGCCAGCCGGCCAGGCTGGCAGAGTGGCCGTATATACAGCACGCAGCACGCAGCACGCGGATAGCGAATCCCTCGCACAAGCCACACATCATCAGCAGCAGGCCGCTGCTGCGTGACTGGGGACGCCGTGAGATGCAGGTATGTATCCCTTGGTCGATCGAACTCTCTATCGGCAGCAGGACAGCTGTGGCGCATGGGATATATGCACCGCACCGCACGGTGCGCAGCGTGAGCGAAGCATTGACCAGCTCACAACTCGCTAGACTTCCTGATTGAAGCTGCTTGTGGCCACCGTCATACGATACCACTGGCCCTGCACATCACTCATACTCTGAGCACCAGTAGCACCTGAGGACTGGGCTTCGGCAGCAGCATCGCGATCATCGTTTCTGGCAGAGTCAGAAAAGGCTACCCTCTGGCTCTCTGAATCACAGCATAGCGCATCTAGCGGGACCCGTTTCAATAGGGTCTTCAAGAAGCTTTTGGGAAGCGCGACGGCCTCTTGATTCGGTTCAAAGCGGGCTGAGTAGTCATGTGAGTCAGTGATGAGAAGCATGCACTCGTCATTACGCTGACTCCCCGTCTCCCCACCCAGGCCGGGCTTCAACGACCATGTGCCCACGCGGCCAATCGATCGTGACAAGGCTGAGATGGATCTCAACGTGACCATCAAGAAGGCAACTTCTGTGGATGAAACAGCTCCCAAGCAGAAGCACGTTCGGAGTGAGTACAGTTCGGAGAATCACATTCATACCTGTCTGCTCATCTGATCGCATTTTTGTGCTCTCTCCATGCAGAATGCATCATGTACACCCACGACTATCACACCTCGCAGTCCCTTTGGAATGGCTTGAGGGTGCAACCGATCCTCTCTGATGAGGTGCAAACCTTCAAGGCGCTCATCTTGGTTCACAAAGTGCTGCAGGAAGGTTTCCCCATCGTGCTGCGTGAAGCTCAAGCGCAGGTGGGATGGTTCGAGACATGCGCCCGTACAGTTGGAAGCGACAGCCTTCGAGGTGAGGCGTCCTCTTCGTCCAGTTGCGCTAGGTGCCGCTATCACTCACGCTGTTTGCTTTACCAGGTTACGCACCTCTGATCCGCGCATATGTCAATTTTATCTTGGCTAAGCTGCGTTTCCATAGGCATCACAAGGAGTTCAATGGGCTGTTCGAGTACGAGGAGTACATCAGTTTGAAGAATATTGACAACCCGGACGAAGGGTAGGTTTGAGCGAGGTCAGCAGCAGAAGCAACAGCTGACCCCATTCCTCGCCCATACCTTCGCTGCCTTAAAGATACGAAACGATCATGGATTTGATGAACCTGCAGGACCAGATCGAGCAGTTCCAGAAGCTCGTCTTTGCACATTTCAAGGGCTCTGCCAACAACGAGTGTCGCATCAGCTCCCTGGTGCCGCTGGTCAAGGAGTCTTACGGCATCTACAAGTTCTTGACCTCGATGCTGCGCGCGATGCACAGGCGCACAGATGCCATGGACGCATTAGAGCCGCTCAGAGGTCGCTACAACACGCAGCACTACGCCCTGCGTCGCTTCTACTACGAGTGTGCTAATTTGAAATTCCTGACTAGTCTTATCAACGTGCCCAAGCTCAATCACGATCCGCCCAACCTGTTCGACTCGCCCGACGAGGGCCCAGCTTTGCCAGCTCGGTCGACAAAGCCTGCAACGCCTCCCGGTCCCTCTCAGTCCGAAATCGACGAGCAAGCGAGGATGTTGAAGGAATATGAAGACCGTCAACGCGCTCTGCAGGAAGCTGAAGAGGCCGAAAAGCGGCGCAGAGCGGATGAGGCTGCTCGCCAGCAGCGCGACTTGGAGGAGCAGCAGCGTTTGCAAGCAGAGCGTGAGAGGCAAGCGCAGGAGGCATTGATGAGAGCTCAGATGGATCAGATGGCTGGTGGCCGAGCTGCAGAGCTCGAGCGGGAAATGCTCGCTATGAGGGGGCAATACGAGCGCGACCAGCTGATGCTAGAGCAGTATGACAGGCGTGTCAAAGCGCTGGAGAATGAGCTGGCCACTATCGGACAGAATGTCAACGCTCAACTCATGAGCAAAGACGACCTCCTCAAACAACTGCAAGATCAGGTTACCCTCTGGCGCAACAAGTACGAAGCCCTGGCAAAGCTCTACTCGCAGCTGCGAACGGAGCATCTCGATATGCTTGCCAAATACAAGCAGATGCAGATTAAGGCTGGCTCAGCACAAGAAGCCATTGACAAGATGGAGCGCATGGAGCGCGACGTCAAGGCCAAGAATCTGGAGCTGGCAGATATGATTCGAGAGCGGGATCGTGCACGTTTCGATTTGGACAGGATCAAAGCGGTGCGTTCAAGTAGTTGATCATTGGCATACATCGCGCCGCAATCGCTCACTTTCGCCTTTGCCGTTCTGCAGAGCCAAAAGGAAGAGTTCGACAGGCTCAAGCGCGACCTCATGTTTGCCAACGAGCGTGCTGAGGATGCAACTCGCGCCAAGAGCTCAGAGATGTCTGGCATCATGGCTACGCTCAATCGTCAGATCGCGGAGCTAGAAGACGAGCTGCGCAACAAGCGTGATGGCGGCGACGACCTGCGGCGTCAGCTGCATGACAAGGACGCGGAGATCACAAGGCTCAGAGAGGAGCAAGCTGCTGAGCTCGCCATCATGCAAGAAGGCATGGATGAGACGATCAAACAGATGCAGGAGCTCAAGCTGGGTCAAGGCGTGCAAGACGACGCTGTCAATGCGCAGATCGATACCCTCATCTTGGACAACTCGAAGAAGCTCAATGCAATCATCGATTCTATTTTGCAGGTGAGTGGCGCTTATCATCGTCGAGGTGTAGCAGAAGACTCAGAACTTGCGCTCCTCTTCCATGCATCTAGGCATGCGTTGAAAAAGTCGATGACGCGGTCTACGAGCTCGAAGCGACTTCTGCATCCGGCAATACGACAGCAACTCCGCAGTACGTCTTGTCCATCATCGAAAAAGGCGTGTCCTCTGCGAACGAATTCGCGACCGTGTACAGCCTGTATCTTTCTCAGGAGGCTGGTGGTGAGCACGTCGAGGTCATCAAAAAGGCCAATCAGCTCGCGCAAACCATATTTGACGTGCTTGTCAGCACGAAGGGCATCACGAGATTGGCGCAAACTGATGCTGCCGCCGAGAAGCTCATCAATGCTGGACGAACGGCTGGGAATGGCCTGATTCGTTTCTTTTCCAACCTTCAATCTTTCCGACTCGCCACTGTCGCTCCCGCGAACCGTCGCAATGTCGTAGCTCAGCAAAACATGGAGGCTGGCACTGCGCTCAAGACTCTCAACGACGTTGTTGAAGGCATGGTCAAGTCGGGCGATAGCGCGCTGGCATCTGCGAATGGCGATATTGGTGATTTGGTGGAGCGTGAAATGCAGGGAGCTGCTGCGGCCATCGAAGCAGCGACGAAGAGGCTGCAAGCCTTGATGAGTCGTCCGCGCGACACTGGCAAATTCAGTGCTGTCGACCTGCAAGTCCATGATGCCATTCTCGAAGCCTCTTTGGCCATCACGCGAGCCATCGGCGGGCTCATCAAAGCCGCAACGGATAGTCAGCAGGAGATTGTCGCTCAGGGACGTGGTTCGAGCACTAACCAGCAATTCTACAAGAAGAACAACAGGTGGACAGAGGGTCTCATTAGCGCTGCGAGGGCTGTAGCATTCGCCACCACGATGCTCATTGAAGCTGCCGATGGCGTCATTGTGGGCAGCCACAGCTTGGAGCAGCTCATAGTTGCGTCGAACGAGGTGTCGGCGGCCACCGCCCAACTCGTCGCTGCTTCTCGCGTCAAGGCCGAATTTATGAGCCGCACACAAGACCGTCTCGAGACGGCAGCAAAGGCGGTCACGGACGCTTGCAAGGGTGAGTCCTGCAGTCTCCTTTGGACCTACCATCAATCATTCCGGTCAGCTGACTCAGCTTTCTTGACTGCAGCGCTTGTCCGACAAGTCAAGGCGATCACCGAGCGCAAAAATGAGGAACATGACGTCGACTATTCGCGCATGGCCACGCACGAGTTCAAGACCAAGGTGAGTATATGTGGTCGCGCGCCGATGTCGAACATGCATCCGGACGAGCGACTCACCACGCCCGCGCCTCACTTCGTACCTGCAGGAGATGGAAGCGCAAGTCGAGGTGCTCAAGTTAGAGCAAAGTCTCACTCAAGCTCGCAGGACTTTGGCCAATATGCGCAAGGCGGGATATCACGCGTTCGAGGAGGACTGAAAGCTCAGCTAGCATCTCGTGTATTCAGTCGTACTTTGCGGTGCTTGCATCGAATGGATGGCTCTCTCACTGCCATGTGCGGGCACATTCACTACACAGACGATGAAAATCAAGACAGGTGAGGAGCGCAGAGTCCCGCAGTGTGCATCGTGGCGTGCAATGTAAGGGAGATGGATTGAAGGGGGAGTATTTTGACGTGGCCGAAGAACCACGTCAGGAGAAGGCAGAATAAGGCAGGATTGAAGAATCATCCAACATGACCTTTTTCGATCCCATCGTTGTCTCGACCATGGGCTACGCGAAATTTAGATCGTGTGGCATCCGTCGGCGGAAGCAGTCGTACCTCTCCTGGATCTCTTCGCAAAGTCGGCCGGCACCAGAACCTTGACGTTTGCTTCTGTGGAAAGCGTCGACGAAGCCCGGGCGATTGATCGGGCAGAGAGAGTAGAATGGGTATCATGAGAGTAGCGCGGACTGAAATTGCCTGGATGCAAGTCGTTCATCGCGGAGTGGGCGTCGCTTTCGCTTGCCATTACTTCTAGCTCATCTTCCGCCTGCGCCCACGAATTCTCGCCCGCGAAGAGTGCGTGACTAGACGTCCACGCTGAGGCGGGTTCGTGCAGACACCAATCATAGCCGGCCGCTTCGCCGGCCACTCCTGTCATAGACTCGAGCATGGTGGAGCGACGACCGCGAGATGAGGAACTCTGAGTGTCGGACCTAGGGAAGAGGCGCGACAGCGAGTTGCGTATCGTGTTCGTCATTGGGTTCGTTGGGAGGCTCTGAGAGCGCGAGTGCTCCGTGTATTGCGAACCCATCCACAAATTTCTTTCACGTTGGGCAGAGGTCGGCTCAGCAAACGGCTCTTCTGACTTTGCCAGATGCGGAAAAGTCTGAGCGCTCCTAGGAGATAGAGGCGGGATGCTGATGGGTGCTTCGTATGATGTGCGCCTTGCGATTTCATTCGAAGGAGACCTGTGCAGAGTCTGTAAGATAGAGTGCCCTGTGAAAGAGGACGCTTTTACTGCTCGGATCGAAGCAGCGTCGATCGCGCCTGCGCCACCTGTAATTTCGGAAGTGCTCCTTTGATCACCGTCTGAAGCACCCGCATTAGTCCACAGAGCAACAACGGGCTCAAAGACTTGAATGACAATCTCGAGCACCTGTCGTAGGTGGGCTTCAATCGGGTCAGTCACTCGATCCGCTCTGACTCCAATCACGAAGGATCTCAATCACTTACTATCAAGAAGCCAGCGAGCATGAACACCACGGCGAAGCAAGTAACGACAACTCGCTTCGCTCGAAGGCGGACGGCGCCCTCGAGAGGATCAGTGAGCACCTCGCTGACCTCACAGTAAGCTACGCCAAAAGCTCCCTGTTGAGCGAATTGAAAGACACGTGAGCAGCCCTTTTTAACAGCTGTGGTGGCAAGACTAGAGCAGACTCACTGCACAGGCAGTCGCTGCAATAGCTGCAATAGCCGGGCTGAGCACTACCACATTACGCAAGACTACTCGGTACAAAGCGCTCGGGCTGCTATTGGTGCCGTGTCGCCCGTGCAGCTGACAGCGCGATTGGAACAAGCAAGAGGCTAGGGTAACCTTTTCGCTGTTGACGACGCAACGGCAGGCTCCTGGCGGACCATCAAAGCTTACAACATCGCTGTGCTCCGTAACCTCGCGATCAGCCTCTTGGCGCAGTCGATGTAAGATGCTTTGAACAAATGCGAGGACGCAGATGAAGTAGAAGCTTACGTTGCAAGAAGCAATCATTAGCCGTCAAATCTCAAAGTTGCCGACTCGCTGAAGAGCAGACAGTACTCACACGAGAACGAAAAGAGCCCATGCCGACCAGATCAAGTAGGTCACAGAAGACCAAAAGAAGCCCTGGGCTATGTTTGCCCAAACCTCTCGGACAGCTTCCAACTGCAAGGATTGGACAACGTGTGTGCTGGGCTGCGCCATCATTTCAGCCAAAAGAGCTTCCGATAGATTGAAGCCTTTGTGCAGGTAAAATCTAGCTTGAGAGGAAGTGTAGCCAACGATAATTATGACGGGCAAGGGGCCCAAATAGCAACAGACATTGGTCCAAAATCCTCGCTGGTAGCTTTTGCTGCCTCGAATGCTGAGCAGAACGTTGGGGGCGCCATACAGGGTGCCCCAAGCCCAGAACCATCCGCAAAAAGATATGGGTATCCAGATCATCGCTGCGAGAGGCATGTGCATGTAGAGTGGCGAGTTCGTTTGATAAAGCTTCTTCAGCGTCAATGAAAAGTAGATCCACGTCACAGAAAATGCCCCCGCGGAGAGGCTGAGCGTATTGATGGGGTGAGGTATCTAGCAAATTGGTTATGAAGCGTGTCAGGGCTACGGCAACACATGAGAAGCGATTTCGACGCTACAAAGGTGAGAGCTACGCACAATGTAAGTACCTTGCCTTCTGAGCAGCCAGAACTTGCCATGCCTCAGGCGGTGGGCAATAGCGGATAGAGCTACAAAGCATGGGCCAGATTGTGAGATGACGCTCCGCGACCTGTCAATCTTCTTGACACTCACCGACCAAAGTGTATGCACCGAGCACCACGGCGGATGCTGTGAGAATATCGTAGTACCATTGAGGCTGCGCTCCGAGCCTCGTCACAGCTCTGACAAAGTGTCTCAGCTCTCCCGTCGGCTCTGCTGAGTCGAAGAGCGGAAGGATGACGGTCTGTCTTGCTTCGTTGACACTGCGAAGCCGATGCAGCAGGCCGAGTCCAGTCAAGGACCCATGTGCGTTCGACATATTGGATATTTGAGGGGACGGGATGGATGTGGTGTTCTTCAGCTGCAAGGATGGCGAAGCCCAAGTCAGGAAGGGCGAGACATAAGGGGACAAAGTCGTGCCAATTCTCAACCCTACCCTTCCGTACAGCCCCCAGTCGAAACGCTTTCCAAAAAGGAGTCTTCACTGAACATGTACGCTGTCGACCTGGTGCTTCAATGGCCGCGAGCGTCTGCGATGGAGCGGCGTTTGCGAGAACCGTACTCCTTCATGATGAGTCCGAGTCAGCTTTGCGCATCTTCCGCTCCTTGCCAAGGGCGCATTGCACCATAGCACAGCAGCTGGAGCGCGCAGGTATCTTCTCTCTGAGAATGAGCACAGCCGAAAGAGGGTCCGGATGCACGGGGTCATGGGCTCGAGATCTCAAATGAGGTAGAGCCAAATAGCTATTGCTTCGTTCGTCGCTGGCTCAGCCAAGCGTGCGCATATTGACACCCGGTACTTGAGCTCAATCAGCATGCTCGTGCGCAGGCTTTTCCTTCTTGATGCTTCTCTGTATCCACTCCAATTCTCTCCTCGGGCGAAATCACCAGCGTTCTCAACTCAAGTCCTGGACCCCGGCATCGAAGACGCGCACGTACCCGCAGCCTTGACCATAGCGATAGTATGAGATGATGAGAGTCGAGAGGTGAGTCGCTCTTCGCATTCGCTGCTGTGCGCGCGTCTTTTTGTGCAAATGACCATGCAGGGGCGCGAACGCACCCCGCCTACGGGCGCAAAGACCCCCTTTCCTTTGGACCCGATGCGACACCAGGCGGTACCTGCACACAAGTCGCAGCATTGCGTGCTCCTCCCGCAGGCACCTCATCTCGACGCTCGTCCGCCGAACCCTCTTCGCTTTACGAGACTACGAAGTCGAGCCGATCAGCAGGCGCCTCTGTATGTCTAGTGTGTATCACCATCGCGGCAGGCGTTCGCAGTAGAGCACACACGAGCGAGCTTGCAGCAGACACGCATTCATTTTTGTACCCGCGACCTCGAAGATGAAGAGAGGCGTGAAACCGGATACAGGGGGGAGAGGGACATAATTCTATTGTTACAAGTGGAGTTGAGACGGGCTGAAAGAATACGATGGGCCGATGGGGAGGGAGACTGATCAGAGTCGGGCGGGAGAAGCGGTGGGTGAGCGTGAGACAGAAAGGGACACGGGTATTCGATGGTCGCAAACAGACCGAAAGCTCTGCATGGCGGCGTACAAGACCGATGAGTCGACTGCAAACAATCTGCGTTGCTGCAGTGAAAGGGTGACGGGAGATGAGGGGCAAAATGACCGTGAAGACTTTGCTCTGAAGAGGCAGGGGATGGGAGAAGTGATTCGAGAGTCGCATTCCAATCGCTCAAGGACCTCTTGGCCCGCAGTGGTGCAGAGTAGGGAGCTCAGGACACGATTGCCCACGGCTGCAACTGAGGCTGATGCTCTGTGTCCCACCAATCTTCTTCGCTCTTGCGCTTTTGTGATGCTCGCCGACCAGCCTCATCGTTTGAGCCACCAGCAGCGCCAGTGATCGAGTTGATGAGATCTTCGGGACTTGGCTCGCTGTCGTCGCTGCTATCCATGCCACTAGGGCTGCTCGAAATGCGCACCACGCCATCCAAAGCATTGATCGTGTTGCTCAGATTACTAGAACCCTTTGCCATGATCATCGAGCTGGAATTTGATGAAGAGCCAGAGGCCAATTTGGAGCTGGGCACAAGGTCTGGCGTTTGCGCTGGAGGCTCTTCTCGAGTCACGTGCGGCGCGCCTCCACCGAGAAACGCAGACAACTCAGCCTGCGGCTCGTCCAAATAAGATTCGTCGATCCAGTCGAACATGTCGACTTCGATGTTGGCCTCTGGCTGGGGCGGTGCCTCTGAAGCTGCTGATGCAGCGTTCGCATTTGCATCTGTCGCGGGCAGGGCAGCGTCAACGAACGCACCGCCAGGCCCAGGCTCCTGACCAAGCATGGCTAGCAGACCCTCTAGACTCTGAGCATCTGCGAGAGGTACGGATGTGCCAGCCCCGCTGCCGTTGGGTGCTACAAGATCCTGCCAGGCGGCATCGACGAAGGCTGCTGGATCTTGCTGAGCGAGCATGTCATCTCGCTCGCGCTGCGTCAAAGGCTTGGAGAGAGGTGTCTGGTTTGTGTCATCGTCTGGCTTCTGAGACGGTGCAACATTGCCACCTGCATCCACGCCACCCGCTTCACCCTTGCGCTTTGCCTCAGCTTCTGCCATCTCACGCTTGACTTCGGCCATGATGTCAGCGCTAGTTTTGGGCTTCGAGCGAGCAGCGGTGGCAGTAGCCTCGTCGTTCTTTTCCTTCTCAGCCTTAGTCTTACGAGCAGCCTTGCCTTTCGTGGCTGCCGCCTTCTTTCCACCCTTGGTGGCTGGTGGAGAAGCCGCGGCAGCTTTCGGTGAATCCACCTTGGATGGACCGGGACTCTCAGCATTGTTGAGTTGGCCAAGTCGGCCAGCAGCGGGTGACTTCGCCTGAGCCGCAGCTGGTGCAGATTGCTGCGCAGCGGCGGCAGCTCCTTTTCCTCGCTTGACCGGCGGTGGCTTGAGATCTTCGACACGCAAGCCTCTTTTGATGCCGTGCATGGAAGCCAAAGCTTCGTCCGAGTCGGGTGCATCTGGTGCAGCCGGGGCAATGTTCTGAACAGGAGCTGGTGGCGCAGGGGCCAACGGCGAAGGCTGCGCGTGCTGAGGTTGACCCATCGCCTGTTGACCAAGGGTCTGGGGCATCGTGGAAGGCTGGTTCGGCTGCTGCTGAAGCTGTTGCTGCGCTTGCAACGCTTGCCAATGCGCGCTAGCACGCGATTGTTCTCGCTCAGCTTGCATGCTGGAGAGCAAATGCTCCGCCAGAGCTGGAGCACTCGTCTTGACGAAGCTGATGCAACGGTGAATTTGAGTCTTCAACTTCTCGAGATCACCGAGTGAGAGCAAGCATTGGCGTCGTGGCACGAGGTCAAGCTGGTCTTTGAACATGAAAGACATGATCTTTAGTCGTCGAGCGGCATCGATGTTGCGATTGATGGCAAAAAACGCAGGCAGCAAGGCGTTGACTTGATCGCAAATGTCGCCAAGGGATACGACGTGACTGAAGATGGATTCCTTCTCCGCTTCAGCAAGCTCCTTCACCTCCAAGCGAGCTGATGTGGACGAGCCTTGCGGCGTCAGCTGCAAGCACTCGAGACGACATCCACGAGCCAGTGTACTCACGTCTCGATCTGCTGAGTTCTTGATCCATCCTCGTCATGACCTCCTTCGCTTTGCTCAAGTCTGCTTCTGAAACTCGCAGCTCCCGAACCTCATGAGGACCGCCCTGGCCTGGCTGCGGTCCGCTGCCAGGCGCGTTTGCGATCCAGACCATGCCAGAGTTACCATCTTGCTTAGCCGTATGCAGCGGAGGTTGTCCCTGCGGTGGATACTGGCCATGCTGCTGAGACGCCTCCCCAAATCCTGGAGGCCTGGCCTGCATGTGAGGTGGCATCTGCGAGGCGTTCTGGGCCTGCGGCACAGGCGCACCTGGAGGCTTCATGGCAGCAGCGGAAGCAGCAAGAGCACCTGACGCGTTCTGCTGTTGCTGTTGCCGTTGCTGTTGCATCTGCAAAAAGCGCTCGCGGAGCTGCTGTCCCTGTCCTGAACGCATCATCGCGGTGAACTGATCTTGAGTCAGACCAATCTGTGCGAGCTGCGCCGGAGTGAGCTGCTGAGGGATCTCGGATGCGGCTGCGCTGGGAGGACGTTGTGGAGGGCCAGCCTGTTGCGGTGGTGGTGCTTGAGGCGGTTGCTGTGGGACTTGCGGGGCTTGCGCAAGACTGGGCCCTCCCTGGATCATCGAAGCATTCTGTGCCGCCATATGTCTGAGAGCTTGTTGAGCGGTCTGCTGCGCTTGCGACTGTGCATGAGCGACAGCTTGAGCGTTGGCTTGCATTTGCAGAGCTGCAGGCTGCGCGTGAGGCCCGCTCTGTGCCTGAAGCTGTTGCAGCAGCCTTTGCTGAATCGAGCTCACCGTCGCGTTGAGCCACATGTTTTCGATGGGCAGCAACGAATTACGATACCAGACTGCGACGTGTTCATGGACTTGAAGAGGAAGATCCAACGCCGTGGCAATTTCGCTCCACGCATTTTTGGAAGAGACGCTCTTGCTTCCACCGTGCGCTTGCACGAGCATGTAAAACCGGTACATGTCGAGTGCACGATTGCCAATCTTCACCTGGGCATTCTGAGGAGAACCCTGCTTCGCGTGAATCTCGAGAAGCGCGCGCATGAAGTTCTCAGGCTTCATGACCATTCCGCCTGGCGCGGAAGAGGTTTGCTGATTCCCCGGTGCTTGGTTGTGGGCCACTGGCTGAGGCCGGATCGAAGAATCTCCGCCTACGCCCGGCTGATTTTGTTGACCCTGGGCTCCGGGTTGCGGTGGATGTCTGGGTCCTGCGATGGTGGACTGTCCCAGCTGTTGCTGTTGTTGCTGCTGACGGTGTATCTGTTCTTGACGAAGCGACAAGACCTTCTGCAGGAGAGCCTTGGAGTCGTTCATCTGCTTCTCAAAGTGCTCTCGAGCTTGGGGAGTGTCTGCGGCGGCCAGCTTCGGTTCCAAGTCCCGAATACGGTTTTGCGCAACAGACAGCAGCCGCATCAGATCGTTGCTCTCAGCATCCGTTGGAGCCTGGGGTGGATGGTTGGGTGCATTCTGACCAATGGCACCGCCTGGCGGCCTCAAAGCATGTGTCTGGTTTCCAATCGGCCCCTGGAGATGCTGCAAGCCACTCTGCTGCGGGGGCGACGAATGTGACATGGTGGGAGTGCCCATTTGCGGTTGAGGTTGCGCGTGATTCATGTGGGGCGTATGGTGCTGTGAGCCTTGCATGGGCATCTGAGGTTGCGCTTGTTGAGGTTGCGTAGCCGGAGGCGGTCTTGGTTGAGGAGGCACCTGGCCGTGCGATACAAACGGTGAAGATTGTTGGCCTAGTCCCTGTTGCGTTGACCGCTGCTGCTGGCCTTGCTGCCATGAACTGATCGCACTTCTCAGCTTTTGCAAAGTCGTGGGATCTAATTGACCGTTTTTGGCACGTGCGATGGCATGTTGCAGAGCTGGGGGCATACCAGCGAGGTTCACCTGGGGGCGCACGGCGCTCATCCCAGGAGCGTTGGCACCGGCGACGGAAGCATTTGTTGCATTCGCGTTCGAAGCTGCCTGCTGACGATTCATTGCTGCCGCTTGAGCGGCGCTTGCCGCCGCCTGTGCGCCGGACACGAGACCACCTGGTGGTTGATGTGGTTGCTGAGCCGGGAAGGGCGGCCGTGAAGGAGCCACGTGCTGCATCGCTGGAGAAGACTGCATGGGCGAACCATGGGCCTGATTCGGCTGTTGAAACTGCTGCTGCGAGGGATGAGGCTGCATTCCCGCAGGAAGTCCAACACCAGATCCGTTGCCTTGCGCGTGGTTCTGGTGGGCTTGCATCTGCGCGAACCAAGCGGGCATACCGGAGTTGTTAGGCTGACCATTGTTCATCTGAGAATGAGCCATTTGGTGGTGCTGTTGCGGCTGCTGCTGTTGCTGTTGCTGGCTTTGCTGCAGATTTGCGTGGATGCCTTGCTGGCTCTGCTGTTGCTGAGGAGGGGGGTGCTGCTGGCCTTGCGAAGCAGCCGAGAATCCCTGCGTGAGCAGCTGCCTGATTTGCTGCTGAGTGAGCCCCTGGAGCTGTGGAGGGATCTGACCGGATTGCAAGGCAGCAGCTACTGCAGCGGCCATGTTGTTTTGAGCCATGCCGAACTGTTGCTGAGCGGGCTGGTGTTGAGGCGACTGCTGCTGCTGCTGCTGTTGCGGCTGAGCGAACGGTGACTGAGCGAACGACATGGATGCCTGTGGTCGCTGCTGCTGCTGTTGTTGTTGCTGCTGCTGCAGTTGCTGCTGGAATGCGAGTAGCGCCGCAGCGTTCGCATTGTTGGAGTTGAAAGCCATGGTGACTCACCGCGACGTCGACCACGCACCGACAGACCCCAAGACAAAGCGAGCTGGTTGTATGCGCGCTCAAGTGCTTGCACTGACGGGTTCGCTCGCAAATGCTCTGTGAACAACTCTTGACGTAGTAGACAGCCTACGAAAAGGCTCTAACAGAAAGGCTGTCCTAGTAGAGCATGAGGGGACCGTACGAGCTGAAATTGAGACGCGGAGCAACTCTGATGCTCGATACGTGCAAGGAGCAAGAAGAAGAATTCGAGAGTGGCGGTAGGGGAGCGATCGCCTCAGACTATTGGAAGTGGAAGAGTGCGGTGCTCAGGCCGCCTCGCAAGAGCGCTGGGTTGCTTCGGTGTGATGATCACCGTGCGACACGTCCACGTCTCGTGTTGAACGTTGGATGCTGGCGAATCACGTTAGGGTCTGAGTCTACGAGAGGCCAGCTGGAGTAGCAGAGCTGGAGAGATGTGCGGGACTTTGCTCTGAGCGCCCTCGTGGCAACGACGATGGCAGATGGAAGTGATTGATCGAAGAGCGCCCGGTCTGTATCAGAAAGAGGTGAGAGCCACAGCGTATGGATATGAAGGTGGAATTCGATCGTGGATCGCTCAGGGCGAGGCGCCAGCGCCGTTTCGCAGCACACATCTCGACGCGCTCACGGCACCCGCGCGATTTACGATGTCTCTCTCGATCTTGGGATCAGCTGCCTCATGTCTCAGGCAGGCGCAGCACACGCGCACGGTATCAAATCGCGCACGCGCGCGATGAGGCCGCGAATGCCTACATACATACATATATGTAAATATGTTGCGGCGCGGCCGCTGCTCCTGGGCGCGCGCGGCTGATGCTGCTTACCTGCCGCAACATGCCCGCTCACGCAACCGTCGCGCCCTAGGGCACTACAGCGCTCTACCTTGCGCTGGCCGCAGCGCACTACCTCATCATTTTGGTCAGATGCGGTGCGGGTCGAGGCTTCAAAAGACCTGCCCTGCGCATCTATCAAATCATCATCATCAGCAGCCGTACCCAACGCCTCTCTTTCGTAACTTTTCGTGAATGACAATCAGAATCTCCCAATCCCAACACCGCGTAGAGAGACCCATCCTCAAATCGTGGACGAGTCCGCTGACCCGTGGGGATACATGCTTGGAATTTTGGATCATGAAGGGGAAGCAGAGATTTATTTGCTCTTTGATGGTATTTGCGGCAAGCGGAAAGCAGGTGGATTTTGTTTTATTCCTGATTGCTCCTGCATCCATGTCCGGAGTCACAAGGTAAGGTTTCAGTGAAAGTATAGTGCTCGGCTATCGTGATTGGATCCACTGGATTTTACATGTACGAATCGCAAGTCCTGAGAGCACTTCAGTGATTGAGTAGCGCAGACCGACGACCTCGCGAGATGGACATGCGACACTTGTTCATGAGTTCAGCATCAGTTCCTGATGCGAGTGATGACCCTTGAACCTTAAATCGCAAACGTCGAGGCAGAAGCGTCTGCTGTGTGCAACACCTCAACAAAGCCTCCCATCACGATGACACGTCACGAGGCTGACATGGCGACTCCAGACCATGCTTTGGAAGTGCGAGTTTCAGTCCTGATCGAGAAGCACGCAGCTAGGTGCTGTAGACGAGCCAGGCCGCTTCGATCTAGCTGTCGCCTGAGCCATAACCTGTGTGTGACCGGGTGATTCGGCTCCCAAGTGAATCCTTGCTCAGTGAATCCTTGCTCGAGACCGCACGCGTCCAGATTCATGTTGTGGAATCAAACGGAATGTGGGAGCTGCTATAGCTGATGAAAGCATGATCGCTGCTGCTGCGACGTCGGAGGTGTCAATAAACACGATCGAGAGAGGCAAGTTGCTGCAGGTTGCTGCAGCTTGCACTCGCGGGCTTATGATCTTAGACATCCGTGTGCCCTGCAGCACGCACGCGTACACAAACACGTGGGTGCGGGTATAGGGCCTTCCAGCATATGGACAATAAGGTCGCGTGCGTGCAGGCCGCGTGAGCCGTTATTCACGATTGTGCCATGCATCAAGAACAAAAGCGTAGTCTAAGCTTACGCGAAAGCCTTGGTTCGGAACCCTCAAAAGGCAAGCTTCTCTGATGAGATGTGAAGGGTGGTGGTGCTGATGAGAATCTGGCCCGAGGTCGATGAACGTCAGGAGGGCATGCGCAGGCGCCTGACAGGAATTAATGTTGCAAAGCCTGGGCTGCAGCAATGATCGAGGGGCAGCTGAGCGCTGCAACGCGCGCGTCTAGCAGGCTGCGACCATCATCGAGGCCACATTCGTGATTGCAACGACAAGCCTCTTGCAAGCTTCGGAACGCGGTACCAATTCATGATTAAAAGTGCTGCGTGTGCTAAAATCACAGCTCTGTCATATATAGCGCACTCATGGGCATGAGTGCGGATCAAAGAGCCTTGACTAGTGCTAACGCGTCTCGGTTTGGACCGCGAGCAGCTCACACGCTCGGGTGAAAGGTCCCTCCCTACCCTCCCTCTGCTTCAATCGCCTTGACGAAGGCTTGCTTGAGCCCCCTTCTATGCCTATGCCGAAGGAGGGCGAATATGGACGTATCGCCCAGAGTCGAGATGCTTGCGTGCTTGGCGAGCATCCAGTCACGAAGTCACACTCGCGAGACCAGTTTGGATGGTGAAGGATCACAAGTGACAGGTATATGAAAGTCTGATCCAAACCAGCGATCACGACCAGCTTTTACGCCCACGACGGCCCTTCTCCTCGTCTTCAGGAATCCAACGGCCCCCAGTCATGAGTGCACCCGCTCGCTCAGTCAGGGTCGTTGCACAAGTCGCAGCGCATGCATCAGAGAAATGCCTCGCGGGTAAATGCCGCAGGGTTGGATCTTTTCGCGCGTGCATGCGGAGGAGGGGGCGGTTCATCTGTGCTGCAAGCCTCATGCGTGGGTAGAGAAGCCGTGTGACACGGTGTGAGAATCAAAATTGAATCTGACATCGCATCTGCAGCAGGTGCGAAAATCACGTTGATCTGAATACAATCGAAAATATGTATATATATGTGCTCTCGCAGCGTGGCGCCCTAGCTGGATGATTCTTGATTCGTCGTCTTCTCACGGCTCTTTGCATACATATCTTCACGATAAACGTGAATTGTTTATTAGAATGATTATTAGGGCAGAGCCCGAGGCCGCAGGCGCTCACTCTCGACTCTCGACTCGACTGGGTATTTGTATGCGTGCATCATTTGAAGAGGAGAGTTCCGCATCGTGCATCCTGCCTTCAGGACACGCGCCGATCGAACTGCTCGGATTGGTGCTCGATTAAGGTGTGGCTTGCTTGCTCGACCGCCTTCTTCTGAGTCACCAACATTCAAGATTCAGCTGCCATTTCGAGGGCACATACATCATCCCTGCTAGACTCATGACGCTCTCCTAGGCTGCATTCTCCCAGCGATGCCAGTGCGGATGCATGCTCGAGGCAAGTATTTGGCATCGCGCGACCTGTTCGCGGTTTGATTCCTCCGTCACAGAACGGAGGAGTGACGATCAGCTGGATGGCTGGACAGCGTTGGCAGTGGTCGACGATCAGGAATCGTGCCGGATACAGATTGCTATTCCTGTTTTCTACCAAAGCTAGCCTTTCCCGCCTCATATCGAATGTGTCTGAACATCTTCTTGTCTGCACATGCAAGAGCTCATCAATCCAGTTCGCACTTCATTTCGAGTCCAGCTCATTGGGCGCAAACTTGACACAGCTATACAACGGATCGATTCAAAGGCCCTCGCTGCTGAGAGCATGTACAAGCAATAAGTACCTCCTCTAGCCGTACTTGAAAATAATCAAGGCCCTCGAAGCCAGGCGCTGGACCGAAGTAGAATGGCCCCCATGTCCTGAGGGTCACGGCGCAGCCCCTCGTCCATGTCAAGCTGGGCAGAGGGAAGCCTACCGCGGTCTGGCCCGTCGCGCAGACGTGCTCCTCGGAAATTGGGGCCAGCCACGCCGCCACGGGGAGATGTGAAGATGTTCGACAGGCAGTGGCAGGATTTGACATGGGAATATATAAGATGGCACCTCCGCGTGTGGCGACACTCAGTGCAGCCCTCCAATCCATGTGCAACGTCCATCATCCCAAGCATCCATTCATTCTACCGCAGCAATGAACGTGACCCCGCCGGCATCCCCGCCACCGCCACCGCTACCGATCAATTCGCCACTATCACTGTATCAGCCTTGTCCAGTGAGTGGAGTCGAGATGTAAGATGATTCTTAACTCCCCGGCGCACCGCTGATTCTCTGACCTCGCCTTTTGAGCCTGGGTTGAGAGGCGACGATTGCAGTCAAGCTGCGTGCAACTCTACTTTCCAAGCACCGAGTCAGCGATTTCTTGCTAGCAATACCAGTCTGACTGGTTGCTCGACCTGTGCAGATGGATTTCGTGGTATCAATGTGAGCACTCGCGCTCGTAGCGCCAATTAAGAATAGACCAGGGCAACACTGAGCCTCTCCTACCGCCCCTTCGACAGTGCAACGTATGTTTCGGAGCTCAATCATGCGCTTCGCTGGCCAAGGAGTTGGGAGTAGGTGCAAACAATAGCAGCAACCCTGCTGTAACGTCGACTTCAAGTGCTTTGGGCCAGGGTCTTGCTTTGTCCACCCTGTCGTGCCATGCTCAACCTCGCGTCGTGCCAAGTAGTGTTCACTATGGTGAATGCAGCATCGACAATCCGACATTGAGCTCAGTCTTTCCTGGTGCTCAATTCACCATCGCCATCACGAAAGTAGGCAATGACGGGCCCGGCGACTTTGCTGCTACTGGTCTGGCGCCTTGGGACGCCCAGGCTGGAACCGCCTTGTCGAGCGTGTTTTTGGACGGCAAACAGCAATTCTACTGCCAAGCAAGCAGCTGCTCTGCCTCGAACACGACGACTCCGGTATCTCAGCCCGATGCGAAGTTCGGAACGGACAATTGGACGTGCCAAGATCTTAGTGAGCGTGCTTGGAGCTATTATATTGCTTGTCTACATGAGCTCATTACGCGATTACGATGGTCTGCAGCGTGCCACTGTATTCCTGGAACGACCTTTTGCAGCAAGCCAGGCCTTCAGCTGGACAAGGTGCGTTACCTCTTCCACGCGCGGCCCCTGGCCCGAAAACTCACTCTCCCTGCTTCCACTGGTGACCGCAGCTGATCAACGGACTTGACGGAAACCTTTCGCTACCCTGCGACTATGGTGATCCTGCCAATCCTTCGGCACGGACCACCTGCGCCTTCAAATCCGCCACCATCATGCAATTTCTAGGCGCGAATGGATTGCGACTCAACAACTGCTTGTTCGGAGGTTGCGTTTCGCAAAGCGCACTGCAGACCCTGTGGTCACAGGAAGCCGAAGCTGCCCGACTCAGCGTGAGGGGCAGTGGCAAACTATCCGGCAAAGTCGCTGGCGCCGTTTCCGCTATAGCCATCTTGATCGCTCTGGTCATAGCTCTACTGATGTGGGGTCTATTTCTTCGTCGACGGGCCATGGGTCAGCCTCGGCAAGATGCCCCTGGAGCTCTGGGACTGCGTTGGACTAGTATAGAGTACAAAGTCCGATCCAGCTCAGGCCTACGACGTCGCGAGGTTCTACACAAAGATAGCTCCACCATCGAGCTCCAGGAGATCGATGAGGATCCTGAAGTGCTGAACAACACCGGCGACGTGACGGTTTTGCATCCCATGGGAGGCGAGTGCGAGCCTGGAAGCCTCACGGTCTTGATGGGTGCGAGCGGTGCAGGCAAAAGCAGCCTCGTCGAAATTCTAGCTGGTAAAGCGAAGGATGGGCTCTTCAGGGGCAGTATCGCATACACTGTTGCTAGTGGAGCGCTCCTTGGCGAGCCTAATACCTGCGATCAGCGCACGTTGGCCTTTGTCGACCAAGATGACGCCCTTCCTGGCTATCTGACAGTTAGAGGTAAGCACCTGGAGGTGCGGTCGCTCTTGCCGGAGCACAACTCTCACCATGGCATTCTTCGCCCACCGCAGAAGCGCTTGAAGCAGCTTGCCAATTGGCACTGCCCGAGAACCGCACTCGCGAAGAGCGCGCACGTATCATCAATGATGTTCTCACGGTGTTGGGTTTGATCCGCGTTCAGCACAGACTGATTGGAAGCGCACAGAAGCGCGGATTGTGAGTATCGAAAGCACTCGGTGTCTTTGGTACCGCTAACAGAGACTTGCTCCGTACGATAGATCCGGCGGTGAGCGTCGTCGCGTGTCGATAGGATGTGCACTTGTGGGTCGACCCCGGCTTTTGATCTTGGACGAGCCCCTATCAGTGCGTGCGAATCGAGCTGGTCGATCATTTGTCGCGCAAGCTGACCCGAACGGATGTCACATGCATTCTACAGGGGCTTGATGCCATGGCAGCAAGCGCAGTGATGGATCTTCTGCGTAATCTTGCCTCGGGCCCTCATGGAACAACGATCTTACTCACCATACACCAGCCATCGTCGGACCTCTTCATGGCACCAGACCACGTCATGGTTCTTGCGCACGGACATGTTGTGTTTGATGGTGTCCCAGAGCAGGCCATTGACTTCTGTTCCAGGGTGAGTGTGGGCTTGCGGCAGATTCCACCCACACCTTTGAGCTGAAGCATGGCCCCCTTTCCGCAGCGAGGCATCAATTTGAAGCCTGGCCAAGGCGTTGCCGAGACCCTTCTACATTTGACAAAGGATGGTCCGGAAAGTGGAAAGCGTAGCCGTGGTTATTCTGTCACCAAGAGTTTGTGAGTCTGATTGCGGTTGCGCCCAAACGAGCCACGCGCACATTCTCTGACAGTCCTTTGTGCCCTTCTTTTGCACAAGCTTGGAGACTGGTCGTGAAAGCTCCGTGCCAGGGAAGCGCATCATCCACGAAGGCGTGCGGACGCAAGTGCTGACGCAAGTCATGGTGTTGTGTCGCCGACTTTGGCTTCAAACCAAACGCGAGCCGACTGGCGCAGTTGCCCACATCCTAGGAGCTGTGATCCTTGGCTTGTTCACTGGTGGAGCTTTCTTCCAGGTCAAGCTGACCATCGGGGGTGAGCCTGCACGAGGTAGCTTTGCCGCATGATCGAGCTCATCGCTTCTCTTCTTCGTGATATTGCACAGGCTTCCAGAACCGTGTAGGATCGATGGTGAGCGATCGTCTCAGCCTTTATGCTTCTTGTATTTTTATGCTAACCTTGGCCTGCCTCCGCCGCCAGTTCTTCACTCTCCTCTTGCTAGCCTTCTCTGCCCTTTCGGCCGTTACCGGCATCAATGCGGCAAGGACCTTGATGGAACGCGAGCGCGGCTCGGGAATGTACGGCCCTCTGCCCTGGCTTGTCTCGCACCTCGCATTCGACCTCTTCTTCCTGCGAGCCATTCCTGCCGTCATTCTGACAATCATCATCTATTGGATGGTGAGTGTTGCATTCGCCTTGATTGGCTTGACAGGTTTCGCTGAACGTGCGAGCCAAATAACTCCTTTTCCAGGTTGGTCTAGCGCACGATGCCGCACGCTTCTTCGAGTTCATGCTTATCACGATTGTGTTTGCGTGCGATGCCGGCATCACGAATGCCATTCTTGGCGTGCTGTTCCGAAACCTATCGACTGCCATTCTCTGCGCGGGACTTCTCCTCATCTTCCAGCTCGGCTTTGCTGGCTTTTTGCTCAATGTCAAGACTCTCCCCAAAGTGCTCAGGTGGCTTTCCTGGCTCTGTCCGATTCGTTACGCCTTGGAAGCTGTGGGCACCAACGAACTAGAAGGGCTATCGATTGTTGACAACTTGAGCGGCGTAGCTATCAACACCCCGGTCAGCCTGGTCGCGCCCGGGCTCTTTGGATTCACAGACAACGCCTACTACAGGAATCTTCTTGTTCTCGCCTTGGGCTTCTTGCTAGCCCACCTGCTCATTCTAGGTCTTGCCGTGCACTACCTTATGCGAGAACGTCGCTGATAAGACACCTTCATATCCAAACCCTGGCTGTTCTTCTCGACCTCTGCATGTGTCCATAATCATGACATTACCACCGCCTCATCTTACTTGAGTGTGCCTTTGAGCGCCATTTGAATGTAAATCAAGACTGTTGGCGGCTCGAAGGCTGTATGTAGCCTTTTGTGTCAGTGGCAGCTGGGCAGCGACGAGGTGCGAAGTGGTCTGGGAACCTAAACGAAGCGTGGCTGATCTTGCGTGTGGTGTCTGACTGCACTCTTGAGGCCCTCTCCACTCGAGAAGCGCCTGCAGATTATAGCGAGACGCTTGACCGGACAAGGGCTCGCGGAGGCGCAGCGTAGATGATTCTTGATTGGAAGCCGACCGTGAATATGTAAATAGAGGTGCGATGGGGGACGGTCCGGCGTGGCGCGAAGGCGCTATATATGTATCGGCAGGGCTGCTGATGACGTGGAGGCCTCCCCATACAGTCAGCAGTGGTGAGTGGGAGAAGATGCATCTTAACTGGGGCTGCTGCTGCATGGCGCCGTGGCTGCTCCACAGTCGCCATGCGCAGTCGTCGTGATGGCGCCTCCGCGATCAAGCGATTGGCATGCAGCGCATATGCAGCATCAGCAGGCACGCGCGAACGCTGCACGCCATGCAACCCGGCCTGGGCAGCCAAGCACTCTCATGCAGCCATGCAGCCGCAACAGTTGACCGCCGCTCCGATACAATCACATGTGCGCACCTCGGGTTGTCTTTGGAGCCATGGCCAGCCCTAAGTGAGCTGGCCTCATCAGCTGATGAACATCAGCTGATGGCAAAGTCTCCAACAACGCTCTACATCTTGTGTGCCACCAGTCACGAGTGCGAGTGCTTGTCTACAGTAGAGCAGTCACAGTAGCAGCTATAGGTCTGCTCGGATCTTCTCGAGTCTGCTGGCGCTGCCGCAACTGTCGATCTCGCCTGGCACATCAACGCCTCGTTGCCACCACCTTCTGCTCACCCAAATCACGATCCGCGGACGCCCAACCTCAAGCGAGCACGAACGAGCTTCAGAGACAAGTCTCTGTCGGAGCACAATGGATGGGGGCGATAGCTCAGCGCCTGTCTCTCCGCTCCCGGAGGCTAGTAGTCATCATCGACCTCGTCTGGCCGACATGTTGACGGGTCCTGCAGGAGCAGATAGGAGGAGCTCGTCTTCGAGTGCCCATGAGACCACACCACTCTCTGCCAATCAGGTGCAGCTCTCCATCAGATGTCCCTGTTTTGATCCATCTGGCGATAGGCCTTGTGTGCTCTCTGTGGGAAAGGAGACTACCATCGTGCAGGTCAAGAAGTTGATAGAGCGCGATTGGGCTGGGAAACCCAAAGCTGAAGGCATGCGCTTCATCATGGCGGGTCGGCTGCTCATGGATGATGAGCTTGTGGCAAGCTTGGAGACTAGCGTGAGTAATGTCACGTACTAGCGCAAGCGCTTCCAGCTCACTAGGACCAGGATCGCTACACACTTCGAGCATCGTGACTGACCCACGCTGCCCATATCTGCAGTCGACCGATGGCTCGGTGCTGCTTCATCTCGTGATCCGCCCAGATGTATGGACAGAACCAAGACCCATGCGTCAGCTGCCCAAGTCCAAGTCGCTATCTCGTGAATCCTCACACCATCGCGTATCTCCAGCTGCCGAGGCGCCCGTCACATCCGGTGCTACAACTCCTGCGCGTCCAAGGTCGCCAGCGCGTTCAAGGTCGCCATTCGCGTCTCGTCCTGCTACATCACTGCCGGCGCGCTCTCCGACATTCGGTGTCTTTCCCGTATACGCAACTTCGCAGTCTGGACCTCGCAACTCTCCCAGTGCAAGCAGTGCGCCTGCTTACCAAGCTAGCCAACGCTTCGCGCAAAGGTTGCCAAAACTTTACGAGCTCCTTCGTCGAGCTGGACCGAACGACCAAATGCTGCAGCAGTCGATGACAAGAATGCACGACATGTACGTCGATTACTATGAGCGACTTTGGCACGCCGTGTATAGCACAACCGAGAAGAGCAGCACTACACAGGGCCGCACTCAAATTCCCAACCATTTTACCCTGGACGCCGACTTTCGTCACTTCGAGGCCGTCGCTTTTGGCTGGGGACCTGTGCCCTCTGTCGATACTTTGCTTCTTCTGACGCCATCTTCGCAAAGCAGCACATTGCATCAGCGCGTGGAGATTGAGTGAGTGTCGAGGACCCGTTAGCTGCTTTGAAACCCCGCGCGTAGCCACGCCTACGCTGACCTTTCAGTTGCGTCATTGGCTTTCCACACTAGCGGTCTGCCATATTTGCTGCGCGTAGAAGAGAATAAGGCGCTTCGAGCCATGAACAAGCATCTGAACACGATTCGCGAGAGGATCCAGACGCTTGCATACGCCCTGGATCACATGAACGCGATCTCACAAGCTTCTACAGATGCGAGCGGCCCTAGTGGAGCTTCTTCACAGAATCCTCCGAGTAACGATCCGCGCTCTCCTGAGTATATTCGTTGGGCTATCGGGAACTTCACGCCACAAAATCCAGAGGATGCGCGCATTGTGGTCCGATCCATTCAGAGGGGTCTGGCCCAGACAGGTGCACGTGGCTTGGGTCTGGACCGACCTCCTGGCGCTGCGAACAATCAGCGAGTGATCGTCCGACCTGCGGCTTTGATGAGCAGGATTCTTACGGAGCTCGCAGTCATCGCTATACCGCTCGCGTTTCTCATCTTGAAACTAAGCATTCTGGTTTATGTCCTAACCCGAGGTGCAGGCAAGACCAAGAGATACTGCATCATTGGAGCGGCGGGCGTATTTGTCATCTACGAGGGTCAGCGCATGCTTGGACGCAGACGTCGTGCGCGCGATAGAGCCAACCAGGATAGAGCACGAAGAGCTCTCGACCAAGCTCGAAGAGCTCGTGGTGCGCAAGCGCAACGGCCCGGGACACCTGGTGGCACAGATCGAACGGGCGCGCAGCCGAACTCGACCGCCCAGCCTAGATCTAGTATTCCACCACTTCCAGCGCTTCGCGCGCCCAGACGCTTCACAGTGCAGGCGTCATCTCAACCATCGTACTGGATCGAACGCCTGGCTTATCTGAACTTGGCTCAGGAGGACGCCGAGCTGGGATTAGTTGCACACGATGCACCCACAGATCGACCCACAGGACCACCACCCGCGCGACCTACCGGGCTCTCGCATGGATTCTATGCATACGTGGTCTTGCCCCTCTTGCTCTTCGTAGGAACGCTCGTCCCAGAAATTGAGTCTCGACGCCGGGCAGCTATTGATGCTCGCGACAACTTGATCCGTTCCGCGGCGTTACTTGAAGAAGGTCGGAAGCATGCCATCGCAGCCCAGCAAGCCGCGTCTGCAGCAGCAGCAGCAGCTGAAGCCGAGGCAAAAGCATCAAAAGACGAAGCTTCTGCGAAGCACTCGCAGGCTCCTTTACGATCCGTCAGCCAGCGTACAGGCGAGGATGTCGGTACATCATCTGCACACAATCGTGGGGGTGCAAATTCTGAGCAAACCAATGATGAGTCTGGAATGCTACGATCAGAGTATTCTGAGCGTGTTCTCAGACAACGTGGGGCTGGTGGCAGGCAGATCAACATTCAAGAAGAGCTGGACGCTGCTAGGGCTGCTGCGGGCGATGGGGACGAAGAGGATCTTGACGCAGAGGAGGACATGGGCTTCTTCTGAGCTTAGCATGCTCCCACCAGTCTCGAGCTCCTTTGCAACTTTTCTTGGCTTTCAGAGTTTCTGCGACTTGGCTTGACCTCGGTCTTCGTCGACGAGCGTCTCCATTCCCGCTAGCATAATCGACATAAGCTATCTCATATCGTCACGTCCCAACATTCTTTTGTATCTACCACTTCGCAATACAAACACTACACGAGCCTTGTTCTGCAGGAGCTAGCTCCGGACCGTCTTGCTGATCGCCTGAAGCGTCTAGCCTGCATTGATGGTGGTAATAGTACAACAATTTCTTGCGACACAAACAGTCCCCACAGATCAAAGGTCAGACATGGGTGCGTGAAGGGCGGCCTCAAGCTCCTGGGTAAGTGTGGACGGCGTACAAGCATGATCATGAGTGCAAGAACGAGGCGCGATCCTGCAGACCAAAGCATGCGCAAGAACCTCTGAGCAGCTCACCTCTTTCTCCACCTCTCTCTCGAGCTGCTCCACCTTTCTGCTCAGCTCCAGCTTCTTGTTCTGCAAAGCCAGTACGCGCTTCTCCTTGGCTTCCACCTCTGCTATCAAGTGACTTGCCACACCGCTCGTTCCTTTACGAAGCTGAGCGGGCGCGTGAAGAGCTGCCAATTGGGCGTGTCTGGCTGTGACTTGCGCGTGCTATGTGATGCATGGGGCCATTTCATTGAGCGTACGATTGGGGTCAGTTCGCATGCAGACGAACAGCCATGCGAGGCATACGGGCTCACCTTGGTTCGCAAAGCTTTCACAATCCTCTCTTCCCTCTGCACAGCCTGCTCGGCCATCGGTATGAGCTCTCGTAGCTGAGGAGCGATCTCGGCGCTCAGATGATTCCTTGCGCTCCTAATGTCCGCCTCTGAAACGAGATCGAAATGTCTCTTGGACGCCAGCACCTTGGACAGCCTGTCGAAATCGGCTGTGGAGGCAGAGAGCATGGATACGCTGGATTCGAGCTGAAGGCACAAAGCGCGAAGGCATTGCGCAAGATCGAGGAGCGTCCTGTCAGTGAGCTGTTTGTAGATGTCGACGGTAGTTTAGGGAAGTGGCGAGACATCAAATCAGACTTACCGTCGCGCAGCTCAACTCCACGCTCGATACGCAGCTGGCCAAGCTGGATAAAGAGGCGGAGGGAACCGTGTTGACGGATGCTGCAGGGGCCAAATGCCCAGCTTGAGGGTAGAAAGAGGCGCGCGGATACGACATTATGGAAGCTGAGCGTGTTGCAGGATTGTGATCGATTGATTGAGCGGTGATGGTGGCTGATTGCGCGCTGACGATCGAGTGTGTATGCAGGAGAGAGAAGCCAGAATTGAATCACGAATGAACCACCCCGACTTGCCGCGCGACGCGTCGCTCACGTGCAACGACCGCTCGCAATCACTTTGGAGTCGTTGCAGACATGAAAGTTCGTGGTTGCTGCTCACAGCCCCGCATGCTATTCTCTGGATTCGTGATTCACGGATCATTCAAGATTCAAATTAAGAAATGCGAGGTGCCTATCACTTATTTGGTTCGCACTGCCTCCGCCATCCAACCTTCTTTCCTAGACTCGCAACTGAGCCGCGTATCGCGCTGCGCACGTTGATCCACATCACAGATCGTGCTCGCGGTCGGGCAGCTCATCCAGATGGAGCTCATAACGCGAGCTCCTTACAAGCCTACCTGCGTATCTTAGCTCGCCGCGCCACATTGGCGGATCATCGTCATGGCGCCAGTTACCACCGCGCCATCATCAGCGCAGGGATCTGCTCCTCTGCTGTCTCTCGCAGGCTCAGCTGGAATGCAACCAACTGCTCCTCTTCCTTCCCCAACGCCTTCGCCGGGCGTTGGAGCAGCGAGCACAGGAACAGCCACCCCATCCTCTCTCTCTCGTTTGACGCTAGGTGATAAGTTGCTGCTGGCTCAAGCAGTGCACCATGTCGGTTCAGTGCCTCCCGATTGGGCTCGAGTGAGCGCTCTGGTGCTCAATCACCCACTCATCAAGACTTCTGCCCGCATTGAGACTGTCTCTAAAGCCGGCTTCACTCTAGGAAGGGTGTTTGGCAGCAGGGAATGCGAAAGGGCTTGGATCGCGCTCATGCGCATGTATGGTCTCGTTTACCAGCCTGGAGAGACTCAAGCTCAATCCCAGTCGCAAAGCATGACTCAAGAGGACGAGGAAGGCAACGCTGTGCAGACCACACCCAAGAATAAGGAAAGCCGTGCTGCAGCACCAAAAACGGATAAGACTAGCCAATTGCAGTTGGCTCAACTGCTGTATGCCGAGCGTCTACTCGAGCTGAGAAATCAGATCAAAGAAAAGGAGGACAAATTTCGGTATGTAGCTACTCATATGCTGCTCGACCTCGAGACCTTGCTGAATTCATTTGAGTGGGCGACACCTTTTCCTTGGCTTCGGATAGAGAGCTCGTACAGGAAGTCGAAGCCGTCAAGACGGGTGCTCGCGACGATGCATTACGTGCCGAGCTGGCACTCAAAGAGGCTAGCGAGCATGATGATGGGGCAATCAGTGCTGCAAAGGAGAGCGTCGTTCAGGCGGACGGCGACGCTGAGGCTGTTGTCGCGTCGAACGAGGTCAAGACTTCCACAACCAGCACCACGGCTGGCCCTGCACCGTCAAAGCCTGCACAAATCAGCGCAACGGAAGCCGAGGCCCACGAAGCTCCGGAACGATCCACAGACTCGCCCGAACAGACCTCGGAAGCACCTCCTGAGCCTTCGGCGCCAGCATCCACCGCCATGGTGGACACTGCCATCCCCAAGTCAGCCGCTGCGTCCCCTGATGAAGGCGCCGCTGCTGTTGTGAAGCCCGCCGAAACGAGCATTGCAGGACCTCAGAGCAAGAGACCGATACCACCTCCTATCAAAACGTCGACTTCGTCAGCCGAGCAACCGGGCGCCATTCCCGCTGTCGTACTGACGCAAGATGGCCCGAGTACCCCAAAAGCGAGCCCACGGCAGAGGACTGTGACGGATGGCTCTTCGCTTGCGAGCCCTGCACCGTCTGTGTCTGCACTTCGACGTCGATCCGGGACATTGTCAGGTTCCCGTAGCGCGTCCCCCGCAGCCACCGACGATCGATCACAAAGCGCGTCACGACAAGAAGAGGCGTCAGGGAGCAAGGAAACGCGATCGGAGAGCGAAGCTACGAAACACGAGGAGCGACACGAGTCCTCTCCGTCCAGGCCGACCCCTCAGCGGGCTGGTAGCAGTGTACAGAAGAGAAAGAGAGCTGCGGAGGCTGTGGATATACCGGCAACGAGAGATGCTGAGCAGTCAGCGCGAAAACGCACTCGCGCGTCGACCAATCGACCGGTCGAAACGATTGCCGAGGATACTGTCGCTGAAGCGGAAGAACCGCCTACGCCCACTGTGGGTAGGCCGCGAAGGGGCGGCAGGACCGACTCGTCATCCAGAGATGTGGAAGGTGATCTCGAGAAAATTCAGTCTGCGACAAGCGCGAGCACTCCGGCTCCACCGTCAACCCCCGGGCCCTCCAAGCAGTTGAGGCGTAGCGGAAGGGCTTCTTTGGCTGGCGACGAGTCTGTGCCACCTACGCCGGTGAGCGCAGGACCCACGCGCAGCACACGTTCTCGCAAGGCAAGCCCGAGCGAGACTCGCGAGACCGTGACCAAAGTTGAGAGCGAAGATGAGCAGCAACGAGCTTCTGCGACTCGCGAAAGATCTCAGTCTACGATTGGTCTCGAGGAGCACAAGGAGAAAGAAGATGCAGCAACCCGCGCTTCGGTCAGTCTATCGCCCGTCTCTTCGAGGAGGCCGTCCAGAGGAGGTGGAAGAGGCAGGGCTTCGTCTGTCGCCTCGAGGGACAGTGGAAGAGAGAGATCGACTGGACCTAGTGCGAAAAAGGATGACAAGGAAAAGGCGAGGAGGAAAAAGGAAAAGATGCTGCTGATGCTTTTGGACGAGGTTTCGAACCATACGCACGGCAACCTGTTTCACAATCCCATCAAGGAGCAGGTGAGTCGGCTCGCGAGTCGGTTGGTGCTGTCTCGACGAGGTAGTTGACGCTTGACGACCGGCTCGATGCAGGATGCGCCCGACTATTACCAGCTCGTGAGACATCCGCTGGACCTCAAGACGATCCGTTCCAAAGTCAAAGACGGTCAGATTGTCAACTCTGCACAACTGAGAAGAGCCTTGAATCACATGTTTGCCAACAGTCTGATCTATAACAGGCCGGGCACAGAGGTGCACCGCATGGCCACGGAGATGCGCGATGCGGCAGAAGGCGTAAGTCTCTGGTTCGAGGTGTTTCGCTCAAGCATAGCGGCTCGGTACTTAGCAGTCCCCTCCACGTGCACAGATGGTGGATCAATTCGAGCAGACTCAGCAAATGTCTAGAAGGTAGACGCGGATCACGCTTCCCTCCGCTTTACTTCCTCTGCACAAGCATCAGCACACATCATGTCACTGATGGCTTTGGAGCTTCATCGATTGATGCTGAAGGGTGGTATACTATGAAACAAGATGAAATAGCGTGAAAGTCAAGTTGCAAATGAAAGGCCATCGTCAGAGGATGACTTGTTAGATGTGGCGTGAGAAGCTGAGCGCGCGGCCGAATGGGGGGCCGTGCAAATTGCAAAGCTCCATTCGACACCTCATTCGGGGTCAAAGGAAGAGGAACGACAAGAGGAAACGCTTTCCTCTCATTCTCGGATCGCGCTCCATCTGCTCGCAGCAGCTCTAGCAGCCTCGCTAGGAGGTCTAAAGCTCCTATGTCTGTCCAGACCAGGCCTGCTACCATCCTCTTGCATCTGCATTGCTGGCGAAGCGAGTCTCGTCGAGTTTCCCGAATCGGATCTTTGCCAGTCCGGTCTGGCTTGCGCAGCATTTTGAGGCGCGCTGGCCGTGCTGCGAGCATCCAGGGCAGGGTAAGAGCTCCTCCTCTGATCTGACAGCGCTACCTTCGCATCCGATGCTTGTGGGTCATCTTTGGCCGACCCGCCCAACTTGAAGGTTCTTCTTCGCCGAGGAGGCCCGGGTCTCTGCGCAGCAGCAGCGTCGTGCGAGTCCGACCGACTGTCGTACGAGCCCATCCTGGCCAATCTTTGAGATTGCACCTGCTGCATCGAAAGAGGTGCCGTCCCAGCATAAGCAGCGGAAGAAGCGCCCGTGATGGGCGTGCTGGATCCGCTGCCTCCCGGAGTGACGGGAGCGCTACGAACAGTAAAGCCTCGCGTGTCTAGCGTACGGGTATAAGGGCTCAGCGTATGATTGGAGGTGACCAGGTCGGCCAAGTGCCTAGACGCATCGATGGTCATTCTATGACCAGGCGGTCCAGCCGGGCTTCTCCGGCCGCCGGCTCCAGCTGCATTCAGCGAAGAAACGCCTCTGATCGTGCTTCCGTGCGACACATCGCCTACGTGCTCGTTGGACATGTTACCCGTCGGATGAGTGCTTGTGGGAGCCGTGCTGAGCGAAGGCGCGACGCCCCATCCGCTTTGCGACACGTTGCTGGACCTGTTCCAAGCACTCGATCGGCTTCTCGAATCGCTTGTGCCAGAATAAGAGCCAGAGACGCTAGCCGTCTCGGAACCGTACCCAGGTCTGTAGACTCCGCCTACCCGATGCCTGTACACATGCGACTTATAAGTGTTGGAGCGCGGATCCATAGGCTCGGGCTCAAGCGTTGCCAAAGAACCTTCTCCACCTGAAAGCGAGTTGTTGGAAGCGGAGCGAGGCAAGTGTGCGCTGTCTTCCCTTTCGGACAACAGCTCCAGCTCGGACTCTGCCTCTTGCCCTTGGACTTCGGCTTTCAAATCATCGCCAACGTAGCTGTCAGACTCTACGTCGTCCTCGGCCCAGGGCGAAGTAGGTGGCATGCGAAGCCTAGACCTAGTCGAACCGAACCAATCCGCTTCGCGAGTCGGCTCAACAGCCGGACTGCCGATGTTACTCCTGCTCGTCGCCCCCTTCAGGGTTCTGATGCTTCCGGCTCTGCCACCGCCGCCGGCGCCTCCTTTGACAGTGCTGCTAGGCGCAGCACTGACAGTCTTGAGAGATCGTGCCCTCTCTGCAATCTGAGCCGCCAAACGTGCTTCTCTGTCCTCTGGATCCTCGTACGGATCTTCGTCCGACACTTCGGGAGGTTGGATTTGAGAAGCGCTATGAAACACGCGCGGTTGCTGAGAACTCATGGAAGTGTCGCCAAGCGTGAAATTGGAAGCTCTATTTGTCTTGGCTGAGCCTGACTCGCTAGGCGGCCGTCCGTGCATAGAGTGAGATCTGACCGAATTGCCACGCTTGCCACCCACCGCCGAAGCCGGTCGCACGCTTCCGCGCAGCGTGCCCGAAGGAGAATTTGTTTCCAAAGCCCTCGCAAACAAAGAAGCAGGTCTTCTAGGTTTCGCGCTGCTCTCGAATGCATTCTCCGATCTAGGTCGAGGGTATCCGAACCTTTCGGGATCCACGCCTCTAGCCTCTTCAGTCGGATCTACCTCAACCGAGCCTTCACTCTCCGAATCCGGTCCATGTGGCATTTCATCCTCCGCTTCCAGAACATCGTCCATATCTTCCAATTCGAGATTGTCCAGCGTCTGGATATCGCTAGCCGGCGATGAGCTTCCTTCCTGCGCCTCGTCCTCCAAGCCATCTCGTCTTGATTCTTCCTCCGCCTCCTCTTCCAAGTCGTTGTGCGCCGCTCTAGCAAGCACAGAACTTGCATCGGGGCTGTAGCTATTGCCAGTCCACTCCAATCCCACCCCAGTGCTTCTCCGCGCTTTCGATTCCCTTGCACCTGCACTCGAAGCATCACCAGCATCAGAGTCGGGTCCTCTCGCCAAGTCTCTGAGGCCACCTTTTCCAAAATTGGCCAATCTGGCCAGACCTGAATAGGTGCTGCCCACCGGAGCTCTCAGAGCGTCAGGTCTGAGTCCATAAGTCGGGTCGTAAGCCATCTGGCCTTCCTCCTCCAAACCATACATGCTTCCGGTCGATACTTTCGTTCGAGGACTGTCGTCTGCAGCTGTGACCGAATCAGTGCCAAAAGCGAAGCGCCAAGCGGGCTCGGATCCATCGCGCGTCAACTCGCCTCCAATGGGCGCTGCCGACGTCGAGGCTGCTTTCGCATTGTGTCCCCTCGCGCCCCTGCGACCCGACGCTCTGACCGACTTTGGCGGTGAAGTGCCGGCTGCACTCGTGGTGGCTGCATTCTGTGTGGACACTCTAGATCTGGACTCGCTTCGCTTCTTATTGCTTGCGTTGGCGGGCAAAGCAGCACCTCGACGTGCCGGCGAAGCAGTCTCCCTGGCCAGCGCGTGGGGGTGCGAAGTGGAGCGCGGCACTGGCGCTTCTCTGACGTCTGCATCCGTACGCTCCGAGTCGAGTGGGTTTACTTGTTGCGCTTTGACAGTACCGAAGGTGGCGGGCCCCTGCGCAGTGGCTGTCAGAGCACTCGCACCACCCCCACCACCATCCTCCTTTCCTATCTCTCCGCTGACCCTTTTGCTCTCGCCACTCAACCACTTCTGGCTCAAGCGGTGTATGATGCCCGGCAAATCTTCCCTGAACATTTCCCTCAATTGACCTTCGATTTCGCTTTGCAGATATTTCTGGATGACGGCCACGCTATCGAATGTGCTGCTGACATCGACGCTTTCTAGAGGATCGTTCTTGAATACCAGCGTGATTCCCTTTTGTCTGCTGACTACGAGCACCACGATGGCTCGCAATCTCACTGCCGACAATCTGAGCTGCATGGGCACGATGAGGGGAGCAGCTGCAAAGAGGATGCCGCGATCCGATTCGGGAAATATGCCGAGCGAAGTGTCGGGTCGAGAGGAAGGGGCCAAAGGGTTGGCTTGCACCTTTGTGCTGAGCACCAAGTGCGCATCCCCAGCATACGTCAACCTGAAAATGCCTCGAAATCGATCCGTGCTGAGATCGCCAATCTCGAGGATTTCCAGCTCGGGCGGCTTGCGTGATGCGAGCGAGAGAGGGGGTGTAAGCGATTTGAAACAGAGCGCTCAGCCATCGCACATTCCACGCTATGCTGCCCTGCTCTCTAGCACTCACAATGGTTCCCATGCCCAACTCCCTCACGCGAATATCGTCAGCGATCACTTTTGGCTTCTGGCCCCTGTTCAGCGCTCCATCCAGCATCCTCGCCGCATCAGCATGAAACTCGGCCGAGAATGTGGGCCACTTGAAATTGAACGACATGTCTTGGGATGAGTGATTGTGCTGCGCTCCGAGAGCTGTCGTGTTGTGAAAGTCTGCTGGCTACGCGAGCATCGTGCCTTGAGGACAGGCGGCCTGGTGCTCCTGCCTGCCGTGTGTCGTGAGAGGCGTCAGGTGGAGCCAGCGATAAATGCTGGTGTTGAATCGATGGCTGACTTCAGCGGCCAGAAAGTGCAATCCGAACGGCGGACAGGCGTAATGAGGAACGACGAACGAGTCGAATGTTGAAAGGGATGGTGTTTGCGATACGCAGGTGACTTCTCGACTCATCAGTCGTGAGTAGCACTCGTGAATGGTTGCATGTACGGTAAAGCGGCATCTGCTGCCATCGTGAGCTGGAGGTCGATCTACATTCACGATTTACCATTCACGATTCGTGATTTGAAAGAAACACCCATATGCATCACATGCATGCATCCATATGCATCAGCACTTCAGCACTGCGCAAAGCATTAGTCACAAGAGTAGTCAAAGTCACTCATCATTGATTCGAAACCTTAATCTTGAATCAATGAATGTGAGCGCGCGCTGCTCTTGCCGTCGGGCTCCGGCCCGCCCGCAGACTCGCACGACTTTGCCCAGCGCCGGCGAAGCTTTTCAAGAAACACGTGACGCGCCTGGCCAATTCGTCGCGTCACTCAAGAGTCAGAAGAGTTAAGAGTCACGAGTTCTTGCCCTCAAGGCGATCGATGGATGCACCGTGGTAAAGTCGTGAGTGGGACTCAAGATTCTGAACTGTACGGAAGGGTGAGACGAGGAACGTTCTCTTTTTAAGCCAGGCGCTCGAATGACTTACATCCCTTCAAGCATCTCGCGCTTCCCAGTCCCGCCTCTTGCCATTCACACAAACCCCACGATGTCGGACGCGATCAAAGCTCGGCTGAAAGTGCTCGGTCGAGCAGCACCGATCTCCTTCGTCTCCAACACCAACAAACGAATCCTGCCCCGCATTCATCCTCTCGACCCACGAGAGGAGCGTATCCCACGTTCTCTGATCCTCCAATCTTCCCGACTAGCGCGCTCCATCAATCCCCACACACCGCTCCTTCCCGCAGCTCTGCATCGGTACGTCGAATCAGAGAAGGGAACGGGGTTCGAGGATGGGATGGAAGCGCTGTTCAGAAGTAGAAGAAGAGCCTTGAAAGAGACGCTCTTCCCTAAAGCACCAACGCCTAAAGAGGTCGAGCGCGCAAATGCCAAACGCTCAGGAAGAAGCGGCGACATTGCTGAAAAGGGCGAAAGAATAGGTGTCAAGGAGTTTCTTAGCACCATCGCTAGACCTCCGGCAAGGGAGGATTTGAGCGGGAACAGCAAAGTGGTGGATGCGTTGAGGGAAAGACCTGTTGGCGTCAAAAAGGAAGACTTGCAAGCGCTCGAAGAAGGTCAAGATGCTCCGCTCGTAGCTTCCGCCTCTACAAAGCTGCTCAAGGATGCGGGTGTGGCCACGCGCATGAGAAAGTGAGCCTTGATCGTCATGCGCCGGAGGGTCTTCTGACCATCACTGACGCTTGCATGCACTACGTCTTCGCATCAGATACATCCATTGGTGCTTGCAGCGCGCGGACTCCAAATCCGCACTTGCTGAATCCATCATCGAGCCGAAGAAGCCGAAAATGTACAGAGGGTGAGTGGTCGAGGACAGAGCATCAAATCTATGCGCGCTCCATTCTCGTCCAGCACTAGCGCAGTCCCGAGCCTCATCGCAAAGCCTTGAGCTGACCGCGTTTTCTGCTACCCCTTACTCAGGTGGGGTCCTCGGGTGCAAAATGGAAAGAGAGTGAGGGGGGAGAAGCGACCTGGAGAGAAGTGATGCTTGGGCGTGTGTGTGCGGTGTGAGGGCTAGGAGTAGTCTGGTTGAACGGCGGGGCGTACCCTAGAGATCGGCGAGCTTCGCAGAAACTCCTTGCGAGGTCACGCAGCTGGTTCGACAGATCGCTGGAGTTCCGAAGCGACTTGATTACAGCAGACGTGTCTCACCCCGGAGTAATGAAGCCACGCATGTATTTCACTTTCTGTCCCTTCAATCCTCCACTCCTACGCTGCTTCGAAAGTAATCCAACACCCTCTTCTGCTCTTGACCGCCCACCCCTTCCATCTGTTCAGCTGTCAAACCATCCTCGTTGATCCTCGATCTGTCAGCCCCGAGCTCTTCGACCAGAATCACAGCCGTGTTGCCGTGAGCCGATTCTGCCGGAAGGGAGGGAAAAGCGGGTGGGAGGGGGGGAAGGAGTCGACGCGGTGAGGTGCGAGTCGCGAAAGAAGATGCGCAAATGGTTGGCAGGCCACCTACCCAATGCGAGATGCAACGGAGTGTTGCCTAGTCGATCGGCAGGACTGCGTCATGCAAAAGACGTTTGCCAACGTTTAGGCTGTGCTCAACGACGGCTGATCACGACACTCACTTGACCCTGGTCTTTTCGTGAGCTGTTCCGTCCGCTCTGGCTGGAGGCTTGCCAAGCATGCGAATGAAAGCGTCGTGACCATTTGACGCCGCTCGATGTCTATGATGGAAGGGGCGAATTCAGCATCACGAGCAGCAGGGCTAGCGAACTCGTTCACAGACCGCGCATCACATTTCGCTCCCGCTTGCTAGGGCGCAAGCTTCACTGAGCTCGACTCACATGGGGCATTGCTTGGCATTATCCCTGGCATTGACCAGCGCACCTGCCTTGAGCAATGCTCTTCCGATATCCGTCAAGCCTTTGCTGGCCGCATAATGCAAAGGGGTCAAGCCCTTCGGAGTCTTCGCATTCACCTCTGCTCCGTGATACAGCAATTCATCCACCGCATCCGCGTGCGATGCAGAGGTAGCGATGTGCAAAGCTGTCCAGCCCGATCCCTTGTCCACGCTCGACACTTCTGCGCCGTAATTGAGAAGGGAGCGTAAAGAGTCTCGGGTAAAGGAGCGGGAAGAGACGGCCCAATGCAGTGGTGTCCGTCCGTCCACATCGACAGATTGCACTGCTGATTTGGCTTCTTCGGCAGATAGAGATGAGAGGTGTCGTAGTGCGAGATTGGCATTGCCTAGGAACAGTGCGGCAGGTGAAAAGAGGATCGATGAGGCTGGGATCATTCGCTCTTCATCACTCACCATCCATGCACAATCGACCTAGATCCTCGCTCGATGCTGCGGGTCCTGACATGCTGGATGTGTGTGACAGCGAGGAGATCCGATCTACGCAGCAGTTAAGATAGGGAGTTGTCACAGAGAGAGAGAGAGAGAGAGAGAGAGAGAGCGGTACAACGAGTCGATGAATTCTCGACTTTTGGCGAGAGCTTTCGACGAGCCGAAAGGAAGGATGAACTTGTATGTTGAATGTGCCCGAGTGGCGAGAATTGAGCATCAGTCGAGTGTGAGAGTCGGGAGCAAAGATGGTTCAATGGAAAGGAATCACAATGGCGGTGACTTGTGAGTGCGAATACGTCACCTCTCCACACGTCGTGTGCGGACCACGAATCATGAATGGCGCAGCAACTTGTGAGCATGCGAAGGTTGACGCGTCCTCCGCGGACGCCGATGAGCGTGATCCGTGCACATGCGAATCTGAATCACGCTGCTGCTGCTGCTGCTTATTGGATGCAGCTGCCATGGATGCCATCCTACGCAGGTCTCCCATGCAGGCCTCCGCAATCACGAGTGGCGGACGTTGGAGCTCCAGCATTCACAGGATTCGATTGGCTATAGCTCCAGTCTTTCTAGTGGAATCCACTATACAGTGGAGGCCCGCTGACACACAGACCAACGCAAAGATATATGATGAGAACGGGTGACGTGGTAGGAGCTCGTGATACAGCAAGAAACATATTACGTGTTGGGACTGCAGCAGGCTTGTGTTCTGCTGAGCAATTGTCAGCGGGCGTCGATACACCGCGAATCAGCTCTACTAGGCAAGGTCCAAGCGAATGACAAGTGAGCTCTGGAGGCGACGCTGTCGTCTCTACGAGATGCCGCTCCGACTTCTTGGAAGGCTACGAAGCCGCCGTTGAGAGTGGGTCTGACTTGGTCGTCCTTCTCCGTTTCCTGAGCCTGGAATGCTTAAAGACTACATCTCACAAAGTCGAAGCCTACGCCTTGGACGCCAACAAGGATTCCCTCCAGCAATGCATCACTCAGTACTTCAACCGGGTAGAATAGTCTCGAGGGCTGACGACCAGACCTCGCCCCTTGCTAGCACCTCTGTACACCACTTCGCACAGATCCAAGAACTCCTGCTTCTCTTCCAGTGCCCAATTGATCTTGTTGTTGTTTCCAGTTCCCAGATCGATCATGATGTGTTTGTTCCTAAAGAAGAACAGCACGGAACAAGGATCGTACAGCTCGTACATCTGTGATGAAGGGGATGTTGGCGGGTAGATGCGCGAATTAGTTCAGGCAATCAACCGCATACGGGTGCTCCGAAAGAGGATCTATCGCGTTGCGCACTCACTTTGTTAAAATCAGGCACCTGGGTGATATCCACCAGGTAAATCACTGCGAAATTTTTTACCCTCTCGGAGCACTGGTACAAGATCTCATCCATGGCCATGCAAGTAGCATCCGAATCCGTTCCAAATCTGATCACCACTACTCTTTCCTCTTCTTGCACGATGGCTTGATCCACGTGCCAGCCTGATGGCAGGTGTGGAAGAAAGTAGGACATCCTTGTTGATCTTTGAGCGCAGAAGGGCAGTGGCGAGGAGAGGAGGAAGATATGCGATGGCGGGATGCGCTAGTGATCCAGGCCTGGGATGACGCGTCCGCTAGATCGAAGCGCTTGCAAGGTGGACTTGTGATGTTGCAGAGGATGCCTCAAGCCAGCCGATCCGTCGAATGAGCCTTGTCCGGGCCAGCGAGGTCTGCAAGCTTGCCCTGTCGTATGCGAGATGAAGCGTGGGGGTCCTTAGATACGAGAGAGACTGCCTTCCCTGGACTGGGACTCGCTAGTTTATCGGAGACGCAGCTCTTGTGTGGCACTGCAAATGGCAAGAACGAATTTAAATTGTATGCGTTCGTGCGAGGCGAGGGTCTGAAGGATAGGTGGATGAAAGCGATGATGCGCATCACCTTTGGAGCAGTCGTTGCGATGTGATCACGAGGCGCGAACTTTGTGCTCTTGACTTTCAATCAGAATCAAGAATTTTGAATCTTGAATCACCAATCAGTGAATCGTGAATTCAAATTCAAGGATCGTGATCTGCGAGTAGCGTGATGCGGGTCACGTGACGCAACAAGTCCGAACATTTTGTTTGGGGTTCGTGACCGGACCCCGCCTTCCTTCAACTCGAGCCTTGCTTCCCGTCCACAACATGACCTAGAGATCGAGCTTACCAATTTCAAGGTCGCGGACTGCTGGCACTATTTGAGAAGCCCAGCTCAGAAAAGGTCACTTGTTGCAATTCATCCGAACAAGAACAAGGTTGCAAGCCTCAAGCCGCAAGCCTCAAGCAGGCGAAAGTATATTCAAGTTTAGAAAGCTGGTCAGAGTCTCGGTGTCTTGCAGATCTCCAGAAAGGCCATAAGCTCCGAGTGTGCGGCTCGATCGCGACAAATTTGGATGTCTACACTGTGAGAGTCACTGATTGCGGCCCAACATCGGTCTGAGCTCGAGACCCAACCTTTCCGGAGAAGACCACGGTGACGGCATACATCATGGCTTCAAGCAGCGCTTCCACGATCTTGGTCAATCTAGAGTTTGGGTGAGCAGGCACGAGGCGCTGCACGCTTTCTTCAGAAGCGAGTGCGCTGAATGTGAGATCGCCCTTTCATTCCAACAGTGGAGGTTTGGAACAAATCACGCATCCTCCGCAAGCACGAAGTCACAAGCTGCGTCTCCCAACCCACGTGCCCATCGGCTGGTCAGCCAAGTCCAAACCGTCTTCCGATCTGATGGACGCGGTCGACGCTTCGCGGTCGGCCGGTTCGGCAGCGGCACACGATGCCAAGCTAGGCGTACCAGCTTCGGACAAGCCTATCGATATGCGTTATCTTGTTTGGCACGTCAAGACTCATCTGGTAGCCGAGAGGGAAGAGATGCTCTGCGATGGAGAAGGCGTGTGAGTTGTTCAATGGACTCTTCGTACGTTCGCTTCGAGCTCAGTCCGATTCACACTCGCGTCTCGCTCACCACATGGAATACGCAAGTCGAGCTGGAATGCTCGTCCTCATCAACGATACGGATTGGGAGCTGATGGGCGAGCTAGATGCTCCTCTTGAAGACGGCGACCAAGTCACACTGATCAGCACGCTACATGGTGAGTTGAGACCGCGTGCATTGCAGATACATGATGATTGGCTGACACAGACGAGTATCACACAGGTGGTTGAGAGCGGAGCAGTGACCGCAATGAAGCTCGAGAAAATGTTGTACAGTTCGATACCGCTGCTTTGTCGCAGTATCGCTTTTGAGTCAATGCGTCTATTGCCTGATCTTCAAGACCACTGCAATGTGACTTTGCCAGTCAAAGCGTCAAGGCTTCTCAAGGAGCTTCACAGCTCACCCGTGCCTTTGCACAGCCGTCAGCTCAAAGTGCCGATCCATATTGGACGCTTCTTGTCCAAGGAAGAAAGCACGTGTAAGTCTTTGAACAGCAAATGGATGAGGGTCACCTTCATAAACGTGGTCGAGGAATCCAGATGTCCTTCGTGTGCGGTTTGCCAAAGCTGCCCAGTAGTCGTCTGTGTGTGCCTGATACGCCAAACTTGCCTCTTGAACGTGGTCTCGCACTGCACTCGAAGCGCGCGACAGCCATCCCTTCGCTTTCTCCCTGTCGTTGTGCAGCGTCTCTTTTGTGGCTTGGTGGACGTGCGAGATGCATTCGCCCACTGCCTCGCCGCTTAAGCATCGTTTCGTAAGAGACCTAGAGCCAATCACGACGGGGACCTTTGCGTACAGTTGGGTGCATTGCGCCAGTACCATCATTCAGTCCTAGAGCTCGTTGCTCGGATCTCGCCACGCCCAGGCAGAGTTGTAGCCCCAGTGCCAGCATGGCTGGTTGGCTGCAACGCAGCGACATTGCTACTCACTTCATCCGGTGTTTTCACCCCTTCCATACGAGTAGGACGAGCTCCCGCCGATTGGTGAATCATCGTGACTGGAAAGTAATCTGCCGTGACCTGCTTGACGGACGAGCTGCCTTCAGAAAACACTCTTCGCATCTCTTTCGGAGGCTTCTGAGGCTTCATCTCAATCTCCATCGGTCCTTTGCCCTTATCTCGAAGGACGCTCTGAGGCGATGGCGTCGAGACCGAAGAGCTGGAAGAGGGTGAAGGATGCGGCCACGCGTGAGGTGGTGCGAGAGGACTTCGCTCAGGAATCACGAGAGCCCTTTGAGTTTTGCGCATCTCGCGGCCACTTGGTGCGAGCCCGCTTTCCAAGTCCCTGCTTGTAGCGCCCTCTCTAGAAAGGGTATTGGCAGTCCCTTTGAGCATAGCCGTGCCTTCGGCGAGATCTACAGGACGACGAGTCTCACGGATAGCCCACGCGAAGGGCCCTCCCGCGTGCGCATTATAGCCGTTGTAGACTTGCATTTTGTCCCACTCGTGCGAAGCCCAATCAGAAATAGAGCTCCAAGCAGAGCGCGCTTTGTCAGTAAAGCCTCGCGCCTTCAAGTCTTCGCGCTTGAGATGCCAAACTCCTGAGCGACGCATTGGCAGCATGATTGGCCGCCGTAAGGTTGCAGATCGACGATGGAGGGAGGCAGCGTGCCGGGCAGCTTCGACAATTAGTCGCCGTCGCGCATGCTGTACTGAGCGTCTTTCAAAATGCTCAAAAGCACGGCCATCAGCAGGTCTTCCGGACTCAATGACGCCTTCGCTGTGTCCATGGATTTGTTGCCCTTCAGCATCCTTCAGAGTATATGTTACTTTCATGGGTTCATGGAACTTATGTTCCAGCAGGATCTTGTGCTTGCGTCTTTGCCAAGGTCGGGGACGGTTCGCGTTGACCAAAGCGGAAGTTGTGGCTTTGCTCGCGTGTTCCGATTGCGAGAGGTGGACCGTTCGTGGGGCGCTTGCAGGCTCCTGCTTGACTTTGGATAGCCATCCATTGAGAGCTGCCTCGATCTCTTCCGTTGGTGCTCTGCTTCGTCTTGCGAAATGAGCATGGGTGACACGCTCCCTGTGAGGCCTCTCAGAAGTCACAGACCTTCGAAGGATCCAGTGCGGCATCTTTCTCTTTAGATGGCTCGCGACAGCTTTGGCCATTTCTGGCGAGTCATTTGCTTCGTGGCTTTGGAGCGCATTCGGACGAACCAAGCGCTGAGGAGATCTCTCGCTCTCGAGCTGAAGCTGGGGGGCGTTTGTGCGGTGGCTAGAAGATGCAGTGACACGATGATTCGCTGTTGAGGATGTAGAAGGGTTCGTTTCACTTGCCAAGAGATTCGCCTGCTCTGTCTTTCGATTCCCAAACGGGCCAAACCAAGAGCTAGTCCAGCTTCTTGACGGAGCGCCTTGCTTAGGGAAATTGTTCAAATGCCGTCTTTCAGATTGTTCGTGGGCCTGCGGGATGTACTCTATCTCGTCGTGGAAGGTCACTCTCTTCCGAATGTCTTGTTGCGACGTTGTAGGAATGTATCTGATCTCTGGATTCCAGGTGACTCTTCTGGGCTCGCGCTGCGGGGATGGCAACGCAGAGTCTCTACGTGGATGCGGCCTGAGCAACTCGATTTCTTTAGTGTTCGCATGCTCACTGGACACCGACGATGCGGATTCGAAAGACGCGCGAGGGGTGGAGAACTTGTCTTCCTCGCTGAGTGAGACTTGACTGTCGCCAGCTTGAGCCATATGGAGAGGCCTCTTCTTGAGCTTGGGGAGACACGTTGCGAGTGGATTGGCGGTAGAACACTTGTTGCCTCTTCTCTGCAAAATTGAAACAATTTCGGTGCTGGATAGGATATTGTTGCTTCGGGTCCGGACCACCTGAAGTTGTTGGGAGAGCGGGGTTACAGAGGTCCTGAGCGCTTCAGCCGCTGCTGCCTACTCGGTAGCCTGGACGTCGGCACTGATGTGAAGCTCTTACCTGGATCCTTGGGCGCCTACGAGGCGAAAGATTGCTCGTCTGCTCCGTCTGCGCATGCCATATCGCCGAGCGTGATTGACTTCGTGAGGGAAGACTTCTTTGAAACAAGAGCTGGTTGCGAATTGCGAGGAACTGTGCAAGACGAATCACGCGCGAACCAAGAGTGCACAGGTCAGTCTCAATCAAGCTCAAGCAAGCGACCAGCGATATTGTGCACAATGTGAGTGAGCCAGTCATGGATAAAGAACGTGGGTGTAAAACTTGTGCTGAAGCGGCGGACTTGGACCGGTGCCATGACCGCATGGCGCCTGCGCCTTCAGCCACAGCCTCTTCAAGTATCTTTGCGTTGACTTGGCAGCGCTATGCGCAGAAAGCTGCTCGACCCGCAAGCGGAGCCTATAACAGACTCAACGTACTTTGGGTCGAAGCGCCCCGATCTGGGCATCAAGGTAAGCGTTCCTTTGGAGGCGTTGCTTCTTCAGGTAAGACGTCTGAAGCTTCAACGCGTCAGCGTCGATCTTCGCGTTCTTGGCGTTGCTAACGTAAACGGACTTGGTCAGGCCTGGTGTTGCTTTGGAAGTGAGCCAGCCGTACTGCGACTTCGCTTTGAAGCCGAGCGTCGACAGACCTCGCCCAACAGCCCCAAGCAGGGGAGAACGCGTTTGTAGCTGGGAGGCATGCTCTGCATGTGGCGAATGAAATCCATGGTCAGATCGAGTGCACCCACGTCGCATGTGCTATACATGTTTGGTACGCCGAGCACATCACCCGACTCACCAGCGCGAGGGAATGGCACGCCGACGTCAAGATCGCGCCTCTTCACATCATCACCAGAAGCATCAGTGGGCCCCTCGGTAATTCTGTCAGGGACTGGAGACGCCGCCGAAAGCAGTACGCTGAGCAATAGGACGCGTGAGCTGGTGCACTTAGCCTAGAATCGAAAAGTTGGATGCGGAGGCTGGAGGCTTTCCTTGTCGCCACAGAATCACTCACAGGGGTAAAAGGACGGTAAGAGTAGCAGAGAGCCGCATGATGCGAGTGCGACAGTCGTGCTTGCTTGCAGGCAGGCGAGGTGACGCGAAAGCGCTGTGAACTTCGATCGACTGGCAACGGTGTTGAGCAGGTACAGGGTAGAAAGACGCGCGGCGCCTATCGAGTAGTGTTGGACGATGGATGGGTTCAAGACCAGCTTGAGGTGCTTTCCCGACGAGAGGAGGTTGGAGAATGTGAGATGAGGGTCTTCCAGAAGAGACGTTTGCATTTATACGGCTTGTGCAAGCGCAGACCCGCACCCGCACAACGCATCCAGAGCCGGAGTGGCAAGGCGCTGCTGTATATGCGCAGACCCAAACGCGAGCGCGAACTCGGGCCATTGATTGACTCGATGCGGGTCATTCGCTTTGAGCAAAGAGGGCGATGTTCATCAGTGGCAAGCTCTGCCTCGTCTTAACCGCTCGACACGCGCATGTCAGACGCGGCTCCAAAGTGAACTCTTTGAATATGCGGCGATGGGCCTTGTCTTGGGAAAGAGGCACCTTAGAGGTACCGAGCCACGCCCTTGGCGGGTCGAGCGCATGTGGGACCAGATACGTGGGATCGTCGCAGCACACTGATTCAAGTGCTGTGCGTCACAAGGTGCAAGTCTATCCTGAGTCGAGGTCGGAGACACTGAGCTCGAGTCTGAATCACTCATCTAATCGTGCGTTGCTGCTCCCCCAGCGGCAGGCCTGAATGAGAGAGTACGTGGTGGCAACAGCAGTCTAGATGGGACTGGACTTTGGCGCATGGGTAGGTGCAACATTGACCGTACGCTAGAGAGATGCTGCGTCGCTAGTACAGACTGCCCGGGTTTGGAAAGACATCATCTTTCTCCTCGACCCGACGGCATGAAGTCCGAAGAGTGATCAAGCTCCGAAAGAGGGCAGGTAATTTGACAGTGGCGTGCTATCTTTGGGTCCTGTACCCAAGCGAGATGACTAGTGGCAAGCCTCGTGTGTCGGCTTGCTTTGATGAGGTGTGGGACCACCACGTCTCTCGCCGAACGGCTTTCGTGCCGGGGCGATGTGAATCGTGAATGTGCATGGGTGAGCGAGTAGCGGCACGCGTCACTCACGACTTTGCGCCACGCACGCCGGGCATAGAGAAAGAGCCGTACCGGTGATGCACCACACTACTAGCGTTTGGGACCTTTTACTTGCGCTCAGACGGCCAAGCGGGGCCGATCAGGTCAAGGCGAGCGTTGACTCGATCGTCTGGGCGTCTCCAAGAAGTCATGAGTCAGACCGCACGTGTCACAGCTGTAGCGACATTTTGGTAGGATGTGCTTGCCTGTCTGCCGCGACTCCCGGGCACTTTCGAACGAGTCAGCGGGGCAACGAAGTTTGGCAAGACTGGGACGTCCTCGAATTCTTGATCTCAAAGAGTGCTGCAGACCAATGCCCATCATTGACGTTGCTTCGAGTTGGACCCCCTCTCTGTCTCTCCACCAGTACCATGATCCGCGTGTCCAAGCAGGCGTCCCCGTTGTTCGAATGGCAGTGTGGCGCAAGGAGCTAGCGATTGCATGACGTTGAGAAGCATTTCCCACAAAAAGCATCGACACGCGACCGCCCAGGGACACAACATACACCAAGCCGGACGTCGTCGGGGGAATTAGCAAGATGCTTCGACCTGATCCTGGCCCAGCCCACGGCTAGCAAATGCATGACAAGATAAGCGACTGGCAAGAGCCTTCCACTCTAGCATCCGCCAACTCAGATACATGCGAAATGTTGTAGGCATGTTGGAATTCGTGACAGCAGTGACAGCTTGTGAGTGTGCGTGTTTGGATTTGCATTGTTAGGGCGTCGACTGCCTCCCCTAGGAGCCCTAGCGGGCCAATATTGCGAATTGAGGAAGCTGCGAGAGTGAACGCTTCGGAGGTCGGGTCTCTTCTTCTATGCGCGAGATCTTCTGAAGCACGAGGTCCATCACCATAGGTTGAAATGGGTAGGCACGAGGGCTAGAGGTGAAAGTGGAGCTTGGGAGGCGACGATCTGCGCAATGACTGTAGCTGATAGCCAGCTTCTCGAGGGTGTGGGTGGTGTAGGCGGGAGAACGCCCACGGAAGAAGGGGGCAAGGTCTGCTGTAAACGAGCGCTTTAAGTTTCCGCAGAGTTTTGTGCGCTACATTCCGCTTCGACCAGATTGCGCAGCCACTCGTCGTGCTCTGGATCGTTTCGAGCCTCCATCCTATGCCGACGCTGTTCACTCCAAGCATCGAGAACCTCCGGGGGATGCTTGGAGATGGGAAAGTCGTTCATGCCAGCCGAAGAAGGCAGAAGAGCGTCCAAGCCTGGATGGTTGACACGCAGCAAACCGCGCGTGGATATCTGCCAGTACCTCTTCCGTGATCGCGTGTTGCGCGTCTCAATCCGTGTACTTGGAAGGTGCGGCTGAACAATAACCTCTGCATTGTTTGGAGCGCTGTTACCGACGTTCAACAGGAGGATGATTGGTGGTTGCACGAGCGAGGTCAAGAATTCAGCGGTTGCGCTGGGTTCCATCACCGCCGTGTAAGGCGTCTTGTGCGCTTTGACTTGCACTTCGATGAATGAGAATGCCAGAGGATTCAGAGGCTCGGTGATAGCGCCGCAATAAACAGGGATCAATAGGTCCCAATTCGCTTGACCCTTGGCACCTACGATCGCAGTCATATGGACCCACGCGTCCCAAAGCACGTCAGTGTTGATAGTCTGGACGAGCCGGCGTAAGCGGTGAAAACGAGTGAAGTTGACCCAGACATCCCCAGTACTTTCGAGCAGGTTCGCCCATGCCGCCTGGCCGGCGTTCTCAGCGCCCTGTGTTCTTGCTGACTCTTTTATATTCTGCGTGCTGAATAGACTCTCAAGATATGCGCGCAGCTCGACAAAATGGTGAACAGGATCTGTCCGTGCGAGTTGGTTTGGCAGATTTGATGCTCCAGCCGACGGCCGTGGAGTCGCATCCTTGCACACAGTAAGCAGCGCCTGGGCCGTGATCTCTCCGTAAGTTCCCTGATCATAGACGACGCAATTACCAACCAAGGCTCGAAAGTGCTCCCAGCACCGAGCCCAGACTGTCGCTTTAGACGCCGTTGGATCTCTGGGCGTGGCCATGAACACCGCAGCCGCGTGTGACACCAGAGGTTCGCAAGCTATGTACGTGCCCAAAGTGTCTCCGGAGGTGCTCAGAGCATAGAGCATGCGCAAATGCTCGTCGACTTGCTGTCGCTGGAGCGATGCATATGCCTGCTTATTCGCCTCAACCCGATGAGAGTGCGGATCCCCAAATTCTCCGTAGTCATGGCCGTCATCTAGCATGATTCGCTGACTGAGCAGCGCGAAGCAGCGCTCTGAGGTGAGCTCGATTTCGAAGAGTTCGTTCTGCTCTGAGCCCGCCCTGAGCAGCTTTCGAGTGACGAACGATAGATATTCGCCTGACAAGCTGGAGGTTGGGTCTGCCAGCATCGGCGTTGTCTTGTCGTACGACATGACAGACTGCCAGAGAGGTCTGCCCCAACGCGCCAGCAAATGTGGTCTGCTGGCCGTGTAAGGGGAAGCTGTAAAAATTTTTCGCTTATAGTCCTCATGAGCGGTAAGCCAGACGTTCGTGGAGGTGTGCATATAAGGTGGAAAATGTGATAACCTGCCATTGGCAATGCGGAACGAGGATGCCTCCTTGGTAGGTGGGGTGAGGGCCGCAAAGCTAGCGTTTGTTCCAAGCATGATGAGCCAGAAGCGAGGCGGAAGCTCTAGCTCTCCATCATCGGGACAGAACACAGAGCGTAAACGTTCGACCCATGAGAATTTACTGGTTGGCACGAAGTCCTTGCTGAAAGGTGGAGGTTGGTTGAAATGTGGAGGTTGAATATTTGCTATTTCGTCCAGACAGACGTGAAACCAAGCTCGAGTGTTGTGGATTGTGTCCAGTGACTGGTACAAGCTCATGGCGTCTTCTCGCAGAAGTCTCTTGTTGAGCTGATGAACTGACTCGTATCTCTCGTGATCGATGAAAGCTTTGCCAGCGTAGAGACTGGAAAGCGCGCTGGACCATAGATCTTCCGCCAGCCTTTCGGTCTCGTTGTATAGGTGCACGTCGGCGTGAGCTTCATGACGCGTGTCGTCTTCTAGCGTGCGAATTTTGGCCCCACACTCGGTCTTCCAATGCTTAGCAAGAGACTCGGCCGTTGGTTCTCCGGCCATCCTACACACAGCTGTCGCACTTGCCTGGTAGATGGCTCTGAGCAGAGTCATCCAACGAATATTATACACGAGTGCCACCGCGTGAGGAGATGAATGTGATACGACAGGGCGAAGATCTTCTGTAAGCCACTTGTAGAACCTCCAGTCTCCGAGTGGGAACGCGGCTTCATCCTCGCGACGGAGGCATAAGGAGAATGCGAGGTGTACTTCGCTGGGCTGCTGCTCACAAGATACGCGCCCGTTGAGGCGTTCCACCAGCCGAGACTTGCCCGTGCCGCTACTTTGAACGATGGCGAGCGATCGCGAGTGCCACAAAGTATCTCCGTGGACTTCCAATTGGACCTTAGTGCCTTCTTCATCAGCACTTCGCGGAATTTTGCTGACAGCTTCAAGCCTCTCCGGGGTAAAGCGCGCCTCGTAGTCGGCCAATGTCCTGACAAAGAAATCATCTGCAGTGCCTAGATATTCGGTCTCGAAAAATGCCTTGGAAAGTTTGTTGTACTGCTTGAAATATATGTGGGACCTGACTGCGGGGTTGCTTTGATCTTGTTGGTGACACAAGAGTTCCAACATGCGGAGCCGCGTAAAACCTGCCCAGTCAGATATGTGGTCATTTTTCCTCCTTTGCCAACCGGCTGAAGTACTTATGATGTTATTTCGCAGGCGTTGTATGATACCGCGATTACTCATTCCTCTCGGACCTTTGAAGAGATTTCGAATGCGTTCAGGGGGTGGGTCAAAAGCGCATTCCGAGTGGACGGCTGTGACGTAGAAATCGGCGCTGGCAATGAATCGCTCGAATTCCGCGTGCTCGGGGCCACAGTGACTCCAAAGGTGAAGCAAAATGTCGTAATGCCGCTGCGATGTTCGAGACATCAGACCTTCGAGCCATTGCTCGGCCGCAATTTGACGCGGACTGCCCTGTGATACTGGCGCTCTCGCTGCTGTGGATAAGGAGGCGCCTGTATGATCAACATCCATGGGCTCATTTGCTGCAGAACCTTCTGAGCCGCTTGTTTCCTGCATGTTGAAGGAAAGACTTTCTTTTGCACTGATGGTGGCGCCTAATTTGGAACTGGGAATAAGTACGGCGAACCACTAAAGCCTCATATGTCTCGTCGCAGCTTGCGTATCAACACTGGCGTGCAGTCTGTGAACTCACGTTCTGACGCGCAACGTGCGAACAGCCTTGGTGGTCCGCTCTTAAGCCACGTGTGGAAGAGGGAGGAGCTGTCTATCACGAAGCGAACGTCGCAGGACCGGAATGAGTTGGTTAGTCAAACGAGGAGCGTCGTGTAGCGCGATGCAGGTAGCAGTCAATTACAGCTTCACTGCTAGTGCGAACTCTCCCCTGCAGGCTGAATGTGGATGTCGTTGTCAGAGTTGATCAGTGTGGTGTGCGAAAGACACGATGTCACTGGAACGGATGCATTGGTAAGGAAGAGCGAGATGAGTGATGCTCTCTAGCTAGTCAAAGTGTGTCTTGAGCAGTAGTGTCTACATGTGTACAGGTATGTATGTCAAGCCACGGCGGCACGCATCAGCTCACGTGTCCTGACATGTGGGTCACAAGTCACGTGAGTCAAGAGTCGGGAGTTACAGTTATTATGAGTCAAGAGTCAAAAGTCATTCGTGATTGATGAGTATGAGTCAAGAGTTTTGAGTGACGAGGTGATGAGTGAGTTTGTGCCATCGATCTTTTAACACAATTTTTGCCGTCAATGGCTTTTGTTCAGCACGAACTTGCCCTTGACTCCTTCCCATCTCAACTCACTGACTATTGTTTTGTGGAGCCTCACTAGCAAGTCGTGTCAGGTCTCTGATCGCCAGTGCATGGTGCCACAGGCCAGGACGGCTTCCTTGTAAAAGCTCTTGATGCACCATCCGAGGATGTCGTGCGCTCTTCGATCGACTCTGCGCCTCAGCAGCGGCGCGGGCGCCGCATCATCGATAGTACGGTCTCCTCAGTCATGCCTCATTGGCACCTCTCTCTCCCCCAGGCATACCTTTGTCAAACTCAATCGGCGTGATCCCAACCACGTCCAACACGCTCGAAGTCTAGCCAGCGAAGCTCGCTCTCCTGTCGCTCCTACATCAGGTGGTCATCCCTCGCACAAAGTAGTAATCGTAGGCGGAGGCTCAGCTGGTCAGACGATCCTACATCAACTCTGGCGCACTGGTCTCTTCGCTCAGGGCGACCTTGCTCTTCTCGACGGTTCTGCTTGGCACCACTACCAACCTGGATGGACATTGGTTGGTGCAGGTCTCAAGACCAAAGAGGAACTGAGGCGTCCTCTGCCTGAGCTCTTGGACGACACAGGAGCGACAAGGTACGCCAGGAATGTAGTGGAGTTTAAACCTAGTCAGAATAGGGTCGTATTGGAGGATGGCATCGAGGTCGCGTACGAGAACCTGGTCGTATGCCCGGGTGTGGATTGCAAGTGGGAGAAAGTCAGAGGTCTGCGCGAAGCGCTAGAAGAAAAGAGCGGGAGGGTGGTTTCAAACTACAGCTTTGTGGGTTCGCGTCCAGTCCCGCGTCTAAAAGATAGATTCCCTTGCTGACCTTCGTGAGAACCTACACTCAGGAATCTGTTTCCAACGTCTTCCCAGCTATCCAATCCTTGCGAAGCGGTAACGCTATATTCACGCAGCCACTCGGGGTGGTCAAATGTCCTGGTGCTCCTCAGAAGGCAATGTGGCTTGCAGAAGACTACTGGCGCAAGGCTGGTCTCAGATCCGACACGGGCACCTCTGCTATCAAAGTGTCTTTTGCGACCGGCAATCCGGTCATATTTGCTGTCCCAAAGTACGCTGCAGCGCTCAACGAGATTCGAGAGTCACGCAACATCGAGATGCTGGCGCAACACAATCTTCTAGAAGTGCACTCCAGCAACAAGGCTAGCTTTAGCGTGCCATCCAAGGAAGGCGAGCCTCCGAGATCAGTCACGCTCGATTTCGACTTGCTGCACGCCACCCCTCCGCAAGGACCGTTGGATGTAGTTGCCAAGTCGCCCTTGGCAGACCAGGCCGGCTTCGTCGAGGTGGATGCAGCTACTACCAGGCATACGCGCTTCCCAAACATCTGGAGCGCAGGTGATGCAAGCAGCTTGCCCACTTCCAAGACTGCTGCGGCAATCACTGCCCAAGCTCCTGTGCTCGTTGCTAATCTTGTCGGCGCCATGAAGGGGGGCGATGCCGCTTTGGCAACGTACGACGGCTACACGAGCTGCCCTTTGTTGACGGAGTACGGCAAGGTGATGCTTGCGGAGTTCAAGTACGGGGGTCAAATCAAAGAGACGTGAGTCACAAGACTGGTCAGCGCTGCATTAACAGCTGCTTCAAGCCTGCGTCCAGGCTCACTTTCCAATGTGAATTCGATCTGTTACCGCACAGGTTCGGCAATTTGTTTGGCATAGACCAGGCAGAGCCTCGCAGGGCCTTCTACCACCTCAAGAAAGACTTTTTCCCTGCCGTCTACTATGGGTCCATGGTTCGAGGTACTTGGGCTGGCCCTAAAGGCTGGACATTTTCCAGTCCGCACGGGGCAAGTGCCAGAACCACGCGATCATTGTCGACCTTTACCGGGCGACCGAGCGCAGCGCAGCAGTGCGAAGCCACTGTTTCGCGCGGCTTTGCGACGAGCTCAGCCAGGGCAAGAGACATGCCTGCCCGTCGACCTCGGGACCCTCTGGCGAACAACCCTCACGCCAAGAGGCACCCTCTCAAATCGGGCGAAACCTTCATCGTTAGACCGCCTCCAACGCTTTCTTCGCCCGAGTCTGTCATTTCGGACGACAGCACGAACGAAGGACCTTGGTTGCCTTCCGCATCCGGGTCCAACGCTGCGCCTTCACACCTCCCACCAGCTTTACCTCCTCGTACGCGCTCTGCACAGGCAGCGCGATCGGCCGAGTCCAAGTCGCTCACGGCAGATGAAATCAGCCTGATCCGGCAATTGAGAGCGGAAGATCCGATCAAGTGGACGGGCAACCAGCTGGCAAAGAGGTTCGGGTGCTCTCCCACTTTTATCAGGATCATCGCTCCGGCTCCCAAAGAGGTCAGGCAGGTGAGAAAGGAACACGAGGAGGCGCGAAAGGAAAATTGGGGGATGAACAAGAGGTTGTCGGTTGAGGGCAGGAAAGCTAGAAGGGAGCTTTGGTGAGAAAGGGTGTTCGTAGACGCCAATAAATGCTTGCAATGAGTACGTGAATCTCGTGCACCGCACGCGACTGTTCTGAGATCTGGTCTCCCTAATATCAGGCGGTTGCCTCGATGCTATGGACGCGGCGTTCGGCGTTCATTGGTCCTGACCATTGCTCAACATGTTTAAAGTACACGAATGGGGAGGTCTGACTTGCCTAGGGAAGACTCCCCCTACCTGAGACTTTTTGCCGCTGGACTTGCGCTGCGCCGAGCTGATGTGTTGATGTGCGAGACGTGCCGCTGCTCAGCTCCCTCGGGCCGCCGGGGAGCCTCCGACGGCTTGAGCTCCATCGAGCTGCCACCATCATCTTCACCAGAGGCCCTCCTTCTCCGCACATCTTCGATCCACTTCGTCTCGAGGTGAGCTTTGAGCTTCGGTATATGACTGTGCTCGCTCTCATCGTAGAACGATGTCAGCGTCGACTTGAGCAGATTCTCATAATACCGTTCATCATGAGGTAACTTTTTCTGCCCTTTGCGAACCATTTCCTCTATGCGAGTCAAGGGTAGCCAGAAGCCATGAGAGGGATGGAAGGAGAGGTAATGCTTCTTGTTCTTGAGCCTTTCAGAGATGAGATCGGAACTGATGATGTGCAGATGGACGTGCTCCATGCTCGGCACGGCGTGAAACCCTACATGCACAGGCCACGTCGTACCCGCTTCTACTTGGTCCTCTGTTAGCTTCGTGTAGGGCTGTTCCTCTTTGATGAGCTGCACAGTCTCCTCGGATGCTTTTCGAAGAGCGGCGAGCACCCTTGATGCGTGCGGACTGGAAAGCAGAGATTTGAGGTTGGACAAATGGTTCGGCGGAACACAAGCAGGTCCCTTCTTGAGAAGCTCAAAGGCGTCTTTGGGCTCGCTCCCCTCCGAGTCGCTCGATTGAAGCTGGAATGGTACTCGCGGCAATACCAAGAAATGAAATTTGGCCTTGGGATATCCATCGTAGATGGTCAATGTATGCTCATCGCTCCTCAGCAGAGTGCCCTCGGGTAGAGTGTTCAGGTCCTTGGTCCTAGCGTACTGAGCGAGCGCACTGGACCACGCCATCTTGCCCCGCCCAGCTGCGGCAGGCCAAATCACCTTCCCATCCGCAGGCAGGGAGGCCAGGAATCTTTGCAAGGTCCTGATGATGACGGATCAGGTGATGTCTGCCTCGTCGTGGTTCGGCAATTGCGGTGCGTTGGATTTGTTGACCTGAACGAATGCAGCAAAGACACGTTCGGATAGGTGGATCCCGTGGATCCGCTCGGTCTCTTGGGCAGGATGTCGATGTTAAGGAGCGGCTGTTCGCTATTCTACTCGACCGGTCTGCAATCAAAGGTCCAACTGGGCGTGCTCGAGAACGAGTGTACCGATCTACGGCTAGCGATGAGTGAGCGATATGAACACTGAATTGGCGGGTCGGGCCAAGTTGTGGACGGGTTGCAATCTTGAATGAAGATGGGCCAGAGTGAGTGGTGGGTCGTGAAAAGCCAAAATTTGATGAGTAGCACATGCGCTCGCCTGCGTTTCAGCTAGGTTCCGAAGGTCACACGCACAAGTCACGATCGAGTGGAGGGAATGAGCGTTCGGGGCACATCAACGGCACAGTGCGCGTCGCGAGCAAAGATGTTCAATGCGGGTCGACCGTTGCAGCCGCTCATGGAGCAGCTAGCTGAACGAGCGTTGCATGTCATGCGTGCGTGCGTGCGCCTCTGCTTCTCACCAACCTACACCCACAACCACAAACTCTAGCAATCCGATTTCAGTCGGCGAACCGCTCGGGGTCTTCTTGGGCCAGGTCTTCTTCTACGCATACATGCAAGATTGACACCGACGCCAGCAGGCACCGGAGTCTGTGACTTGTGACTGCTGCAGCTGTGAAGCTGAGTCTCAGGCTTGCTCTCGGCAAGCAGCAATGTGAGGTAGGAGGCCAAGGCGCTCACCATGGCCATTCTAGTCGGGCAAGCGCGACCGACCACTCCCCAGAATGGCAGTGGCTGGGCTTGCCGCTGCGAGCCCGCGCCTTGCCGGGCGTGAGCCTGTGATCCAGGAAGCTGCGAGCCGCACGCTGGTAGCATCATCGTATCGTGATTGACGCTGAATGGCCCGGCTGTTCGCCAGGTCGCGGATGCTTGAGATCCGACAATCGGCACGCATAGCAAGCGCAGCAGACACAGCTTGCTATTCCGCTCATTGAGCGCATGCTCCACCAACTCTTCGCATCTTTCTGTCACCGCATCGTCTCTTCAGAACACTACCCCACCTCTACCCAGTGCCCTGCTGCACGCAGGCAGCGTCCTTCTCAGCTTGCTTGGCATCTTCGATAGCCGTCGCAGACAGGATTCATCAGTGCGAACATCATGCAGCTACACGTAGCTATCACTTGGCTTCTGCTGCTTTGCATCTACGTGGTGAAGGGTGCGTTTCGATATCGCTATCATGCTCACAAGGCCTTCCATTTTGCTGACTCGACTGTTTGCTCTCTTGGCGGATGCTGACCCGCACAGGAGATGGCAACGATTGGGTATCTCCTCTCTATGTCATCACCCGTGGTGAATCGTATTCTGCCTCGACTGGAAGCGCGGCCGAAAAGCGCATCATAGGCGCAGCAGTATGGAGCGCAGCCAAGGGGCCATGGAGCGTGGTAGATCAGAACATCCGCGCTCCCAGCAAAGATGCCAAAGATTATCTCAGCTGGGCTCCGTACTGGTTCCCCGACTGCAATTGGTGCAACAGCGGAACTGGTACGCAAAGCGATGGTGATGACGATGGTAGCGACGATACCAGCGATGGCGATATGTCGCTTGGACCAATCGCTCCAGGCACCGCAACAATTCCACTGCCGGGTCTTGGTGGTGTTCCCAACGCTCCTAAGGATACCGTGACTGTGCCGACCTCGGGCAAGATGCCAGCGCCCACGCGTGCTGCATCACCTCCCATCGCCCTACTTCCGGGAGATGGAAAGGGCTCGCCTACCATGACAGTCGCGCTTCAGCAACCAGCTGTTCTCAATGCAGGTCAATCTTTTCAGAGACTGTCGGAAGCAGGAACGATTGACTCTCTCCTCGACTCGAACAGCACGAGCATTGACGATGCACGCTCACCAGAGGAATTCGAAAAGTCCTCGTTCCTTGCCGCATCTACTGCCTTCACGGCGTCCTCTTTAAACGGCACTCCGGCAGGACCAACTCCTCTGGTCCAGATCGCAGCGCGAGATCATTCAGACGCTAACCGAGCAGTGGCCAGGGGAAAGATTGGAGAAATCACGCCCTCGCGAGCGGCGGCGGACGGCTGCCATACAGCCAGTCAACACCTCAACGCAAGAGCTTCGAAGTGCACACCATCTACCACGCGCGTGGCACCCACTGCTACATGGACTACATGCCCTTACAAGCAACGCGACGGAAAGGTGAATCCGGATGTGAAGCAGCTCAATAATACCAAGGACATTGTATCGATGGCTCAAAGCGTGTTGTGGAACGGAGTAGCGTACGGTCTCTCTAACGACTCCACGGATGCTCAGCGAGCTTCGACACTCATCAAGCGCTGGTTCTTGGATGCCAGAACCGGTGTCAATCCCAGAGTCGTCTATGGGCAGGTCATCCGCGGACCTGATGATCAGCAAGGTGGCTATACGGGGATTCTTGATTGGAGAATGATCATCAAGGTTGTCAATGCGGTGATCATCCTGCGCGCCAAAGGCTCGGAGGGCTGGGACAGCGTGACAGCATCGAGCATGTCTGGTTGGGCGAACGACTACTTGTCGTGGTTGCTCACTTCTGCTGACGGCAAAAGAGCCTCAAAGGTGGCGAACAATCATGTTTCCTTCTACTACAACCAGGTCATTGCACTGTACATTCTTTTGGGAGACCTCAAATCAGCTCAAAATGCCGCCAACACCTTTTTCACTGGCGCATTCATGAAGCAGATTTCAGATGACGGCGAGCAGCCATACGAAGCCGTTCGGACAAGACCTTTTCACTATCGATGCTTTAATTTGGAGGCACTCATCACAAACGCAAAGCTGGCGGATAACATGGGACTGAACATGTGGAGCGCGAGGACTGAAAGCGGAGCTACCATCCAGACAGCTGTGGATTACACCATGACCCTAGACGCGGGCATGACGGGCGAAGACGTGACGGAACTAGCTCCTCACGTGGCTGCTGTTGCTGCTGCATACGGAGACCCGACCGGCAAGTACGCCAAGTGGCTCGAAGATGAGAATAACAGCGGTGATCCGGACATGAATCAAAGCTGGAGGTTCTACAACGATCCAGATGCCTTCTATTCCAGCCCTTATAAAGGTGAGCATAGCATTAGCAGGGTCTCGTGATATCAAGATACCCGCACTAAGCAGACGCCCACGACTCGCTCAGGACACACAACAAGTTCTCAAAAGTTCAATTTGTGATGCGCTGGTACTGCTACATGATGTCGGTGCTTAATATACCCACCCCAAGCACAAGCTGGGCTGCTTAGCGTTCAATGCGATTCAAATGCTCCTTTTCTCGTCTGACCCGATGTAATGGCACGCACCGCCTCAAGCGCCGCCATGACCGAGTGAGGAAGGCGCAGCGGTGTCGCCCGATCTATCTCCGCCTCTTTTCCGCGCCATTCTACGTCCCTCGTACTGAGCTCGGCCAAAGGCTTCGAGAGCCTCTTTGCACTGCTCGTTGTACGCATAGTCGCCAGCTGTGAAGCCGGAAGTGTTCTTGGAGGCAAAGACGCAACCTCGTTCGATGAGCAGCTGCACGACGATCAGGTGGCCCCAGCTGGAGGCGTGGTGCAACGGGGAATTCCCGTGCGCGTCGACTAGATCAGGATCTGCGCCCAGATCCAAGAGCAACCTGGCGCAGTGCTCGTAGCCCTTTATACAAGCCACTTGAAGCGCTGTACAGCCAATATCGTCTTGCCAGTCGAGCAGCTCTCGTAGCCCAAGCGGCATTCGGTGTGAGTCTTCGAATTCTCCGTCGTCGTCTTCCGCATCCAAATCCTCCATATATCCTAGCGAAGGACTGCTATATTGCGCAGGACCACTTTGATGACCCGAGCCGGCAGACTTTGCCACAACATGCTGCTTGCGCAGATGTTGGTGCGGAACGTTTGGCGAAGTGCTTGGCGTTGCAAAAGATCGTTGCGCGCTGTCCGAATCGTCGTCGGGTGTTGAGGCAAAGTCCTTAATGACGTGATGCTCTCCGGTTCCAAGGCTTCTCGTGCCTTCGCTACCACTTCGCAGAGCACGAGATCTGCTTTGCGGGAAGACATAAGCGCTCTGAGCATGGTGCGAGCTGGCAGCTTCGGCGACTGCTGCGATGCAGCAGGCGTTGATGATGTCTGGACGATTGTGCGCGGCTGCTAGGTGCAACACTGACCTGTCTCGTGGGTCCTGCCAAACGCGAAACGGAAAAGGTCCAGGTAAGGCGCTAGACTCGGACGCAGTCCAATAGGCAGACCATCAAGCACTCTAAAGCCTTTCACCCACCTTAGTGAAGCCTCCTCGCTCGTGGCCGCAATCCAAAAGCCACTCCACCATGCTCTTGCCTGCTCCGTATCTGACAGCTAGAGCTAGGCTGCTCACGCTTCCATCCAGTTCGGGTCGCGCACATCTCATTGTCATGTCTTTAGTGTACTCGTTTGTACGGCGGCCGCTTGATGGCAAAGGCTGCCGACTGAGAGCCTGACTAGGTGCGTGCTCGCCTTGGGATTTGCGAGACATTTCCAGATTCCGAATGTTGAAGCATGCAGTGCCTCGTGCAATCATTGCTGTGTCGCTGTTGACATCGTGTGCGAGCACGCTGAGAGGCTCAGGTGTCCTTTGCGGGCTTTCCTCGCCGGAATGCTGCGCAGTGCCAAAGCTTGGCTTTTGTTTGGAGCCTCTCCCGCTGGAAGGCGCTTCCGCTAGCGCCTTGCGCTGCGCAACCAAAGCCCTTTCCTTCGCAGGAACGCGATACGTGCAGCGAGAAGATTCTACTGCCCATCTGATTGGCACTGGAAACCTCTGCTTCACGGCCGACTCTGTGTGATATCCTGCGCCGTTCTTTGCTCCCCCAGCAGATGCCCGATACATTCTCTGCTCGACGGTTCGTGGATGTAGCGTCGCGGTACTGCCTCTCGGCTGCGAGTGGTACAGACCAGCTTGCACTCCGGTCGAGCCCGCGGTACCAGCACCGCCTTCTTGATGCGTAGACGACCTGCTTGCTGACATGGTCATATTCAGCTGTGAGCGCAGTATCTCTCGGCTAGGCCTCCTCGTCGATGCTCGCGATTCGCCATCGCCATCCTCCTCTTCCTCATTGTCTTCCGGATGCTGACCGGATGAGGTGTCTTGATCGAACTGAGCGGGAGTATCGGCTGCCTGCTGCTGAGGCATGAGCTTCGATATGGTGACAGCGCGTAGGGCCAGAGCTTTCGCTCGAGGGAGGTCATCCTCTATCACTGCTCGTCTGAATCGCTGCGCCAGGGTTGTCTTCGTTCCAGGAGTCTCAAGCACGTCTGAGAACATGCTTCTGGGATTTTTGTGATCTGTTCGATCACCTATCTGGTCCCAAGGCGCTCGTGGAAGGTGTACAGCGTCTTGCTCTGCCTGTGTACGAACGGCAAGCAGATCGGAGCCCCGTCGAGGTCTGGAAAGGCTCGAGTCGCGTGCCAAACCTGCGAGACCCCGTTCTTGATCACTTTGTTCTGCAGCACGAGCTTTGACGCCGTACAGCTGCTCGGGTGAGCTGCTAGACCGTTTGAACGCCAGCCCAGAGCGAGAGAGCCGGGGATCAACGGTCTCGGTGCGACCATCTCGCTTGGCGTCGTGCGTCGCATTGCCTCGCGCGGGCGCTTGCGCTGACGTTTGGTGGAGATCGATTTGGGCGTCACCAGAGGTAGGCTTGGCGGCCAATTCGTTGTGGCCATCAAAGTGATGACCAGCATTGACAGCGTCAGCAATTGAGCGGCCCCGGGCGAGATCGCCTCCCGCTTTGCTTGAGTCATCAGTAGGCGACAAGGTGGTCGAGGTGCCCGTCTGTTCCGGACCATCGAAACCTCGGGCGCCTGACATTGACTGGCCCAGTCCCACCATAGGCGGGTCAAAAGTCGCTGACATGGTGTTTAGATTGATGTTCCCTGGCCAACTCTTTGTGAAGACAGCGCATACAGTCTACAGTGGGGACGACACTTTCAATTGGACAGCCTGCGCGCGCGCGCGTTGTCCGTTGATGTTTGCGTCCCAGCACAAAACATGAGTGCTGCGAATCTCCAAGCAGCTAATGCGATGTGACCGTTGAGAGCGAGCTTGAGGCACGAGTACCACCATCAGATTGAGCACGAGCAAGCGGGTGAAGAAATGAGGATTGGGATTTCGTAGGGGTGGTGGACACTTCCAGCACTGCCATGGTGTGCCGTCGATGTGCGGCTAGCGGGTGCGGGGGTGAGCATGATTCACGATTGGTCCCAGGCCGAGCGCGCGTAACATTCCAGTCTCGATCACGTGTGAGTCTTGGGGAGCCCTATAGCCTTCTTCTATACCTGCACAAGGCTTGACTCTTGACTTTTGACTTCGATACGTGATATTCTTGACTTGACCGGTGACTATATACGTGCCTCGTTACGAGACGTGGATCATGAATCTTCCAACTCTTGATTCTTAAGGTTTGAGCTTGAAGCAGCCCCTCGTCGAGAATTCGGGCCTGGTTCGTGCTCTTAGACGAGCACTCCATTTTCTGACGCTATATTTTACTCCAGACTCATGGCGAATGCCGTCAAGTCTTGCGGTCAGAGGCAAGGCTACATCACGCTGGGAAGGCTTCCTGGCTTTCTCGCTCGGCTCGAGTGTCCAAGATTTGTTATCAACATGTAATTGGCAATTATGATACAGCGTACAGAGATGATGGGGCGATTGCACGTCCCAGCAAGCGTCATGAAGAAGAGTCGGGAAAGCTAGGCAAGCTTTAGGATGGTTGCTCATGGAACTTCATAGCATCGCACGAGGCGCATTGTACAGCTCAAAGCTGCGTGCTCGATGAGGTGCCATGCGCTGCGGCAGGATGCCTGGGGAACGAGCTTTCGCTGAGATTGCTTTTGTTGAAGGTCTGTCCGTACTGCATCGTGCCGAGCAGAGACTTGTGCGAATGCTCCGAATTCTTGCGCAAGCTTGGTGCAGTGTCTCTGCTTTGCTGGAGCTCCAAGTCTTCCTGCCTCGTCTGGCTGGGAAGATCGAGTTCCTCCACCGGGTCCAACGTAGTCAGGACGTGCATGTCCGCTTCGTCGGCCTGAGGAGTGCGACCTGACCGAGATGAGCCAGGCGAAGTGCTCAGATTCTTTGTCTTGATGAATCTTGTCTGGGGATCAAAGCTGGAATGCTCGGGATGGTAGAGCATCGGCAGGAGCTGTGCAATCAAGATGTTGCTAGTGACGAGACAGGTGACGAATGAGCAAGGGACCGTGTGCAGCAATGCTTCAAGCGTCTGCGATGACCACACTCACACGGTGCAAATCCCATAGTGGACCGCATCCACCGAATTCAACGCGTCGAAATTCTTCTGGGCACTCGTGACAGCGAGTGCGATGCAGCTGCCAACAGGCAGAATGCAAGAAAGCACGGCAACGTGGAGAGCGTTCTTGAGCTTGCTCTGAATCGTCAAGAATCTGTGTCGATTTGCTCCGCCCACAGTGGACGCTTCGCCGACAACGCTGTAGTGGTTGAAGAGGAACGATCGCAGTCGATAGATGAGGATACCGGAGCCCCAAAGGTTGTCGAGAATTTGCAGGGCGAATTCTGCATACACTGGTCCGGGCACGTTTGCCAACTTAGCTTGAGCTTCTCTGTCGCCATGATGCGCACCGCGCTCTACTTCGGTGTACAAATTGATATACCTGACAGCGCGGACAGTAGCATGGGCTCGAGGTTAGGAGACTGAGACAGCGGGTCAGAAAGGTGTCTACTCACCATACAATCATAGCGAATCGAGCCAGCTTAATGGCGAGTGGCAGGCCAAATACGGCGGCCAAGGTTCGGAACGAGGTGCGCTTGAGAGGGTAGAAGATGAGGAGCCTCAGAGTCACGTTCAAATCCGCAAGCCAAGGGAGCAGAAAGTTGATGGCTCCAATGACTTTAAGGTGACGAAAGAGTAGCTCGGTGAGACTCGGAAGGGCTTGGTCGTCCAGTGAAATTCATGCGGATATCTACTCACCTACGTCAAACGCAAGAGGGATCGGTCTGTGATATACTGGTCCCCAATACATGTCTGGCCCATTGAGGAATGAAGCAACGAAGAGCAGGAGGGCGCAGAGAAGGGCGACCCAGTAGGTTGCCAGTTTGAAGTGTCTCCGCCTTGCCGACCACAAGAGCAAAGCGACCAGCGGGGCTGCCATGCCGCTGAAAGCGAAGTTGATGGTGATGACGGTCATCTGGCGTCCCACTTGGGCCGAATACGCCAGACCGGGGGGCGCATAGTTGGCCGACATGTTGTTTCAGACAATGGCGCGAGTGACTGGGCTGTTTCTGCGCTGGGAGGCGACTGGATGATGGGTTTATGGTGGAGAAGTGAGGAGGCGATTGACGATTAAGTCGGTGTATATGTTCACGAACCAACAGACTCGCAAGGACACGTAGCACATGGCAGAAGGAGGTCTGGCGTGAGCATTTGCACAAACCGCCTTGGTCCACCTTGCAAGCCTGAGGCGGTACAAGACTCGACTGTGACTCGCGTTGTCATTCTGACCTTCGCGACTGTGCACTTGTCAAGCTTCGCTTCGGCTCGTATAATGTGCTGCTTCTGCATGTGTTGAATCAGAATGAAGCGTGACTCAAATCGCAGTCCTAAGACAAGGAAAGAGGAGAGCTGGACTGCGTGTTTGAACTCAGCTGCACGCGACCTCATGGTGGTGGCGACTAGCGTCGCCCTAATCAGGATGTCACGACGAATCACAGGGCTTTATCGTCCCATGCCGGTGGAGGCATCATGCTGACGTTCAAGACCGCGCCTGAAGCAGACTCACACAGGCTATAAGTCATCGCGTGTGTCTGCGAAAACGTTTGCGTCCTTCTCCGCCGAACACCCAAATTTGGCCTTCTCAAACCTGCAGCGCGGCGTTCACGGCCCGCTAGGCTCCTTTTGCTCTCATGCGTTACGACATTCGTGATTATAAGCGCGCGATCCGCCGGCACGCCGGCGTTTGAGCTTGAGCCTCTGCAAATCGCCGATTCACTCAACGTGACTTTCACTAAAATAATACTTCACGCAACTCGCAGCTCTCCCGCTGTGTCAGCTGGCTCCTCTTACAGTACGCTCTCGCGCGCTCGTGTTGCCAGTGTGACTCGTCAAACTTGCAGCTGAAAGCCGAGCTTCAACGTCAATCGTAAGTCAAGAGCTACTTCTACTACAGTATGCTACACCGCTGTGACAAGTGCTTGCGCAGGATTGAACGAGTCGATCATCATCCGTGTTTGTGATTCAGGACGTACGATTGGCGATTCACGTGAATCAGTCTTCTGAAGGTCAATCAAGTATCACCAGCGTGCCGATCCCTCACCGAGTGACTCATATCCAGCGTCTCAATCCGCAACGCTGTCAGGACATTGACTCTATCCCTACGACGTATTTGACTGAGACCACGAGTGCTACTTTTGTCTTTCGCGTGACATGCTCGGGATGGGATGCAGTGCTGACCTGTTGCACACACTTTCTGCAAAAATTTGTGATCATTCGCCTTCGTATTGCTGTACGGAGAGGCTTGTTCTCCATACGTGGTCGCCAGCCAGCGCCCACTTTAGCGCTTTCCCTGATGACCCCGGACGACTCGGAAGGCGGAATCATTATGCTCGGGGCGTCCACACTATCGATGTACTTTTCCCCACGACGTGAAGCCTGTCCTAGATTCTCCCGATTCCCAGACGCGGCTTCCGACCGCCCGGCTTTGTGACATCGTTCAGACCAAGTGGACCCTTGCCCCGCGATGTACCTGTACCACAACCCACGTCGGTCTTGCAGCGCTGCAACTTGCCGGCGATATGTACGTACCGGGAGTCACGAGCACAAGTTGTCGTTGTTGACTGCCACCTCCGTCATCAATGATGATGGTGGGGATGATGATGGTTCGGATGCAGGCTGGGGCTCTGTCCCCGTCCCACACAGTCTGCCATCGCCAACCGGCAGGCTTCGGCGGCCGAGAAAGCAGACAGCAGGTCGGGCCAGTCGTCGATTCATCCTCGCCTTGGCCGCAACTTCGGCCGTGAGTCAGACAGAATTGGTGCAGGTGATCAAAGATCTATATTGGATCTTTTGCACAGGCGTGATTCTGACGCCGCTTCCGCTTGCTGTCCAAGATCATTCAAAGATCACGATTCGTATATATAGTTGCTTACAGATCGCTGATGGTATGATGGAACCACCGCTGACTTGTAACAGAGCAAAACAGCTCGGGCGGAAGAGTCGGATTGCCCGACCCATGTGAAATCGATCATATCTTGCGACGAATTGACGATCTGAGACAGCTTTAGAGCGCGATCGATCATGTTACGATGCCCTTCCGATGAACGTGTGCTCAAATTTGAATGCACGAAGCTTACATCCTTCCTTCTAGGTCTGCTTATAGGTTTGGAACTCCGATCCGACAGATGCGCCCTGAAGCAATACGGTCCGCTCCTTGACGGCATCCGATGATCAAGAACGAACGACAATCATCACACCGCCACGATGGATCACTGAATGTCAACACGCGTCCTTCTTTCAGGCTTTGACTGTCATGCTGGACGTGACCGGCAACCACGCAGCCCGGTCCCACCGTTGTCCTCTGCTCCACGATCGTCCCGATATGGCGTCTGCATTTTGCATGAGAGCAATTCAAGCGGACCGCCAGCGAGAGAACGGTAACAGAAGGCGGCTTGCATGCTTGGGCGGTTGAAAGAGAGCGGCTCCACTGGCTCGGGCACATCAGACTAGGGTCATTTTGATTCAAGCCCGCTATCTCTGCACATTGCGGTCTGGAGCGCATGCGGGAGCAGCAGCAGCGTTCACAGTGAAGGGCCATACAGTACAGGCACACTATCCGATTCGCGAGGTTGCAAAAAGCCACGCAACAAAAACGTGGGCTCTTGACTCCCAACGCGCGTCGCTGATACGAGGTGCAGTAGCGCTATGCAGATGTGCTGTTCGAATCTGGCAGGAAACAGCGGAATTTGTTTTCAGGCACTTGGACAGCCTCCTTTGGGCGGCTGGGCGCGGTAAAGATACGTTCACCAGCAGAGCGCTCATCTATAGCTGTTAGACGCACGACTGCTGGGAGTGATCACTCAAACTCAAGGACTGCATGTAACGAATGACTGCATGGCGAAGGACGCTCTGCTGATGTGGTGTAGTCGTGAGTGATTTGGGCACGGGAGCCGGACTTGCGCCGGAACTGGGCAGCACGGCGGGCGGGCCTTATTTCCCCGGAACTTGCCTAAGGAGCCTCGGCCATCGATTGCGTGTCCATCCATCCATGCCCGGCCTTCCCCGCAGGGGCAGGCAAAGATGCAGCCGCGTCCTGCATGGGGAAGCACAAGACGCCATCGCTCGCCATCTCTCGCGCGTGCGTGAAATCGAAATTTTGCAAGCACCCAAATGTCCAGAACCGGCACCCGGATAGGAATCTCTCCTGCGGTGCCGATCCTCCCATCTCACGTTGGTCATGTTTGTTCGCTCAGAAAGATCAGGTTGCTGTGAAGTCGCTCAACGAAGTGCCAGAGGAAGGTTGCAGGACTCTCGGAGTGCAATGCCAGCGGCCCGGTCTTTCGGCGTTTTCGTACGAGGCGCTGGAACTGTCCCATGGGAGAAGCATGTAAGCGCATTGCGGTATAAGATACGGGCGGCTGAGTTCGAACTTTTGATCGCAGGAAAGGGGGCTCATGCAAAAAGCCAGGATTCACATGTTTGAGAGCACCACTCTGAAGCGGGGTAGAACACCCCGCACGCTCGTGAAGCCCCCTGAGAGAGCGGCTGAGTGGTCTCAAATTTGTGAAAGTTTGCGCTTGGAAAACGCGAGACCACTCGCAATGGGCGATGTTCCGAGCGTGATTCGTGAGGGCGCGCTCATCAGGTCAGCTCCGCGCCCCGCGGCCGCTTCGTCCCTGCAGTGTAGCAAGCTCAGCCATGGCAAGCCGTCTGTCTTGCCGCGTCACCAGCGTGTGCGACTCATTTTCCGCAGTAGGCGCGATTGGTGATTCAGTGATTGCCTTGCTTTTCACAACCCGTGATTCACGATTTCAGCGGTCTCGCATTCCCACCCCCGCAATCAAAGGAGCTTGGCAATCATTGATCCCATCTCACGCCTTCTTTGATGCATCTGCAACTTCCCCAAGCATTGTTCACACCACACCAACCATCATCAGCAGCGTCCATCGCCGTCGCCGCGATTCCATTATACGGGCACCCGCTTTCGCAGCGGCACAGTGGCACACGCACGACTCATCGAGCATCCGAAGGACGTGTGGCCATCATATCTTTCATTGCCAGCCGGAGCAGCAACCACGCTTTGCGCCTTTCGATCCAGAACCTGACATCGAAGTTTGCTCAATCCTCTATACAGGCCCAAGCCTTCGACACCAGCCACTGGAGGTCATCGCTCGCCTTGCAAACACTAGAGTTCACCGTCAGAGTCGGTTCACACAAGACTGGTGAGTATCGCAGCTGCAGGGATTGGCAAAGAGACTGTCATCGACTTCTCCAGGAATCGAGCCAGGCCGACGTTGGCTGCTCTCGTCAAGAGCGGTCTGGGTATAAAGCTGGGCTTGTCGTTTCTGATGAGGCGAAGATCGGCGCAGTGAACTCGACGATCATGATAATCCTGGTGTCTGCCCCGCAAACCATCACTCCTACACAGGCATGGTGCTTTGCGGATGGCAGGCACTTGCATGGCGAGTTCACCGAAGGGCCAGAAATAGTAGCATTGCAGGGAGATCGTGTGGGGTTAAGCAGCATGGCATGATGAACCATAAGTCTGGGGAATCTTCGCTCCGCCACGGCAATCTTCCGGTAATCTCTTCTGCGCGAATGGGCAGAAAGTGATTGCGTCTTGCGATCGCAGGTCACACGCGTACGCAAAAGCCTCGCGCTTCAGTTGCAAGGGCGCGCTGATCTTTCGCACGCACAGCACCGGCGTCTCACGCACGGCGCCCTCAGCGTTCGAGACAGCTATGCCATGATCTGGCTGGCGGCCAACGCTTCCGCGGAAACATCCACAGCGCAAGTCTGGGATAGAAAGCACCGCGGAGGGTGTGTATAGCAGCATTGCAACGATCGAGCCTTGTAAGAGATCTGAAATTGCTTGGGGTGCGTGGATGACACAGCAGCACTCAGCATCGCAGCAAAGCTATGCTGGCTCCTGCTGCTGCTGTTTCGCACGCCATGGCTGCATACAGGTCCGCTTGTCCACACCCGGCGGGGGGCGGCGGGGGGCGCGCCTGCAGCTTGGGCGCGTGTGGCTTGCCCAGCAGGTGCGCTGCGCGCGCGCATGGGTCGACTCAGAGTTCGATCGAGCGCGCGCGCTCTCGCGACCGAGGTCCGCGCCGAAAATCTCCGCGGCCAGCTGGCCTGTCTCGAACGTCGGTCGGTCGAGGTGCTGCTGTCTCAATCGAGATCAGAGCTCACAGCAGGCTGCAACGGCTGATGATGAGGGAGCAGCAGGGAAGGGGCACGGACCGAGCCTCTTCTTGATCGCATCTCGTGGTGAGATGACGAGGTACAGCGAACGAATCTCCCCATGCATTTATGCATAGAGCGAGCACCTTCGCGTATCGTTGCGTGCCACAGTGGTACCCCACCTGCAAAATTTTGACCCCCGCCGCTGCTGCTGCTGCTGCTGCTGCTGCTGCTGCGTGTCCGGCCCGTCTCAAACGCCGGGGGAATGTGCGATCGCAGTGCAGTGCACTGGCATCACACGCAGCACCGCACCGAAATCACTCCAAAGCGTTCGACGAATTGGCGATGCAGCCTACAGTGTCTTCCACTTGCGATGACGAGCTCCGTACTGGATTTTTGACAGTCTTTGGACGTCTTGCTGACTCGCTCTGTCCCTGCCTTCCTTTCATCTTTCCCCCACTGCTACCTTGTCCGCCGCCTCGCATCGCCATCCAACATCATGCAATCTCGACCACCTTCCAGCTTCGCGGAGTACTTTTCTGTGTCGCCGTCTGCGTTTGTGGACCACCAAAACGTGCACGCCGCGCCTTGTGTACAAAGCGACCCGCAAGAGCCGGCAGTAGCAGCAGCGGCGCATTCAGCCATGATGGCCCAACAACAGCAGCAAGCGTCACAAATGGCAGCTGCGTCTGCAAGCAGCTTCAACGTTGACAAGTCTCAGATTCCACGACCTTACAAGTGCCCCCTTTGCTCCCGCGCATTCTACCGCCTCGAGCATCAGACGCGCCACATTCGCACTCATACAGGCGAGAAACCGCACCAGTGCACGCATCCTGGGTGTGAGAAGCGCTTCAGTCGCAGCGATGAGCTTACCAGGCATGTTCGGATACACGCGAACCCTAATCACAAGAAGGATGATGCTGCGAAAGCATCAATGGCCAAGAAAGGCTCTAGCGGCGCACAGCAGAAAACCAGGTGGCAAGTTGGCGATGAAGATGGCGACAGCGATTCAGATGATGAGGACAAATCTGGCTACTCGAGGCAGCCTGAACAGCGCACAGAGCAGATATCTGCGTTAGCAGATCTAGCTACGGACGAGCTCGCCCATCTGCAGCGCGCTGAGAGATATGGGCGCGACCAAAGTGGTGCAGCTCACGGTGCTCCAGGCATGCTGCACAGCGATCCTCGCTTCGGTCCTCACGTCGCTACATATGCTCATTCACCATACCCTGGTGGCCCCATTGCTCCTACCCCTCCCGGTTGCGAGCATGACGAGTGCCATGGAAAATACAATGCGCGCGTCGCAGCCTCATTGCAGCCTCTCCACCACCATGCTAGTGGTCTTTCTCATCCAAGATTCGGACCGCAGGGTCCCTACTCCGGACGAGTCCAGATGCAACAGCCCCATTACTTCTCCGCTTCGGCGACGAGCAGCATGCCAAGCAGTCGTGAGCACTCGCCCAGATTTTCCCCTGGCGAGAGCTTGATGAGCGACGACTACCAATCTGATGGAGAGCACGATGCGCTGAAGGGACGAGGAGGAGCAAGAGCGCATGCATCCGCGGTCGGCTTATCGGAATGGACACCGTCTAGCAGTCCCGTGCTCGGCCCTCTTCGGAACATGAGCCTCTTCGGGCACCAGACTGTGCCAAACAGTCCTTTCCCATCCAGACCAGGCTCGCCTAATCGCATTGGCGCGCCTGTACACTCGCCAGGCAATGATCGTGGCTCCCACAACCACTCACCCCCGCATCTATTCCACGCCGGTCCCTCGCACACGGCTCAGAGTGGTCATCACGGAGGTCACAGACATCGGAGCCACCCATATGGACCGCCGCAGGCTGACTCCCACCTGAGTCTCTCGCGCTCTCACCACCACTTGTCATCACTCGGGAGCGCAAGGAATGCGGGCGCACTGGCTTCGTTCGGTTCGGGTCATCACATTCCACCCACGACTTCTGGAGAACGCAGCACTGCGATTGCTGTGGATGCACGCCATGGTGACACGAAGCGCGAATCTGCTTCAACGCCTGGTTCCGCGTCTACGAGTCCCACGAATCGGTACGACTTTGGACATGTGGCCCATCCGCTTTCACGCCAGCACAGTACGGCTTCCCGGCGAGAACGCTCCTCAGCGCTTGGTAGCCTCAGCGCTTACCAGCTCACCCCTCTTTCAAGTGCTTCAAATGAGGCAGCTGGACGACGATCTCGCGTGGAGGACATCTTGAATGGGGCGTCTGGTTCTTTGAGCGCTGGGAACTCACGCGTCTCCTTGCCCAGCCTTGCGGCTGACGCATCGTCCCGGACGTTGCCATCGCCCTTTGCGGCGAGCAGCTCCTCCAGTCCTCATCTGCCCAACCTGCACAATGTCGGCCAAAGCACAAATCATCAGCATCAGCATCATGCTCTGCATGGATTTAGGCCCTACGACAATCCACACGAGCACGCTGGCAGAGGCAACAAGCATCGAAGCAACAGCAAAAGCGCGCCTGCCAGCGCTGCCAACTCTCCCCCTGGCTCGCCACGAGCTTTGCATCGACCGCCGGTTCAGCCTCACTCGGCCAGTACCGGTGTAGCATCTTCGTCTGCCTCTCACTCGCGTCAAAGCTCATATGGTTTTCATGGCTCGGCAGAGTCAAGCCCTTCGAGCACATTCTCTGTGGTGACGCCTTCGCATCACGAAGCCGCGCACCAGCCGAATCATACCCACCGAAGCGCAAACAAGGGTTTCTTCAGCATGACGCCTATACACCCGGCCACCACACCGACGGATCTGGAACGCAAGTTGCCATCACTTGGTCACGCTCTCGCTAGCAGGGAGACCAGCCCCTCGAACATCTTGCTGCCACCACCCATGTCTGTGCGATCCCTCGTCAGTGACACGTCCCCACGAATCGCGACCGCATCGGCTCCTGATGCCGAGATGGCGCCAGTCGCCTGAGTCACAAGAGGCCTGGCCTAGCCCGAAGGATTTCCGAAATGTGGTTCTTCTCGTCACCATTTTTCTCCGCTGTCGATGACTCCCCTCTGTAAGCCACCCCTCTAGATTTGTTGCTACAGTCCATGTTCAAGATTCACCGCATAGAAATCTCACTGTCTGAATTGCTTTGACTGAAGGCACCGTGAATTGTGATCAGCACCAGAGGCTTTGCGCGAGTGACAACAGTAAGAATGGAGGGGCACGGCGGTAAGGCTCTTGCTGATACATGACACTAGCGCTGCCTGCATGGGCAATCGTTATGAGTGATTGCGGTTCAGAGATGCCCATGACTGAGATGCCAGCGCCTACTTGATGGCTGAAGCGTCTCCCCTCAACGAGAGGTAGGCCTGATCGACACCAGGTCCAAAAGTCTTGATGAGCTTGTAAATCTCCACGCTGTGATACCTCAAGCCAGACTTTGGATCCGTGTACGGTGCTGGCAGTCCCGTAATGTCGCACATTTTCTTCCTTGGCCTGAGAGAAGGAGGAGCTTCTACGCTAAAGTAGCTCGGCAATTCTCTCCTCCTGGCCAATTTTGCCTCGGCTCTCGCCTGTGCTGCTATAGCTTCGTGATCCACCACCTCTTCCACTTTCGCAACCACTTCCGCACCGCCTTTGCTCGTCTCTCCCAGCGTCTCGTTGCCCACCGATTTGGCCATGGAGACATCACCCCCTTGCTCGTCCTCGGCACCTTCGCCCTCGGCCACATCTGGCGTACCTTCCATCTCCGAAGCCCTCTGAAGCAACTTGGCATCCCTCTCCCTCTTCCTTTTCGCAGCAGCCCCACCCAGCATCTTGATCTTGCCATCCTTTCCCACGATCCGAACAGGTTGCACCTCTTCCTTTGCCGCACCTGCCGATGTGCCAGAAGCACCCTTCTTGTTCGTTCCGGGAGCAATGCCCAACAACAGATCCCTCTCTGCTGCCAATATCTGTTTGAGATTCTTATTCCGAGCTCGCGCCCGAGCCGAGACGTTCTTGAATGGTCGTGGCGTCTCGGCGTAATTGTGAGTCTCTATCACTTCGCTAGCGTCTAGCCCTTCAGAGGGTGATTGTCGAGCTGAGCTCGGCCCTGCGCTCATCTTGGCCCTGAAAGAGAGAGAAGGGGGAGTGAGGGGTGGGCATGTCGGTCATCGCTGGACGCTCTAGTGATCCAAAGGTACTCGCATTCGCCAGTCTAGCCGACACTCACATGCTGCGGGCGGAGTGTATAAGCGAGAGAGTCTTTCGTTTGGCCTTCAAGATGCCTGGTGGATGTAGCTGGAAGATAACGAGGTGGATCGGGATGTGAGGACCGAACGAGGGTTGATGTGCGCAATGAGATCGTTGATGGAGCGGGTCGTGCGGATGTGGTCAAGAGAAGTCAAAATGCGAGGACGATCGATGCTAATCAGGGGGGCGACGAGGACCCACCCGATCGCGCGACTCGTGATTCAGCACGTCTGCGCCTGCTGTGGAGGAGGCAGGTACATGCTGTGCTGCTGTATACGTGCGCATACATCTGCGCGCCTCCCTCACCGCGAGGTCACCATCATCGCGCTGCTGAATCAAGAATTGTGAAATCAAGAGTGTAGTGACGATTCAAGAGTCGCGAGTCGTGGAAGGGCCCCAGATGTACGCTGCACGGCGAGAGCAGACGGGTCCGGCCCAACTGTAAGTCATAAGCGACATCGTTCATAAATGTGATTATTTCGTACACCAGGTCCAGTCATTCGAAGCACGGCTCGAGCATGAACAGCCTTGAGAGGAAGAACAGCATCAGATTTGAATTGTGAAGGTCCGGATGGGGGACGTCGTCGCACGCTGAGTGTGCCAACTCATCCCATCGACATCACGGAATCGCAGAAGTAGAGCGAAGCAAGGCCTGCGCGACGAATTCGTGGGACTTAGATGAAATGCTAGTGGTACAGTATGCGACATGGGATCTGATATGGGCCTGTAAGGATGTTGGCAATGTGATATTGCGTGCGGTCTTCACATGGACTTAAGGTGAAGCGATTGGTCGAATTGTGGTCTTTGTTTTGTTTGGCTTAAGCTTTTGGCCGCGAGGAGAGATGATCGGCTGCGTAACCGCGAGGAGGCCGACACGATTCTTGTCATGATTCAGGGAGATCGCGTCCTTCACTTGTGCTGGAAGGGAACTCAGCCGCTTCAATCCGGATGTTGGACCAAGGCCTTATGAAGCATGTCAAAGGATGTGCGCGGAAAGCGAAGGGCTGACAGGCTTGAATGCGAGGTGATTACCATTCAAAGTCAGAGTTGAGCTTGGAGAAGACGTAGTCTCGACCATCTATGTTGGCGATGCCATCCTTGAGGACGCACTTCCACTTGTTCTTGACACGCTGAACCTATTCGCAAGACGGAGTTTGGCATAGAGTCAGCAGGCAGGCGCTGCGAGGTCAGCGTCTACAAAAGGCATCCAAGGCGCTCACCTTGTCGTACAGGCACAGGATCATGTCTTCACCTTCGATCTCGCCTACATCCTTTTCTTCGTCATCGCTGTCATCGAGATCGCTGTTGATCTCGTCAGTCTGGGCAGCTCTCTTGCGCTTCTCCCCCGCTTTCTCCTTGCCATTACCATTGATGGAACCATCGTCGTGACCGTCGCCAAAATCTCGTTTGGCCTTGCCGTCTTCGGTCTTGTGCATCTTTCGCGAGTCGCTACTCGAAGCCTGACCATTGTCCTCGGACTTCATATCGGGGTGTTGAGACGAATGGCCAGAGGCTGGAGGGTTCTTGACATTAGGCTTCACTTCCTTGTCCTTGTCCGCCTTGCCGCCTTTCTTGCTCCCGCCTTTGCCCGCCGATGACGACGGAGCACCATCGAATTCAGCAACTCCAGTCGCGAGAATTTTGGCTTCCCAGCTCTGAAATCACATGAGGTGCAGCGGTATGATCCGACAGTGCGACGGTGCAACGATGCGACGGTGACTCAGCGTGACTACATAGAGTCGCTCGCTGAATAAAGCACTTACGCGCTGAAGCTCCTCCAACACTTCCTTCTCCACGCCGACGTCCTCAAAGTCTTGGCGCACGTTTGCGATCACATCATCGATGATCTGCCGATACGTAGCAGACTTGAAAGTGATGTTCGGATGGTGAACGCAAATGGGGTTGTCAACAAAGAACAGGGCAGGCAGACTCTCACTAGGCAAATAGCCTCCGCATGTATGCTCACCACAGCTCTGTTGCTCATGGCTGATCGATCAGGCCCTCGAGATCGAAAAGCGTGGCAGAGCCTAGTTGTAGGCAACCGCGCCAGTCACGCAGGGTGAGCGCCGCTCGAAGCGCACTGCTGCTTGCAAATCAGTACTGGGGCGGCGCGTCTGGTTCTACGACCTAGAGAAGCATCGATTGAAGGCCCAAATAGAATGACTCCGAAGACAAAGTCGTCTTACTGACTATGACTTTGCGAAAGAGAACGTTCGACCGCTGCCCGCGTGGAGTGACACAAAGACTTGATCTCGAGGCTGGCTGAGAATAGACTTTGTTCGGTGCAAGCAGGGCGAGAGTGGCGGAGAGATGATGGAGCTGAGGCAAGGCGCGCTCTCACGCTTATATACGCTGACCTTATGCACCCCTATTTATGCGATGGCGTAAGCGCCACGTGAGAAGAAGCTGCGCTTGTTTGCTCAGGTGAATGTTCTAGAGAATCGATAAAGGCGAACTGCCACTCATCACTGTCGCGCCCATGCAGCCGCGAGAACGCAAGACCCTCCATTCAAGATTTAAAACTCAAGACTCAGGGCTATTCTTGATTCAGATTGCGTGACTCCTTTTTGTGAGACCGTGGCAGCAATCGATCCACACCTTACACACGTGACATTGACACACGACTGTGCCTTCACACAGAGAAGAGCCTTTTTCAGGTCAGATTCTTGATTCAGGCAGGCATGTCGACCCATCTCACACGAGGGCGCGAATAAGTGACCGTCTAGTCAAGGGTAATTCCGTGACCAGAAGGCCACACACACAGCGGTCGAGTGCGGCAAGGACGGTTGAGCACAGCGCGCGCTAGACCTGGCCCGCCCGCCGCGTGCTGCTTCCAAACAGCTTGTTAATTCACGATTGTAGGTGCGATAGCCATCCATCCGCGCGTCATAACGGTCAACCTGCATGCCCACGCCAGGGGCTCCCGCTTCTCTCTCACACAAGTGTACAGTCGGCACACAGCACAAGCGAACCCTAGTCTTCACTCTCATCAATTGACAGGCAAAGACATGCACTGTGACTGAAGAAATCTGGGGCAGCATCAAGACGGATCCTACGCTATGTGGCGATACTGGTAGCAAGCCCAAACATGGCATATGCCGACGGTACCGGCGGCTCGAGAGTTGGCGGCGTCGAGGGCGTGCACAGCACAAGGACTTCGACAGGCGACCCCGTCATTCGCGGTGGATGCACGCTCAACGTCTTTAATGCAGTTGCTGTTCGGTCGGAGAGAGGCGGTGCTTGCGCCCTCTTCGATTGTCAAGTAGTCAGCCTAAGCGTACCCGACCACTCGAGATTCAAAATTACGAGTCACGAGTGTACGCAATTCATCTGTCTATGAATGCTGTCTGGCCTCGACTGGCGGAGCGGCTGACCTCTATCCGGTCTCGAGATGCCAAGCAGTGTCGACTCGAGATGCGCTCAGAGTCGCATCGAGTGCTGTGTAGGGCTGGCGAGCTGGGGTGGCTGGTCAGCCAGCGCTCGAGCGCCTCCAGCGGTTGCTCTTCTTTCTCAACGGCTCTCTAGCTCCACTGAACATTCTGGCCCAACGCTCCTGAGCCTGGAAATTGCCTCTCTGCTGACGAACCTCGCGCAAGCAAATCAAAGGCAATTCATGATCGCTTGCACATAAAACCTGGCGCTTGGTTCGCCTTGACCGTCTCTCTCTTCTTCATCCATCCATCCATTTCACTCCCTCACCCTTTCCCCCTCGACTCACCGCTCTCATCTTTTCCCGTTCTCGTTCCCCGCTCACACTCTCTTGTCTCAACACACAGACTTCTACAGCTCGTGCCTCGCTCTTCTCCTTCCGTTCTACACCGACGAACACACTTTCTCTTCCCCGCAAGGCTTCACACGAACATGCGTCTTCGTACCTTCACTCTTCTTGCGGTGGCTCTTGCCGCTACCATGGCTCAAGCTGCCTCCACGGGTGAGCACAGAGTACGCTTTCTGCATCCACCGAAGCTCCTCGACTAACTCTGTTACTCCCTCTTGCCCTTTGCCTCTTCTCCATCGTCAGCCGAGCAAGGAACTGATGGAACATCTGTCCCCAACACCTCCTCGGAGCAGTCGCAAGTACAAGGTGAGTGTCTTCGTTGTGCGTTGGCCTGCCTTTCGGGGTCTCACCTGTCGTCCACTTCGCTCGCCTCCATAGGCTACGCTGCTCAGGTTCACACTGGTGAGCATCCAAGTCGAACGCGGCGTCATCGACGGTGTCGCGGTGGCTGCTCTGACCCCTCGTCTATCCTCGCTCCTTCCCTCGCTCATAGAGCGCGACCTCGACGCCCAAGCCGACGCTTTTTCCAACCCTCTCAGCGAGTTCTTGGATCTCGGCAAAGAGTTCTCTACCACGCGCGGTGCCAAACACGACACACGCAAGCTCGCTCGTTGGTTCAAGCTGGCTCACGAGCTTCGTCTGGACGACCCCGTCAAGATTAGTGGTCTCACTCGCTTCCAACGCGTCATGGGCACTGAAGATGAAGGCGAATACCTCAACGACCTCTTCATCAACCTTCCCTTCCTGCACGCTCGCGATGAGAATGTCGAGGATGCCGATGCCGTGTACTGGCCCAAGCTTGATGGCCGTGCTTCCCTCGCCGACCTCCAAGTCGCCAAGCACAAGAAGCACCGCTCTCATCACAAGCACAAGACCCACAAGCACAAGGGCAATGACGGCCTCCTTCACCAGATCATCAAGGACGTCAACCACGGTGAGTGTCAGAGACAGACGGCAGTGTCGTGCTAGTTAGAGCGCAAATGCTGATCCGTCGCCGTCGCTTCGTCTCCTTGCCAGACATTGGCCACATTGGCATCAAGGTTCGTGACACTGATGTGGCCGATGATGCTGACAAGAAGAAGCACAAGAAGGGTGGTCTGGTCCACGCCATCACCAAGCAGGTCAAGCATGGTGAGTGTCAAGTGTCCCGCAGTGCTCATCGTCGTTCCTCCGTGCTGACGTGCACCCGCGCTTTGTTTGACTCAGATGCTCACTTGGCTGCTGATCTGAATGTCCGCGACGAGAATGCCGTTAATGACGAGGATGTTGCCGACGAAACCGACAAGAAGCGCAAGCCCAAGCACAAGGGTAAGCACGGACTTCTCAGCTCCATCAACAAGCAGGTCAAGCACGGTGAGTGTTGCTCGAAGTCAGCTAATCTTCAATATTGATGCTCATCATTCCGACTCGTCACCTCCCGCAGATGCACACTTGGCTGCCAACCTCAACATCCGAGATGAGGACGTCGCTGAGGATCAAGATGCAGTCGATGAAACCGACAAGAAGCGCAAGGCCAAGGGCAACAAAGGCCTCCTCAACACCATCAACAAGCAGGTCAAGCACGGTGAGTAACGCGCGCTCGCAAGTACTGTTGCCCGTCGATGCGCTTACAGGCTCTTTCTTTGATGTGCACAGATGCTCACCTTGCGGGCGCTCTCAACCTCCGTGGTGAAGACGTCGCTAGCGATGAAGGTTCAGTGGATGAAGCCGACAAGAAGCGCAAACCCAAAGGCAACAAAGGTCTTCTCAACACCATCAACAAGCAGGTCAAGCACGGTGAGTCACGCGCCTCGCAAGTACTGTTGTCCGTCAACGCGCTTATAAGATCTTTGTTTGATGTTCACAGATGCGCACCTTGCGGGCGCCCTCAACCTCCGTGATGAAGACGTTGCCGATGAAGCTGACAAGAAGCGCAAAGGCAAGCACGGACTAGTCCACGACACGGAGAAGGAGATTAAGCACGGTGAGTAATGCTGCGCCACGACAACGAACTTGCACATTCGAGCTCACACCACAGGTGGTGGCGGTATTTCCTAGATGCTCATCTCGCGGCTGGTCTCAACGTTCGTGACGAGGACTTGGCCGAGGACGAGGACAAGAAGCGCACTCGCAAGCACAAGCACAAGGGCAAGGGCAGGCACGGCCTTCTTCACTCTATCAACAAAGAGCTGAAGCATGGTGAGTCACGACCCTCGCCTCTGCGAGCTTCCACTGTCAAGAAGTGCTGACCGATCTGCCTCGGTCATCATTTCAGACGCCAAGATCATTGGCATCAAGATTCGTGACGAAGAGGAGACTAGCGCTGCCGACAAGAAGCCCCACGCCAACGCTGTCCCTAACAAGGACGCAAAAAAGACGCCCACTACTTCTGCCGAGGCCAGCAAAGCCCCAAAGGCCGCTGCTAGCGACGTACCCGAGAAGGAACCCGAGGCTAAGGGCAAGCACGGACAAGAACCCAAGGAGAAGGAACCCAAAGTGAAAGCTCCCAAGGAAAAGGCGCCCACTTCCAAGGGTCACAAGGCGAAGGCAGCCGAGTCCACAGCCACCGAGTCCGCCAACGAGTCCGCTCCTGCCAAGCCCTCGTCGTCCACAAAGCCGGTCTTGCCCCAGAACGAGAAGGTCCACCCGCGTGATGACGCTTCCGACGATGTGCAGGGAGATGCCGACAAGCCCAAGAAGGGCAAGAAGGGAAGCGGCCTCAACGTATCCAAGATCATCAAGGCTTTTACTCGCCAAGTTGAGGAGAATGACGATGCTCTTGAGCGCCGCAAGGCTGTCGCCGAGGACCCCACCAGCAGCGCGGATGTCGACAAGCCCAAAGAGAGCGATGCAGCCGACAAGAGCGAGGACGACAAGCCCGCTGCCACCACTGGATCTCAGGACTTCTCTCCTCACCGCAACGACCAATTCCGTCGTCAACCCCTCTAAGCGGATCGGCTCTTGACCACGAGTCTTCTTCATGCCCAACTTCCACGGCGCTTCTAGTGCACGTTGGTGCGTGCTCAGCATCCTTTTCCCCGCAGCGTCGACGCTTTCCCCGATTCTCGTTCCCGTCACCATCCACCATCCACCATCCCAGATTCGTCCTCGCCCCCTTCCATCAACTCCACTTGGCCAATGGCCACACCACACCACCTTCTGAAGCTCGTACAGCTCAACGAAGCCAAACACACTCATTCATTTTGCCGTCGAACGTTGTCATATTACAGCCAACTGAGCTTTTAATCTCATACGCGCGCAGAGCTCGCGTCAGTATCCTACTCACACACGTCGTGTGCGCCATGTCTGAAATCTTTGAACAGGCAGATTCCCATCAGCAGATGTTCAGCACGCTTTATGACGGAGCAAAGTGGAATGGCATCCATTGCAAATGGCATAGGGTATAGAGCAATGAAGCCAGTAGTAAAGAAGAGGTGAAAAGGACCGAAGAACGGTGGTCGTCGGCATGGCCCAGCTGACAGCAAAAGGCGCCGGAACCAAAGGATAAAAACAGGCGCTCAATGACGCACGGACCATAAAAGGTCTTTGCCAGACAGAAGAGATCAAAAGAAATGCCGATCTGGGCGCAACGGTAAATGAGTCGATGAAGAAATCGGGTGAGAGAAGAGCCAATGTGAAGGCTGTGGGAATCAAGTTCGAATAGAAGGAGCCTCGGTGCGAGGGACAGGAGCAGTGAGGCGTCGAGAAGCTTTGCCGACTGTGACAGCGCTGGTCTGAAGATTGGCATTTGCAGCGTTCGAGGCAGGTCTCTTTGCGCTCTGCGTTCTTTTCAGTCCAGCAGCATGTTGCAAAGTTGGAGTTGCACCTGCCGACAATGCTGCAGATTCGAATCTGGTCAGGGTTGGAGAGGAATGAGGAATAGCGAAGGAGGAGGGAGGAGCGTTGCCTTGTCTAGCTTTGTGCAGGTTTGCCTGGCAACGTTGAAGAGCTACCCTGTTCACTTCATCTTTCCAGGCTTTTCTTTCCTTCTTGCTAGCTTCCAATCTGGACAAGCAAGCCTTGTCGGCCATGCCGCACACTCCTAATGCTGGGCTGTTGGATCTGGACCAAGCAGGACTGTTGGGCGACGCTGCTGAGCCTGCCCCGCCGTGCGTGCTTTCGGATTCCGATAGAGGTCCGGGCGAACCTGGAAGAGCGACTCGAATGGAGTCAAATGAGGCCCGGGCCGCTTTGCTCATTCTGCCTCCTATCGAGGAAGGGGTCGCCCCTCGTACGATGCCTGCGCCCACCGCTGTCGACGAGCTGACATTCGCATCGAGGACCAGAGGTGCAGGTGCGCACTTGCGCGGCTCGACGAATGGAGCAGTTTCTGCTTGCGCTCTGCGGGGCTTGGGAGCTACTAGAACGGGAGCAGCATTCACAGTCGGTGGAGGAGCAGACGAAGAGTCAGGCGACTGGCAGCTTTCGATAGCCATGTTACGATCTTTGGATTTGTTCTTGCTGCTTTTTCTCTCCCTGGGCACCACGTGCTGATCCGGTGCGGAATCGCCCGACTTGGCCAAGACTTGATATGTAAAGTGAGCCGCGTCTGCTCCCGATCCTCTTCGCTCGTGGCTGTACAATTGAACTTGATCCGGGAACGCCATGCTTTCTCGTACCGCATCCAATCGAGGTGCGTTCGCACGCTTGCGAGGACTCGCATGGGCCTCGTCAGGATCGGTCTTTTCGTCGCTGTTCGACAAGGATGCCCGGCCCGCCTTGGATGACTCGGTGGGCTGAGGCTGGATGGAGCGCCGTTTGGAGTTGCTGCTGCTACGTCTCAACGGTGCTTGAGGAGGACTAGAGGGCGCTACGTTTCCCATGACCCATAATTGACCTTTGCTTTTCTCCGCCGCGGTCTGTCGCTCCTGAGCCGAGCGAGGCCCGGGAGCTTTGACATCCTCTCCCAGAGAACGTTTGATGGCATTTTCATCGCGTGCGGGGCTTGTGTTGAGGTCCTTGGGCGCGACGTATCCCACGACTTCGGCACCGTACTGCGCGACACCTGCCAAGCCGGCGTACAAACCGGCCGCCAGGCCGCCAGCCCCTATATCCCACTTTCCAAACACACCGCCCTGATCCGTCGTTGAGTCTTCCTTGGGCGAGCGCGTGATGATCTGCACTACCCGCTCCTTGTCTTCCGTCGCTCTCTTGATGAGTTCCTTCTTCCGCTCTTCGATCGCAGTCTGCATGTCCACTTGCTTCTTCTCGATGGCATGCGTGATGGCAGCCTTGCGCTGTTCCAAAGCTTGCACAGCTCGATCCTTTGTTTGTTCCTCGCGATGCAGCAGTCTGTCCATCTGGTCATGTGCTCTCTTCTCCAGTCCTGCAACCACATCGTGCGCGGCGTTCTCGAGGTTGTGAACCTGATCATGAGCCAGTTGACCAGCATGGTGCACCCCGTCAACCACGCGCTGCTTTTCGTGGACGATGCCATCGACAAGCACCTTTCGTCCATCCTCGTACCTCTTATGAATCGCATCCTTCTCGATGTCCATAGAAGCTCTGACTCTTTCCTTTTCGTGTTCCACGGCTTTGACCAACCTCTCCCTGTCCTCTTCCGCCTTCTCGCCCGCTCTCTTCCACGCATCCTTGGCACCCTGCTCCGCCAAATCTTTGACTTTCCAAATCTCCGCTCCAGCATTCCGAGCAGCTGCCTCTGCTCTAGCTGCTCTCTTTGCAATCTTGTCCTGAGCTCTCTGCACGCGTTTCGCTCGAGCTTTGGCAGCTTGAGAAGCGGGAATGTAGCAGACGCCATCCGCGTCGCATGCTCGATGGATCGTGCTCGGCCGTTCGAAGCCGAACAAGGGTCCGAATGCGCCGTGTAGGACTACATTGATGCCCCTCTCCGCTTTGCGCAGCAGACTGTCCCACGCGCTCGCTGCTCCCAGTAGGAAATATTCCACCTGCTGCAAAGGGCGTGAAAAGGTTACCCCCATGCTAATCGTAAGTCAGGTGTGTGCGAGTGGAGAAAGATGGTTGGAATGAGCCTTCTCGGGCGAGTAGGCCAATTTGAGGAACAAAGTGTAAAAGTGCTCGTCGCAAAAGTCGTGATGGGTTGGTCGTGATAAGAGGTTCTGACAGCTCTCAAGTTGGGCTGAAGAGTGTATCGCTCGCTCGTAATGATTCGTCAATAGTCGTCAAGGGGTCGTTAGAAGAGGTGAGGAATCGAATTTGTGGGTGGGGGTGATGGGGGGCAAGGCGGCAAGGCGGTGAAAGAGGAGTAGTGAGGGTGAAGATGATGGGAAAGCAGCACAGGCGAGCGATACGGCGCTGTGCGGGTCAGCGGTACAGGCGAGCGTGGGCAGATATGGATGGCAGTTACTGCATGCAGTCGCAGTGCAGGCAAGGCAGTTAGTTGAGCAACGCGGTGCACTCAGGTCTCGTGTAGTCGTGAGTGCAGCAGGGGCAGCAGCTGAGGGCCGTACGTAGCGTTGGCGCGAGTTTATGCAGCAGCAGCAGCAGCAGCAGCAGCAGCAATCACGCCGGGTGCGGTATGCATGTATTCGCGGCAATCGTCGACCTCGACCGCCGGTGGGAGGGAGGCGGGAGGTGTCGAATGGATCATGAAAGCTTGGAGATCCGGGTCCAGTCGATTGAATGCCAAATCGGCGAGAGTGTCAGCAGTGAGGGGAGAGGACAGCATCACATCTATCGAGCGCACACCATCCCATCTCATCGCTCGTATATTCGAGGCTTTTTGGGAGTCCGTCAGCACAGACATCGTCCGATGTCCCGCACCTATTGATGAAGATTCTACTACCACCACCGCCTTGACTTCATCTCCACGCTCGCTCATTTCTTCACGTTCGGTTATCATTGCCTCTCGTCGTGCACGGCCGCGCGGATGACCCACCATCAGGCAGACAGCAGCAGCAATGCACAATTCACGATTGTGATTGACTCCGCCGTCATTTATCATCCATTCACATTATATATATATATATATATATATATATATATATGCTGCTGACGAGTGTTGAGTTCCGCGGCCTCAATCGTCGCCATGTATATATGATGCATGCAGTCAACCTCTCTCCCTGTCGCCGCGCGCGCTGCAATGCTGAGCATGATGCGTGCGGCTCGCCGCGGCCAAAGCGCGCGGATAGGGGCTGAAGCGCGCGTCTGTCGTACGTACGATTCACAATCAATCACGTGAATCAAGAATCACAAGACTTGACTGAGCGCGAAAAGCCTTTATTAGCCTGTCACGTGGGGCCAAAATCACGGCCCATCCTCAGCGTATGCATATGCTGCACGCATCCGCCGTGAGTCGGTGGCGTCGCGGCGCACGACGTTGCGCAGTCACGAGTCTAAATTAAAGTGCCGAGTCAACAACACACGCGCGGCACACGTTCCCTAGCTGGGCCGGCAATACGAAGCATGCAGATCTGAGTGGTTGCTGGAGCAAGCTGCTGCTGTTGCCGTCATGTTCTGCCTGCTGCGCTCCTCGTCTTTCCACATCGAACGTGCTACACATGTGGTCCGCCTTCCTCGACCAACGAAACCATCTGAAACATCTTGAGCATCGGCAACGTGCCTCTTATTTGAGTCCACTACGTGGCATGCAGCATTATCGTTCGCGGAGATTCATCTCATATACTCGCGACTCTCGCTGCTGATCGACGGACCTCATCACGAGTCTGTCAAGTGCTCGAACGACAACGCGACCCGGCCGGCATCGCAGCGGGGGCGCTATACCGCTACAGCTGCTATAGCTAGCGCAGCCATCACCCCACACCACCACACTCACACTGCAACTTGCTCGATATGACGCAGTAGACTTGCTGTCGAGACTTGCGCGCGAGCAGAGCGCGTCTGAGTCACACCCACCTCACGTCACACGAGCGACCTAGCTGTCTGCCTCACAGCCGCGCCCGATACAAGACATCGCGGAGACGGCCCCACACTCCTGCTCCTTCTCCTTACGATCACATACATAGACCTCGAACACCAGCACTGCTCCCTTCGGAGCCCAGCACTGCCCCATCATGATTTCGCTTCCATTCGCAATGCCCAGCATGGTGTCGATCGTGCCTGAAGGGTCCTTGCTGAGAGATGAGTCTCTCCATCAAGCCTTTTACGCCTCGCTAATCGTCCAGCATAGCTTGTTTCACACTCTCAGCGCCACAACATTCAAAGGAGAAGGCAAAGACATGCTCAAGAAGCGAGCATGGATTCTCACCACTTTCAACGGTTTGGTGATGACGCTAGCAAGTCTTCCCTTTCTCTTCGATCTCTTGCTTTCCGGCTTTGATTTCCACGCGGTCAAGCACAGACGCTGGCTGGAAGAACCAGCTTCTGCTTTCTTCGTCGCGTACCTGCTGTCCGACCTGGGATTAGGATCCATCTTCTATCGCAAGCTCATCAACTTTTCGTCTGGCTGGGCACATCACACCGCATACACTATCCTCTTTGCTTACTGGGTGCACCGAGGCTGGGCATTGTACGCCGTCATGGCTTGCGTGTTCGAGTTGCCAACTTTTATCATGGGCTTGGCTTCGCTCGTGCCTCAGACACGTTCCAACAACGCCTTTACCATTACCTTTTTCATCACTCGCGTCTTTTTCCACTTTGGCCTGCTTTGCGCTAGCGTCACGCCCCATGGGAGAGCCACACCAGGCATAGATGGTAGCTGGGGTGTCGCCAACAGCATCATCGCGACTTACCCAATGCATCTCTGGTGGGGCTACAAATGCATCATGAGCGTCCGGCGACGAATGAAGAAGCGCGCGGCTGAGAAAAAGGAGAGAGCGCCCATGCTCAGCGAGGCTGGCAGGAGATTGTCCGCTGCTAGGAAGGAAGAGGGGTACTTTTCTGGATTCGGACAGCTCATGAATGGCCTCGCGCCGCCCGATACCAGCAGTGCGCTCAACACGCCAGCTGCTACGCCTGGCAGCGTCACTCCACCTGCTCGAGCTGAATCTCCTTTCGGATACAATGCCCCTGTCGCGCTGCATGCCGCGTTTGCAAGGGCAGCAGCAGCGGGAAGGGCTCCTATCGACATGGTTCGCAGGCGACGCGCAGCCAAAGCCGCAGCCGAGCGTCGCAAAGCTGCTATAGCCGGGGCAGAGACGGACGGGTGGTCAACGGGAGAAGCGGAAGATTCAGCGGGGGAGAATGCTTCCCTATTGTCCTCCTCCTTCGGAAGCGGCATCGGTATCAGGAGAGCTTCGACTGCTTCCAGCTCCAGCGAAGTTTCTGCGTTGTCGGCGCCCTCGACTCGACGCAGCATTGAAGGAGAAGCTTCTTCGAGCTCTTTGGACGTTCGGCCGTCCCTAGACTCGTTCAGAAGGCACTCGATGCAAGGTCCACCTTCAGCTTTACACGAGAACAAATCGAAGCAAAGGCTCTTCACCGCTCCAGTCCCGCCCATCGATGCTGGTCCAGGCGCTCGCGAACCCTTTTTGGCCATCAGATCGCCTGCAGAGGCGAAAGACCGCGCTAGGAGGCTGGTAGCCGATGCGGTCAGAAAAGTGTGGATTTCTGCACCCAACACTTGGAGAGCTCAATTCGAGGCAGAAGCCGAGGCAGGCGCCCGACTGAGGGCCGCCGCTGCCGCCGCGGCTGCTACAGCCAAGTCTGGCGACGAGGGAGCTGGACGCAGGGCTAGTCTAGGCGCTTCGGAGGACTCTACAAGCGCTGAAGAGACGGATGCAGATGCCGGAGTCTCCGGCCGAGAAGATGAGGATGCGATGGAGCAAACTCGAGCTCAGCGAGCTAGAGCAGCTGCTAGGCGGGCCATCATCCGGGCGGTGAGGCGCGCCATCAACGGCAAGGATGCGGACGGACTAGACGAAGCTAGACTGGCCGGCGTTTCGGCCGGTGTGCTGGAAGATCCGAGCGTAGACTTGGACAGCGTCGATGGTGCCGCGAGAAGCAGACAACAGAGCTTGATGGAGGACGCTACGAGCAGGACCATCAATGCACTCGACTTGCAACAGTTGCTCAAATTCGTCCCGCCCTTGCCCCCCGATATGACGGGCAAGTCTTTTGACGTCAGGCCGCTAGAGGTGGAGCAGGTAGAAGGTCAGAGGAGAAAGAGGTGGGTGAATCAGCTGCGAAGGCGCATGGAAGTTCAAAGGAGGGGCGACGATTTTGTCCTGTGGTGAAAGCGCAGCTCGCGAATAGCCAAGTCATGAACAGACCATCGCGAATCACGATCGTGCTCTGCTCTACGATGAAGACTCTCGGCTCTTTGGTGAATCGTACCGGACTTTCCTACGCCCTTTCCGTTGCTCCCGGAATCTTTTCGTAGCCTGTTCAAGAAGGCGATGTCCACATCTATACCCTACGACCGTTCCCCCTCCTTTTTGAGAGAATCACTTACTCCTCTACCGTCATCACTATACATTTCACTCACGACTGCCAGGCATCCCACTTCGTATTTCTATCCACCTCGCTCTCCAAGTATCGAACTTCTCTCTGCAATCGAGTTCCATTTGTACCCGCGATCGCAATCTCGTACGCTGCTACAAATTGGTGTGACGCATTCGAAAATTTTGCCGAGAGGGGCGATGTCTGTGGAATGCTCGAGCAATGCAAGCTGGAATGGTGAGATTGCTGCGGAAGCGGTCGAAGAGAAGGGGATCGATGAAGAGAACGACGTTCAATGCGCAGGGTGTAGGCATCTCGTAGTTCGACGGCTTTTGAGGCATCACAATAGCAGCTCAGAGCCTTGCACACAAGAGTGATTTCGATCAATGATCCGCAACCGGATTGCGCTCCTTGGCAGCCCATTGCATGCTTTGTGTGTGGGATGCAACGCGATAATCAGCCGGCCTGCAACCCCACAGACTGCCTTGCTTGCGCTGACAAAGCCACTCACAAGGTCTGGTGAGCGCCCAACGCTTTGTAGATTGCCCGCATGAAGTAAGGAGGAGTGTTTGGCTGTGTTGCACGATGCGCGCATAGGAGAGGGGGAGTGGATGGGGTGAGTAGGGACGTCGGTATTCGCGCTTCATTGCGGCGTTTGCAGCTTCGCCTCTACATCGGCATGGCTACAAAAGGATAGGCACGTCGAGCACTCGCGACTCACCGAGATCAAAGAGATGGCGTAGGCGGCAGCGGGCAGATGAGCCTGAACGCTCTGATCCTTTTCCAGAATGTCCACCATGCGGTTGGCAACCTTGTCGATGGTGAGCGTGGGAAAGAGGAATTGATTCTTTTGCTCCAGCATGCGTCCTTCCGTCATCTTGCTGTGCACCATCAAGGGGCAGATAATGCTGCTTCGCACATTGTTCGTCTTATGCCACGCGTCCAGCTCGAAGTTCAAGGATTGCCACAAGGTGATGACGCCTGCTTTCGATAGGTTGCTGATGAGTCGGAAATGCGGAAAGGGGTCAGCTTGCACAGACTGCCTCCACTCGCGATGAGCACTTTTGCACTCACTAAGAAGCGTTGGCCGGGAGACTGACAGAGGGAAGGGTGCACGGAGTAAGGTTGGTCAGCGTCCGCGGACGCTTGTCAGCCCATAGCCTGGGCGGACGACTCACGGAGAGTACGGGGCTCCGCTGGCAATCATGAGGATGTGTCCGCCTGACGTGGATGTGACGCATGTTGAGACCATCGTCAGCTGACATCGATCGACTTGAAGCAGCGGCAAAGCGCTCTTCGCTCACCGAATCCGTTTGCGGGCTGCCCTCCCTCCACTCGGAGCTGACCCTTGTTGTACGCAGGTAGCAGATCTTGACCAAAGACCTTTACGAAGGTGTACGTGCCTGCAGATCGCATCGCAGGAGCCGCGGTCTCAGTAATGATGCCCGCGATCTCGAATGACGCATCCCCTCACCATCGATGTTGACTCTGTGAATGGCGGTAGAGTAGGATGCGGGGAATTGCTCTGGAGGGTCGAGCACCATGCAGTGACGAGCGATGCCAGCGCACGAGACAACGAAGCTGCAGAAGAGGAGCAAGAGTCACAACAGATTCAGTGCAGCCCCATTGGGAAAATCCGGCAAGCAAAAGCATTCCCCACCCCTCCCCACTCACCTGACCAGGCCAAACTTTTCGTGGACCTGCGCTCGAGCAGCGAGCAGCTCCTCCTCGCTAGTGACATCGGCGACAATGTGCAAGTCTTCCCTCGCATGATCCGTCCTCTCCAACTTGTCAATCGTGACCACCTTTGCGCCTTTATCCGCCAACTTTTCCGCCAATCCTCCTCCGATTCCTCTTGCTCCTCCGCTGATGACCACGACGTGCTCGGACCATTGGATGGTGCGCGGAGCTGCTCGGTCGTAGATGATGCGTTGACCGAGCCGGTTGATGAATCTGATCGCAGAGATGGCGACAAAGACCTGCGAGTAGAGCGAGGCGAGGAGAGATGACGACGGAGAAGGAGAAGCGTCTTTGAGCTGCAAAGGCCTTGGAGAACTCTCATTGTTGGCCCCACATTCCAAGCTCACCTTCAGCCAAGCATTGTCATTCAAAGCTCGCCAGAGCACGCCAAGCACACCTTTGGCATTGTCCCTTGTGGGAAAGTAGATCAACGAGTTGAGCGCATCTCGAACCTTGACGGACAGCACGGCAGCTAGGCCCACGTAGGCCAAGGGCGAGGCTGTGGGGCTCGTCAATCGACTGGCGACGTGAACCAGACCGTCCGCAGTCACCATTTTGATTCTTGCTTTGTGTTCTAGGTGGCTGGAGAAGAAGCGCAAAGCACAGCAGACGTCATACGAGAAGTGCGAGTTGCGGGTGTGACTCGTGACTCGTGACTCGTGGCTCGTGGCTCGTGACCAATGATTTAGCTGAGATCACTCGTCACTGACGGCTTTCATGATTGAGCGTTGTTCATACGCGCACACGTACCACCGCCTCTCCATTCACCATTCAACGCTTCCGTAATCCTCATCGTCGGCCAAGTCGATGTCGGCATGCTAGCTGCACGCGTGGGCATGGCAGCCAGCCAGCCAGCCCCCACATTCGCGATTCAGCTGCAGTCGCAGGCTCGCAGCAGCAGCACACAGCAATTCACGTTCTCTGGTTCAGATTCTACTTTTGTTGACTTTCTCACGCTCGACTCGCGTGAAACGTGCGCTGCTTGCCCGCTCGCGTCGCGTGTACGCAGTAGCGTCTCTCATCTCACCCCGCCTGACCCCGCATGAAAAACGCGGGCTCGGCACCGAGGTTGGACTTTGCTCGTGCGGAACTCATCAATCACGTGAAATGTAACGCGTGAATGGGGGGGTCAATCTTGAAATTCTCGACCAAGATTCATCAAAATTTGATTTTGAAACCAACCATTTTTGCGTCGTCACGTGTCGAGCGAGAACTGGCAGCGAGCGCAGATCGTTCTCGACCTTTTCTTTGCAAGCGTCGTGATCGACCCGGTGCTAGCTTCAGGCAAAAGTCGAGTTTGAGTGTTTCGGGGTCGCATCCGCGTTCATATTCAAATTGGTGATTTGCCTTACATATATGGCGATTCTGATGCTTGTTACTGCATGCGGATCGAGTGCCCAGCCGAGTAACTGTGGCCATGCATGGAGTTGACGCAAGGACTCCAAGAAAGCTCGTCATCCCGCAATGTAAAACCAAAGCACAATCATCACCGCAATCGCGCATTTAAGCCGCGCACATGCGTGCAGCAGCTGATGGTATTTTCTGGAAAGCGCACAGATCACACAATTAAGAAGCAAGCGGGCGCGTTTGCATCAAGTACCGAGAGTCTATTCAGCAATAATAAACAAGCATTCAAGACTAAGCATTTGCAGCTTCCTTTAGCGCGCCTTATCGCGGAAGGGCACGCGCGTCGGAAGGCGTGACACCATCTGTATCGGCGATCACGTCAACGCTTCGACATGCCATTTTGTAACTCACCTCTGCCGTGGCGCATCAACCCAGGCATCTTCACCGCAAGGCGGACGGCAAAGCAATGAAGCCATCCGAGCCTCCACAAGCAGGAGTCGTGACGGTTGATAAAGGCAAAGAGTGTCGCTTGTGAGTCGCATACCAACACACTCCTTTGGTGCCTCTCCGAGCTACGATTCGCGCACACGCATCCCCAGGTTCTTCGGCACGAGCAAAAGCAGGACGATCGAGAAATCACATGCCCATTGAAACAGCTGCAGCCACGACGATCTACAAGGCCAGCAGGGGTGCAGCAAACGCAAAGCTCGTGATTATTGCTTTCCTGGACTTGCAATCTTGCTTTGGGGCTTCGTAGCGATGCTGCCAAACCAGCCGATGCGACGCTCGTGCAAGTCACGAGCACAGCAGCATCGAATGTTCGGGCGCCTCACCTCGGCACCCTCAGATCTTGGATCTCCCTTGCTCAGAGGCTAGCAGGCACTAGTGCAGCACGAACACGTACGATGACATTTTTTACATCTTCTGAATCCGAGAATCCGGTACGGCATCACACAGCAGAAGACTGACTGACTCACTGACTCGGCCTGAGATTGCTGCTCGCGATGCCCCGACGGTGGAGGGCAGCAGCATTCGATGGAGTTTGTGCCTCCTCTTTGCCCGACTGCAAAGCCTTAAAGACGACCCAAGAGCCAAATGCTCGGAAAGGCTCCTCCCACCTCTGTTCCCTCAGATCATTCCCTTTCGAACGAGCACACCCGTCAGCCTCGTCACTGCCCCTCTCCGCCGTGCGTACTTGAAGCGCGTCAAGATGGACGTCTCGCAAGGTATCACCCCGCCCATCTCCCAGGGATGGGCGTACGGTATCCTCCTCGGTGTCGGTCTGGCCTTCGCCGTGGGCATGTACTTCATCACTAGGCTTCTGAAGAAGTACAACGGTGAAGACAATTCCAAATTTGAGACCTACGCTACAGCCGGTCGTACCATTGGCTTGGGATTGACAGCAACAGCTGTGGTCTCATCATGGGCGTGGTCCACGGCTCTGCTATCTTCCTCTGTTGTCATGTACACTTACGGTGTCCAAGGTTCCTTCATGTTCGCTGCTGGATGTCTCGTCCAGATCAGCTTTTTTGCTCTACTCGCCATCCAATCCAAGAGGAGGACACCTCATGCTCACACCATGCTCGAGATCGTAAAGGCTCGATACGGAACTACGGCGCACTTGATCTACATGGTGTTGGCGCTCATCACCAACCTCATCGCATCCATCAACATGTTCCTCGGTGCGAGTGCCACCATCAGCGCTCTTACAGGTCAAGCCATCGAAGCTGCCATCTTTCTGCTTCCCGTCGGAGTGGTGGGCTACACGTTGAGCGGTGGCCTCAAGGCTACCTTCATCACCGACTACGCCCACACCGTGCCTCTCCTCATCATTTGCATCTATCTGTCCGTCAAGGCCATCACCAACCCCGCCGTCGGTGGTCTGGACACAATCTGGCGCAACGTCACCGCGCTGGCCGAGAGTTCGCCCGTCGAAGGTAACTACAACGGATCCTACCTCACCATGAAGAGTCAGATGGGCATCGCATTCGGAGCTGTCCACACCTTGGGAAACTTTGGTCTGGTCATCATGGACTCGTCTTACTGGCAAAAAGCCTTCTCGGCCTCTGTCGCTGCAGCTACGCCCGGCTACATCCTTGGAGGCATCCTCTACTTTGGAATTCCTTGGTGCCTCGGCACCATTGCGGGCGCGACCGCCCTCAGTCTGGGCAACAATCCGATCTGGCCAGCTGTCGGACGAAAGCTGACGGATTCCGAGACCGCAAACGGTCTGCCTTTGGCGTACGTCGCTCTCGCCACAGCTGGCAAAGGTGGAGCGGTGGCGGTGGTCTGGCTCATCTTCTTTGCCGTCACCAGCACCGTTTCTGCCCAACTGATCGCAGTCTCATCCATCATCAGCAGCGACGTCTATCACACCTACGTCAACCCCAAGGCGACCGAAAAGAGCATCATCTTGGTCTCTCGCCTAGCGTGCATTGGCTTTGCCCTCGTCGCTTGCGCAGTTTCCGTCGTCTTCTACCACATTGGTCTATCCCTCACCTGGACGCTGTACTTCTTGGGCGTCATTGTCTGCCCCGGATGCTTCACCACTGCCGGTACCGTCATCTGGCGCAAACAGAGCAAGGTGGCAGCCATCGCTGCGCCCCTGATCGGTCTCGCCGCTGGTCTGGCTACTTGGATCAGCACAGCTTACCACTACGGTGATGGTATTCTCAACGTCACCACCACCGGTGCGCTGATCCCTTGCATGTGGGGCAACATTGTCTCCTTCTTTGTGCCATGCATCCTCGCCCCCATTCTCAGCTACGCCTTCCCAGACAGCAACGCGTGGCAGTGGGAGAGGTTCAGCGACATCAAGCTCATTCGCGACGACGATTCGATCAACGATTCGGAAAAGAACGAAGAGGGAGCTTTCACGGCTGCTCAAGAAGCTTACATGAAGAAAATGTCCAAGGTTGCAGCCTTCGCAGGCATCTTCTTGTTCCTCGCCGTTTGGGTCGTCTGGCCATTCGGCATGTACGTCGATTACACCTTCAGCTTGCCCTTCTTCAAGGGTTGGATCACCGTCAGTCTCATCTGGCTCTTCATCACTCTGCTCGTCATTGCTATCCTGCCCGTGTACCAGGGAAGGCACACCATCGCCTTTATCGTCAAGAGCGTCCTCAAGGGAGAGGCTGCCGCGCGTTCTCAGCCAAACAGCAAAACGCAGCACGACACGCCTCAGCTCGAACAAGCATCTTCGCCCTCTGGAACCCTCACCGACAGTCCGAAGCTCAAGACTGCAGAGTCTACAGCTTCCCCTCTGACCGAGGCGAAAGTGTAGACGACGTGTTTGCCTTGCTCATCTGCCTTCGCAGAAGCATCGTGCTACCAAATGCCCTGCCCCCCAAAATTGTCTGTTCTCCTCTCTCAACGACGCCTGTAACCTCTCTAGACGACCTGATATCATCGACTGCTCTATTTTCTGCTTTTGATCCTGATCTTTAAAATGGCATGTATCATCGCACCAATGCATAGACTGTCCCGCTTGCTCTCCTGATCACGCCCTGTTGGAGGTGCAAAAAGCCGCCCCTGCGGAAGACGGCCGCATTTCGAGTAGCAGAGTGGCAAGATGAGGGTGAAACAAGCGCTTGTTCTTTGTGACTACGTGTACAGTCGGTAGGGCACACCAACAGCCATTCAGCTGCACTTGCAGAGGAGAGCGCGCACCCGCACTGCGCATGGCCTCGTGAGCTTATTCCTCGTCGTCCGAGTCGCTGTGAAAGATGGCGTAGGGTAAGATGACGAGCAACAAGAATGATGAGACAAGCAAGAACAACACATGCGGTTCTGATGCCCACAGCCAGACTCACTCGTCGTCTCCAGCCACCTGCTCGTTTTCCTTTTCCACTCTCTGCAAAAGCCTCTCTAACTCCTGATCTTCTGACTCGGACACGGCCTTGGGCTGCACGAAAAGGACAACCGCGCGCAAGGCGCATCAAGGTGCATCAGCTACTGGACAGCGTCAAGACTGCGCATCGCAAATATGGACTCACCTCCATCTTGACAGCCAAATTTCCTCCGCTCTTCTTTATGCTCGCATCGATGGTTGTGAGGGCCTTTTTGAGCAGATCTATACCGCCTTGCTTGTCCGTCGAGTTGGTGACGAGCACATAGAGGGGAGGAGCGATCAACTTGACCTTGATCGGGATCTCTTCCGTTTGCAAATCCTCTGCAGCCTGCAATGCCGATTTGATACCATCTATACCGGCCGCATTGTAACACGTCACTTCCACATCTGCTCGGATCTTGACGGGCTGGGGCGTCATACGACGAGCAATGTTTGCTTGCAGCTCTCTTTGCACGTCGGCGTCCAATTCCAGACCCGTAAACACAGTCTCGGACTCTCTGTTGCCGTACGAGCCGCGAAGAGAAGGGCTTTTCAGTGCCGTACGGAGGACAGCCCGACCTTCGCTGCGCCACCTCCTGCACACCGCACCCGGCATACTTACGTGACAGCGAGCTTGAAAGCGTCATACGCATGTCCAAACTTTTTATCCAATGGCCAACTGATGGCCTCGTACAGCTCCTCTAGAGGCTTGTTGAGTTTTCCGGACACGTGCGCAAGAATACTGTGCACAGCCTTGCTCTTATTAAACCTCTCCTCGCAGCGAATGATATCCTCTGGAGACACTCGACGCTTGGACAAGTCGATGTAGCCTGCACCATGCAGCCAAGAAGTGTCGAGTGTCAGCGGATCGTATTGCTCGTGCTCTTGACGCAGCGCTGCTATGCCCGTGTTTGAGCAGCATCGCGATGCTGTGTGGCCAAATGAGCGATCCGCACGAGCGCTCTCTGCGTCCAAACCTGCTCCCACCCATCCATCACCAGCTCAGCGTCTGCGACGCAGCTGCATGCCCGCCCTTGACGTCTTTGCTGTATTGCCTGATCATTTGGCTCCCAACCTTCCACTCACCCTTATCCTTGTCTACCCTCAGCACCACCACCACCTCGTTTCTGCCCACCCTGATCAGCTTTTGAATGGATCTGATTCTACGCCTGCTAAGTTCGGATAGCAAGATCATTCCTTCCACACCATCGTACTCCAAAAGCTTGACGTAAGCTCCCATCTCTGCTATTTGCCGCACTTGCACCATCACCACATCCTCCGCGTCCGGAAGCGTCTTTTCGTAGAAGCGCATATTGCTGCTGGAGAATGAAGGACAAGTTTGCGATGGATGTGTGAGGATGGAGCAGGGGAGAAAAAGGGTCCGAGGTCCGCTTTGCTTTGCTGTGCTGCGTGCGTGGCAACTGTTGTTGCGACTGGCTGAGAAGTGTAGCTGCTGATTGCTCACCTCGACTTGGTGCTAGAGGCGAGGGGTATGCTGGTCGCTCAAGATGACGTTCGAGTCTTGCAACCAGAATCACAAACTAAGCGAATCACTTGAATACCGAATATCCATGGCAAAGGCCTTTTGAAAGTCTGATGAGATGCAACGCAAGGCCAAATCAAGAAATCATCAGAGTCGCCATCGCACGACTTTATATTCGTGATTCACGATTCAAAGCATCAGCTGCAGGAATTCAAGGCGCAACCCCACGTGGGCGCGGCATCATTCAGAAGCTCGCTCGCGCGGCGCGCCTTCAGCAGCATGCCGTACACCAGAAGCGCACAAACGCCGCATGTGACGCGTCCTGAATAGCCTGCCTGCACACCCGTGGCTTTGTGACTCGATCACCGAGTCAAGAAAGTAGCTGCTAGAGCTTTGCCCACACGGCTCTTTCGCGCTCCTGATTGTGCCAGTCGTGAGTCTGAGTGCAAATGGATCGCAAAGGCATTTATGATTCCCATTCGCAGAGGCCGAACTTGTCACGAATCCCACGAATCCGAATGCAAAGAATCGCCTGCAAGCTATAGGTCATATCAGCACAGAAGATGTACCCTCCTCAATCCTGAATGCTCTTTAGACTTTGACTCGAACTTGCAACGCATAGGTGGACAATTTCTATTCTTTCAATTTTGAATGTTGCCTTCAGGTCTGAGTAGGTCTGGCACAGGCGCTTAGTTCTCTTGAGTCCACGAAAATCCATCCCAGTGCACCTTTGCTCCGCTCTCAGTCACGCCTTCAGCCTTCAATCCGTTTCTCTGCGCGTTCTTGTACTGCCAGTCAACGTCGAATGAAGCAAGCAGGAACAAGCAGAATGAGATGCTGGCCTGCTCGTCCATGCTTCACCTCATGACGCACCATAGACCTTGTTCTTTTGCAAACCATCCCGCACGCATCGCTTCCGCGGGAACTCACAATGGGATGCCAATTGGCCGAGGTCATACTTACCGGCCTATCCTCGTAGCTGAAACGGGAAAAGTTTCTGCTCTTCATGTCCATCGTATGGCGAACTTTGCCATGCGCGTCCCTCCAATGGACGATGCTTGGTGCTTGCTCAACCTGCCAATTCACCCGCTCTTGATGGGTCAACGACCGAGGCGCAATAGCATCTCAAATACAAGGTACCGCACGACGACTCACAAAGCGATCTAGGACGGAGCTGATTGCCATGATCGTATGTGTCATTGGCATCGGCTGATCACAAAGGCCAGTCCATTGCCCATCCGCTGCGTCTCGCTACACTCACCTGTCTCCCAGTGATAGCGCTCTGATGGAGCTTAGCGAAAGTAGAAGCAGAGGCGCTGCAAACGGACGCATGTCGACAAGCTTGACGACGGAGTCCGGCTTCAAAGAGAGAAGAACTTGTAGTTACGATATGGCGGTCACAATCAATCTGCGCGGAGGAACGGCCGAATGCTCTCGTCGTGACCGTTCGCAGTGCATTCGAAAATGGTCGTCAAAGCATTCTGCAAATACTACTGTGCGCGACTTTCGTCCAAGAGTTCCTATATATGGCATCTCCTCCGAGGTCGCTTGACGTGCGCGTAGAATCTCGACGGATGCTTCAGAGCTGACGCGCCCAGCCGGAGTCAAGCTCGACGACGACAAAGGACTTCCAGACATTTCACTGGCTGCTAGTGGTAGTAGTACTGCGCGAAGAATCTCCGCATTTCCGCGGTAATCTCGGCTTGCTGGCTCGAGCGAGATTTCAAACAGGTCCTTCCTCTCCCCCCCCCCCAATTACATTCAACTTCGAGCTTGGTGCTCCGGCAGTGCGGGGCAAGGTGGTTAGTGCCACTCTCACGCCTAGCAGCACCAAGGCTCCGCTGCTGTGCTTTTGAGGCTCTCCGCCACCGTGAGACTTCTCCTAGAAGGCGCCATCCATACTTGGTACTGTAGTGGCTGGTGTCAAAAGCATCCATTGTAAAAGGCGCGACCCGCTGACAACGAGGCTGGCAAGCACGTTCGAGCCCAAAGAGTGTATGATGTGCGTGGGGCGAGGAGCCCCAAAGTGTGTATGATGTGCGGAGCCTGGGGCGAGATGAGACATGATGCGCGGGCGCCAGGAAATGTGAGAAAAGCGAGAGGTGACGCAAGAGTCGAGATGGCTACAATGAAAAAGCAAGAATATAAGAGGCACGGGAGCTGCCAAGCAGCAGGATACGTGGATGCGAGGCAATGTTCAGCGCTCGACCGCGGAATGCGGGGTGGCGCTGCGCAAAGGCGCTTGTCTTGTGGCTGGTAAGATGGGCACGCCTCGACGTACGCTGCGTCTGGGTGGCGTCATCTCATCTCTCGAGCCTACAAGTGGTGACGTGTTGCTCGCGGGCGACATGTTCTCCGTCGCCCACAGATTCGAAAGAGCAGCTGCGCGCGCTTCAATCATGGCGTCGATCTCCTTCTCCGCAATCAGATCATTTCGGACTTCGGACAACCGGAGTGCCCACCATCGGCGCTCCTCTCGCTCTTCTTCGACATCGTCGAGAACACTGCTGCCGACCACAGAGATGCTGTTGGCAGCCTTGACGTTGACGGTAAGACTCTGACGGCCTTCTTGAGACGTCGTCTTGTTCAGCACTTCGCTGGCTCTGTCAGCCAGGTCTTGATGGGAAGGAGACCGTGGGTACGGTAAGCCTGATTGCAGAAGCGCGACAAGATTTTCCCGGTCGCCGCTTTGAGCTGCTGCCATGACGAGCTGAGTGACCTGATCCTTGCGCCTGGGCCACTCGGCATGGGCGGACTGAGGCTTCGTGCCAAGCACTGTAGTCGAGCCAGAGTTGAGTCTGGCAGAGTGAATGCAAGCGACCAGTGACCTCTCCAAAGCCCGGTACCACGCGGTGCAGATGAGCTCTGGCGTCTGGGACAGGCGTCGAGTGGCAGGCGTATCGTCTGAAGAAAATGAGAAGAATAGCGTCGCAGGACCTCCAATCGCCTTGTGCTTACTGGGGCCGCCGAGCACGGCGCGCTCAGCTTTGATGGGCAGCACTTCAACTTCCAGCAAGTTTGGAAAGTCTGTGACGACAGCTCGATGACGTCAGCAACTGTTGAGATGACGTGAAGCTCTGAAATCGCAACTTCTCACCACTGGATCGACCAGAGCGGTCGATGACATTCAAGATGCGCACGAGTCCCAAGTCTGAGATCAAGGTGAAACGCTCCTGCTCCTTAGGTACTGTTGGCGCCGACCATGAGTTGCGGCGAAGTTTTTCCTTGCTTTTGCTCTTGCCAGATGCGACCAAGGGCGAAATGGGCTTTGCATCGGCCACGCCATCGGCATCTTGCACAGTCAGAATGACTGCATCTGATAGCACAAAAGCGTGGACATCGATGCCTGTGCTTTCACCTGAACGTGCCTTTTCTTTCTCCGCAGATCTGCCGCTTGCCCGCAAGAAGAGATTCGCTACACTTGACTTGCGGCTCATGGGTCTTGGCGGTGCAAGTGGAGTGACATGAAGCTTTTCTGTACGGGAAGCAAGACCAGCTCCTGCTGACAGAGCACCCGGTGAATAGCTTGATGCGGTGAAGGGCCCAACAACGGGGCTCTGAAAGAAACCGTCCGAGCTGGTGGATGATCGAGATGGATGCGCTAGGGCAGATGACGTAACAGAGGTGCCAGAAGCGCTATCCCCCGAAGCGTGTTTTGATCCACGTAGATCTGGAGAACCTCGTGCGGTGGGGCTATGCTTGGCGGCCAAGCTCAGTGGCCGGAATCCGCTCGATGAAGATGGTCTCGCGTCCCCTTCCATTTTGGGAATACGTGGAGATGAAGCTCTAGAGTCGCCAGACACTTGACTTCTCTGAGCATCGCTGAGCTGCACCCACCTAAGCTTGCCTTCTCGAAGCAGACCTCGGTAACGCGAAGCAAGATCAAAGCCATGAGGCAGTCCACGAATGCGCTTCTCCAGGGAAAGCAGAGTGGAATAATCCTCCTCTCTAGCTTTGACGTTGTTCATGTCTCGGATGAGAGCCTCTGTGCTCTGCGAGAGCTCGCAAGTCTCATCGTAATCGGGATGATCCGAAGGTGTAAGCTCGAGTAATTGCTGTGCGGGTAAAGAAGAAGCCGTGAGATGGGCGCTTGCAATGCTTCTCGTGGTCAACGCTGCTCACCTTGAAGAACAGCGGATACTTCATGAGACGTTGTATTGGCTTTAGCAAGAAGCTACCCAGGCTCATAGAGCCGCACTCCCGCAGCCGTAGTTGGTCTTGAACAAAAGAGGCAAACGGTAGAGGCTCTGGGGCATGCAGTATCTGCTCCAACAGAGCGTTGGCCTCTTCAAAGCGCACCAGGTAGGGTTGGTGAACGACGAGAGCTTCCACATGTCGTAGGACAGCGGAAGCAATCTGTAAGATGACTGGCGTGGCATGAGATGCCCTAGCCGTGTCAAATGACGTGGAGATTTTAATGTGGAGCTGCAGGATGCTCTCAAGCCAATCGAAGATTTTAGCCATCAGCTTCGGCGTGCCACGTTCCCAGTGCCCTTGATAGTCTCGCAGCGGCACCCCGAAGACTTTCAAGATGCTAGCGAGATTCTGCACGAAGGATCGCTCGGTCGAGCACAATTCCCAAATGACTTCCTGGCGGTGCATTTCCTTCGGCCCGAACTGAGCCAAGAGCTGCGACCAGGTACGCGCGGGTAAGGATGATCGCCAAGAAGAGCCTCCGGGTGTATCCACTAGCTGTATCGGAGTGTTGCTAATGATGGCCGCGAGCTTCAAAGAGTGACCCGCACTATCGCGTCGGGATGTCCGCCTGGCAAGTGGCATGGCGTTTGCCGACATCCGCCGAGATGCTCGACGTGCGGCTCGCTGCTCAGTGCCTGTCGGATACGTCTCTCCGTGCCCTAAAGCGGAGCGAGCACGGGTCGGCTCCTCGCGCTGACCGATTGTCTCCTCATCGTCGTCATGCGGGACCGCAAGGTTACCTTGATGGGCGCCACGCGCTCCAGCAGGGTCTTTTTCCTGGTATTTCGAGAAGGCTGGCAACGCTACAAATGGGCCATTATGTTGCATCTCAGGAAGTAGGACGAGATTGGTGGAGATAGGTTTCGAGTGATCCATGATGTTGTCAATGGGAGGTGAGCTCGGTTCATGAATTGCCTCCATCGCTGCGCCTGAGAGCCGGTCTGTTGCGAGCTGCAGAATTTCATTGTGACACGCGCTCTCGAATGGAGCTCCACCAGGCTGAAAATCGGCAGATTGATCCGCTTCAATGAGGGCAGAGAGCAGCGGGGAGTGAGTTGTCGACGCAAGAGCGCGAGACATCCTCTTGCTTGTTGAGTCCCCTCGCAAGACCGAGCGTCGGGCATCGGCACTAAAGCGGACGGATGTACGCCAGCCATTGGCTCCTCTAGCACAACCATGTTTCCGCTCGAACGAACTGGCAGCTTCCAGCCACGACACTGTCTTGGATTGGCGAGAATGTCTTCGGGCGCGCCAGTCGTGCTCTTCGCCTTCGTCCGCACTCTCGAATTCGTCCGAGCTGTTGCTGACGCTGCCGTGACTGTTCGCGTCGATCTCTTCAATCGTCTCGGGCGCCAATAAGGCTGCACCCGTAAGTGCTTCTGGCACGTCTGCAAAAAGGAGTCCAAGCCCAGCAAGAAACGCTTTGGAATTACCTGCCCCGCTTTTGGCTTCCTGCGATCCGCTGATTGGGAAAGCTCCGGGAAGGGGCGTCAACTCGTCTGCAGATGTCTCTTGCCTATCCAGTGGTGCATCGGAAACGGCCGCGAGAGGTGCGACAGAGGTGATCACCGCTTCGCTGGGCACCATCGAGACAAGTTCAGCTCGCTGTACGGCGGTCATCTCTTCGTGCACGCCGCGACGCCAACTTTGATGATGTTGTTCGGCCTCGTGGTCAGAGACAGCTTCTTGCATCTCAGCGAGAGTGCACTCGATGATCTCGTCTTGGTCCTGTTCATACAACGCATTCGAGCTCGGCGATAGATTCGCCGGACGAGTGCTGATACTCTCGCCGGGGTCTTCCACACTTCGGATCTCGCCCTGCGGCGGGGTCGACCACGGCTCGCCATCAAGGCCAAAGTTTTGGGCAGAAGCCCGCCATTCCTCAACAGCAGACATTCGTTCTTGGCAACGCTCCAGAAATTCCTCTTCGCAGGCTTCAAATACTGGCTCACCGACTTGTGGAGAAGCCTCTGCAATGTTGCTCGTGACCATCTCCCATGAAACGCCGTCGGCCTCAGAATCGATGACGCCGAGTTGAGCACACTGGCCGTCGAGCTCGTCCAAGGCTTCGCTGACTTCAGAAAGTGGCAGGGGTGTTTCTTCATCGCTTTCAACCTCGACTGCAATGATCGAGTACGCGCTGGCTCGGAAGTTGCTGCTCGCTTCTGGAGGCTGCGCTTCGGCTGTTGTTAGCTCAGGGGCACGCTTTGATTCTGGCACAACCGTGGCATCCGGTGCTGGGCGCTTCCCTACTAGTTGGTCTTGGTTCTT